ACGAGGTTATCATAGTACCTTGGGGGTGCAAGGAAGCGTATGTTTTCATTAGACCGGTCCTGATGCATTTCAATTTTAACGTTAAACTGTATTTGTTACATGTGCCGAGAAACGTATTTTTGCATTGGGTCGGTCTGCCATTAACTTGATCGCCGATTACAAGATCACATGTTGTTTTTGGACGATCGAACTCCGCCCGACTCGTTCTAACGTTACACACGTGGGCACTTCACTAGTCACGACTCCACAATACTGGCGAGAACCGGGGTCAACCAGTTATGATTATACAGGGGGGAGGGGGGGGAGGGGGTTCTTGGCAAGCGTATTTGCCAAGCTATTGTATCGCAACTTAAGTGTGAACACAGCTTTCAGGCAAAAATGTTAACCGTGTTACACAACGCCTCGCTTCTTCAGAGCATTTCCGAAAGCGTATCACACATGCACATATGTGCAGAACTGACACACGCAGACGCGCGCGTACACACACACACACACACGCACACCAATACTGTGAAGTGTCTCCACATCTCTTTCACATTACCATAACCTCCTCACCCCTACCTTCAAATCCTCTCAAAGGCACACACACACACACACACACATACAGGTGTAAAAACCGAAAGGGGCGAGCAGGTCACAACCGGGAATCGAACCCGAGTTGTCCGCTTGGCGGTCACCAACGCTAACCACTACACTAAAAGGTCGCACGACCATTTAGCATGGTCAGTTAGCACTGTTACACTACTCCCCCTTTTCTTTCAAGATTCGTCCTCGAATCTTCCGAGTCCGACATCCCTGGAGCTGCCACACTTATCCTCAGTGCCAGTACTCACAGGGCCGGCATGGGAACCACTGTAAAAACCGAAAGGGGCGAGCAGGTCACAACCGGGAATCGAACCCGAGTTGTCCGCTTGGCGGTCACCAACGCTAACCACTACACTAAAAGGTCGCACGACCATTTAGCATGGTCAGTTAGCACTGTTACACAGGCATACACACAGTCACACACACACAGACACAACGGTCACACACACACACACACACACACACACACACACAGTCACACACAGTCACACACACACACACACACACACACACACACACACGCACAAAAAGTTATGTCTCACTCTTCCCTTGAAATCCTCTCCAAAACGCAGGAAATGCCATTATATTCTAGAAGGTTCAACTTTCAAAATTTTCCGGGGGAGCATGCCCACGGCCCCCCTAGGAACCTCGCGCCCACGACGCTGATTCACTGGTCCCTCAGACAGTGGGAAGAACCCCCCTTCAAAATCCTGGCTACTCATGCACTCGAATGTTAGAGTTCCAAGAAAACAGGAAAACCCACGAGGAAATAATTAGATGACGTCATTTCCTTTTCCTTGAACCCAGCGCGAGTTGTTAAAATACCTCCTGTGGGTGGCGATTTAATTAGCAGGAACAGGATGAAGTACCTCCCAGAAGCAGTAAGGTGGAAGATTTGCTGTTCCCAGGCGCGGGTCTGAAGGCCATAAAACTTCACGTTCGCGCGCGCTATCGATCGAGGAGGGGGCGAACAAAACGTAAAGACAAACACATAGAAGGGTTGGTCGACCTTTGGGACTGAAATACCATCAGTTCGAAAATGCATTATACATCTGTAGGGTATTGACTTTGGACTTCCGTTGTAAAGCGAGCTAAATACACACTCCGTATTTGCCCAGGTTTCCGATGAAAGCCTTACAAAGTGAGACCGTCACGACTAGATCTTGACGCTGATTAAGTTATGGTTTAATTAAAAAAGAAAAAGAGTCTAGACTACCGTGGCATATTAATTTTTCTTGGTAATTGTCATTTCTCATTCGACATGTACCTGAGCGAATATGATAAAAATGTGACCAATGCCTTCTTCTTTAATGTATTTTTAATCTGTACTATACTTTAATTAACAGGTGCTTATTAAAATGTTACCTGTTGTTGATGTCATGTTTAATTTCTCCTGGAAGAGCAAATGTCGGATATACGTAAAGATGGCAACTTAGATAAAATCGTCCTGATCGAGCCGAATTGATTCGGTTTGATCCGGATCAAACCGAATCAGTTCGGCTCAATTCGGACAATTCTATCCTGGTGGGAATTATCGAATGGGGCCTTAAGCTACACATATTGTACGGACTGGGGTATACAATTGATTGGGTTGTAGGGTGGTCTAGTATATGTTTGTGGACACTCATTTATAACTTTGGGATATTGGGATAGGGACTACGTACTTTGGTGTCCACATATACTAGACCACCCTACAACCCAATCAATTGTATACCCCAGTCCGTACAATATGTGTAGCTCACTGCTTCAGCGACCCAATGATTCATTGATCATCTTCCCACCTACCTGTCCTCAGAGCCTCGGCTACGGCAAAAGTAATTAATTCCCAGCCAATGACTGACGACCCGTGTTGGTATGGATTCTACACTGTACTAATAAAGCCGCCATCAACAGGTTCTTCCGGGGCTTCCTGGGTGGGAAATTGGTCTGGGGCAATCAAATACATCAGCGGTGGTAATTTGGGCCAATCTGGCCACGTAACTCGTACAGGGGGACAGCCCGCGAAGTATTGCAAGAAACGGGGGTGACATAAAAGTTAGCCTTCGTAGCAGGCTTATAGAACTGGGGTTTGGTGGTCTTCGGCTGTTTTCTGATTAAAACGCGGGTAATTCAACCAGGCCGGCTATGTGGTCTATATGGCTATGCAATCAGAAAATAGCACATAAAAGCTCCCAAAGACCCTGAAGACCCCCAGTTTTTGGCATGCTATGGAGGCTACATAAAAGTAAGGACCCGGACACATTGTCGCACGATCTTAACCTGGAGCATAGTCGTGCATCACGGTGTCGCACGACAGTCGTCCATGTGTCGCACAACATGTACCTGTCTTGTTACCGAAAGGACTGACTCTAAGTCTTGATCGATCGTTGTCGGTGGTTGGTTCACAGTCTGCTTTGACGGATGTGACCACGACATACACAAAGTCCCGTCAGCAAAATTAAAGAAATCTATTTCTATCTTTATTCATTGAACCTATATATTATTCAGCGGGATTACATTGCAACAAAAGAACAACTTGCCTGGTCTCCTATATGCGAAACTTGTAGATATCCTGACCGGGGGGGGGGGTATCCTGTTCAAAGAAATATGGGGGGGGGCGAGATTCGTCACTCATCCAGTAGATTTCTAGCAGGGACCAATGTTGAGGGGGGGTAGAAGACGTGTGCATTGCTCTCTACATGGCATTCACTTAGGAAAATAGCCCACTCATCCCCGACCTTTAAACGAGTCAGCAGAGTGTGTGGATATGATTACTGCATAAACACAGCAGTCACGACTACTTACAGGAGCGAAGTTTATCTCCAAGCAGATCTTTAGGCGGCTGCAAGACAGCATATTACATTGGCAAGAGAGTATCAAATTGGCAATACGGTATCAAATTGGCAAAGCAGTTTCAAATTGGAAAGACAGTCACCATTTGCCATTTGGCTGGCGTAAGAAAAAAAATTATACCAGTATAAAACAGAAAGCCCGACAAAAACGCCTAGAGTGAAGTGGTGTCCGGGAAGCGACCCGCCTTTCTTCCCCCGGAATTAAAATCAGGTCTGACGGATTCCGGTATCAGACGGCGCCGGAAGAAAAATTCTCTCTTATCGTTAGCCACACGTACACCGTGGAACTTTGGGAGTGGTATCACACAAGAACATGCACACGGCGGGAATTAGTCGGCAAATGGCCAGGCTTTCAGAGCAGCCAACTTTCTGAACTTGAAGCCTTTTAAAATGAGATTAAAGCACGCATATTGGGGAATTAACTGGCCCTGATCCAAGTAGACAGCCGACTCAGCCTGGTCGTACTGAAAGAACTACATGTAATAGCTTCGCTGAAGTCCCAAATTCCCGATGCGCAGTTTCAAAGGTAAAAGCACGTAGTGGTAAACAACGGTAACGTGCGTGTTACACATAAGGCCATGTTGATTTGATTATATGGATGACATCCGCGCGCGCATGAATTTTCGGCCGTTTCCAAAAAAAAAAAAGTTTTCAACCATACATACAAAAAAAAATCAACGACACTGTAAATCGTACAAAACAGTTGCAAAATGAGCAAAAATATACCGTAAGTTACAAAAAAAATAAGTAAAAACTATACCAATGTCGTAGAATGCCAAAATCAAACGAAAAAAGACGAAATTGTAAAGAAATGAACTTGAAGACTAGATTATTCGCCAAACCATATTCTGTCCCATTTGTTCAACCCTCATGACCGCGTACATTTCAAAATGAAAACAACTTTTTTTTTGCAAAACTTTATTTTATTCGCACGCGCGCATCAGTTTTGGGGCTCCCGGAGGATGTCATCCATAAAATCAAATCAACATGGCCTAAAGTAAAAAAAAAAAACACTTTTTTTTATACTCACTTGAAAGGCAAGCGAGAGCCACCGGTTTCTCTGCGTTTTGGCTACCCCAAAATACCAAGTAGTAAAATAACAAAATACTGTAACTGTCTGGACCCTTTTATAAAACCTTTCCAGTAAAAATTGCTGTGAGAGCGCAACAAGGTCTTAACATACTGAGTGGGCTTGGGGCACCAGGGCCAGCTTGAAGTTTTATTTGTCCAAACATATGACTACAACATCAGCAAATCATAATATAGAAGTACATGTAGTCTCTACCAGACTAACTACGCTGGCTACATATGGGAGAATATATTTGCCAGGGGAGTTTGGCCGCCTTGTAGGTTTGACTGGCCTCGCAGTTCGGAGGGAAAGAAACTACCTCCCCGCGACCTGACTCCCTTGGCCAATTTTACTACTAGTATCTTTTTTTGCCGAATTCTACGATTCGTATTCCCGTAGAAAGCCATGGTGGAGGCTAATATAGAAGCGCTGGTATGTATATGTGGCTACATCCAGGCTAATATAAGAAAACGCCCGCAGTTTATATGTCAGTTGCAAGGGGGCGCTGTGGTACTGCGTTTTTTGTGTAGACAATGACGTCACGTGGGGCATGCCCAGGCAGCGTACGCCATTTTTGTACACAATCGAGTTCGACCTCGGCGTCGGTTTTGAGCAACGTTTGACGGTCCCGGCTGGTTTAGGACCAAGATGGGGAACCTGTTGGGAAAAGAGGCAAGCAGGGGCGGACTGGAGGGTGCAGGATCGTCTGTAGGGGACCTCCCGCACAGGTCCGGGCCGGCCGAACTGAGAGAGAAGGCGTTGCAAGCGTGGAAAAGGACACAGGGCAAAGGTAACCCCAGATACTTCCTATCGGAGGAAAACAAAGGTGTGTTGCTCGACCTCATAGACTCCGTGTACTCGGTCTTACAGGGGAGGCACAACCGCAACAACATACTCCTGGTCGGCAGAAGGGGAGTCGGTAAGACAACGTTACTCTGCAGTTTGTTGGAGGCGTTGTCTGCTGTGGAGTTTGGGGGGAAACAGATCGTATCCGTGTACGTGGACTGTGCAGAGCGGTGGGAGTTACCTTCCGAAGCCCTGTGGAGAAAGGCGAAGAGTTTGGGGCTCAAGGCCAGTGAGGAGGGGGAAGGAGAGGGTAGTGCTTCACGGGACATCAGCGTGGTGCTTGACTTGCTGTACGAGAAGTCTTACATTCCAGTCGTGGTGGTGGACGAAATCCAGGACCTGTACGTGAAGGTGGGAGAAACAGACCACGAAAGGCTGCGAAGAAGCCGTCTGTTTGTAGAACAGATTTACTCCATAGGTGAGTCGAAGAACGCCCTGGGCTGGCTCACCGGTAGCTCCCGCCTGGTCACGATTCTCGCCTTCCAACGCGACACCTTCAGTAACATCCTGGGAGGGTACGTACAATACCCGTCCCTCAACGACACCAAGTACAACGTGCACCGCCTGTACGCACTGAGAAAGAAGGGAGAAGTGGGAAAGTTAGTGGAGACACTCACGGGTAAGCCGCCGTTCGCAGCACAGGTGGACAGGATCTTCCACGCCACGGGGGGTGTCGTCGGGAAGATAGCCGTGTTCGTGGAGAAGAAAGGCCAGGACCGAGTCAGACTCCCGGACTGCGAGAACTTCACAGACGTCCACTGGGACATCTTGGAATGTCTGCTCTACAAGTACGCCTCCCGCCTTCCCGAGCGGGACTTCTGGGACCTTGAACCCGTCACGGAGGGAGAGCTGACGTTGTGGCTGAAGCGCTTCCCGCTCCAGGGGCCCGATCACGTCGCCATGACGGACGCCAAGGTCAAACTGGTAGATGACGAGCTGTTAGAACAAGCCGAGGGCACGTACAACCCCAACGCACAGTTCCTGGCCCACGCCCCCAAACTCCTCACATACAACAGGCACACCTTCCAAGGACTCACCTACCAGCTGGGTCACTGCCGCGACATCAACTTCCTGTTAGAGAAAGTGCGAGACAGGGTCGACAGGATTGAACAACTCCAGCTATTCCGACACCAGGCGAACAATCTCTTCACCTCGGTCTTGTTGGCTTTCGTGTACGTGGCGTCATACGGAGACGACGACGTGGAGTGGGGTTTCCAACCGTCACGAACATCTCAACACGACTGTGACGAAGTTCAAGTGCAGACAAAATCAGGTTCATTCTGTCTACACATCTACGACAGTGAGGAGCTAGCAGCGATGTCAGAGCCCGTGAGTGACAATGACCCCAACACCATGTACCTGGTAGTGTCTCCCAGGACGACTCGCACAGGTAGCACGTGGGCGTGGAGAAGTAGCAGCGGCAGGAAAAAGAGGAGGAGCCAACCAAGGGAAGACAGTGGTTCGACAAGGGATGAGCCTTCGACCCCAAGACGAAGACCGCGGCTAAGAAACAGAGACACTGATAGAGGAAGCACTCCGAGTGGATACTGTTCAGATGAGAATATGGATGAGTGAACTTAATGTGTGTCATAACGTCAATGTTAGGTACTTGAGAAGTTTGCGTTATCAAGTTTGTTTGATTTTATTCAGAAACTGTTGAGAAATATTATGAGTATCATACAGAAGAGACCATCACTATATTATGTATGGAGACCATGAAGTGTGAAAAGACATGGAAGAAATGTTTGTTTTTATTTATTTATTTGTATACGCCAACACTGCCAGTACCTTTGCTTGACCGAAAATAATATAGAAGATGTTGATTGTTATGGGTGCTTTTTGTTTCACGTGTGCTTCTTTGCCACTTTGGTGATGCCTGTATTTTGTAATAGTGGAAGTGTTGAACAATAATGTTTGTGCTGTGTGTTCTATTGAGAAGTGTGAATAGAAGTCTTTTTGTTGCTGTTGTCTAAACCATTTTCGTTCTTGAAGTGTGCTTTTGAATAAATATGCGTAGAAGGGCAAAACGTGTGGCATCCTTAATACATGTGCATCAAGTGATTATGTAACATATGCATGGCGACATTTTCATTGCCGAAGGAGACACTATCATTAGCTTGGCATGGCGCTAGGTAAATTCATACTCCTTTGTAGGCATACTTCCATCTCAAGTGTGTGCAACGTGTATTGTGGCTTACAAGTAATTCATACTCTAGCTATAGGTCTGTGTAAATGAAGTGAATTTAGAGGCTTCGGTCGAAGGTTGTCTTTCCCGGAGTTCGTTAGTGTGTTTGCTAGAGACTATATTTGAAATACATTACCGCTTTTGCTATGAAATAACATGCACAACTTCAAGTCTGTCGCCCTCGGGATGCCAACAAAATCCTTGGGAGGGCGGGGCTGTACCAAATCCACATAAACTCGCTCCGCCCATCCTTTAACTAAGGATTGAATTACATTGTCCACAAATCTAGGATATAAATAAGTCCCGTAAGTGAGGCTAACACAACACTTCAAGTCGTGCTCGTTCATTCATGATCGTGATACATGTAGTGCGACTTAAGTCTGATAACATACAAGACTATTTGACAGACAGGATGACAAAATCATTGACTATCAACTGGAACTTCCTCTAGTATGTATAAATGATCCCTCCTCCCGATTCACATGGGGCATTCCATTGTTTACTCGGCGTCCCCTGTGTATTTATCTCATCCGTCTACAGACAATGAAGGAAATGGTGTACTGCATTTGTCTTCAGGTGATTATAATGGGGTTGATCCCTAAGGATCAATCGGAATGGAATTCCTCTTGGAGATGGACGAATGTATCGCCGCTTTACTCCCAGATCAGTGATTCTCCTTAGTCTCCACCAGACTTCTTTTGCGGGGTGAATAAATCGTAGAAATCGGCCTAAAAAGGGTATTAATTGGCCAGAGAAGATAGCCGACCAGAGAAGATAGCCGGCCAGAGAAGCTCCATTGCAGCTTCTCTGGCCGGCTATCTTCTCTGGCCAATTAATACCCTTTTTAGGCACATAAAATTATAGAACCCTTAAAGAGCTTCAGCCTAAGTCACATGGAATAGCACGCATATTTCACTTTTCCTATGCCAATACCTCCTTGCTATCAAGGACATTATGTAGGTCACTACTAATACACAGCAAAATCTGTCGACTCTCATACGTCAGCCATTGTTTAATCCCCCCTACCGGTAGAGTGGTGCAGTCCACAACCTTAATGCAAATGAGGGAGGCCACGCCAAGCCAAACAACAAAACATGGCGTCCTCCCGGGGCCATGTGCGGTGGGTGGACTGACAGTTCTTTGTCCTTATCATCTGCTGCTTATTTCGTTAACGGGGACCTTGTTGACCTCTGGTTGCGAGGTTTTGATATCCCAGAGCTACGCTCTAGAACTGAATCCTGCCATCGATTTTGTGTAACCGCGACCCGCCATGTTGAGCTGTTTATGTTGTGACTCATCGCGTCGCCCTCCCAATTACCAGGCGCAAATTATGTTAGCGACCGACACGGCAGTTTGAGTCCACCTTCCACAAGCAGCTGAACATATGGACGTTTGCCAGGATGAAACGGCGGATTTACATTTCTTCAAAACTCCAAGGACCTCTACCAGACGCCAGGCGAAGGTCAAGACCAAACATGCGGATATAACGACCAAGGGTCCTTCAGAGGACGCGGGGAATTGAACCACTGCCAGAACAAAGTTCATTGTTGCCAGGTATCGAGTTGCGTTTTACCCTGTCCAGAATGACCTCCACGACTATCGACTTTAGGGACCAGAGACACTTCTCAGAAACTTTCTACCAGTGTTGGGAAGAACTTCAGAATGATCCCAAAGAAAATATCGGACCATACTTCGTCTCTGACAGAAATCGGGCCAGCGTTGACACCTTAATTCATTCCATTTACTCGTTGTACAAAGGCAGGCACAATCACAATGGGGTCCTTCTCACTGGGTGGAAGTCGGTCGGTAAAACGTTTTTGATCGAGTCTCTCCGACAAGTAGTCCGGAGGAAACTAGACGATAGATTCATCACAGCGTACGTATTGTGTTCAAGTGGTCTCAAACTTCCCTCCGAAGCCTTGTATGAGGAGGTACTAAAGTGCCAACCTCTGCGGGAAAAACTGAACTCCCTCCCCGCTGAAGTACAACAGATCACACGGAGGGATATCAACGAAATGATCAGCTTTCTAGCCTCCGCTGGGAGGAGGCCAATAATCGCCGTGGACGAGCTGCAAGAGGCTTACATCAAAACACACGAGCATAGAGACAAGCAGATACAAGGGGAAAACTTTGTCAAACAGCTGTGTGCAATAGGGGAGTCCCGGGACGCCCTGGGCTGGCTCACGGGTAGTACCCGGTCTGTTATAGCCTTGGCCTACCAACACGCAGGGTACGAAGACATCCTGGAGAAGTACATCCAATACCCCTCCCTCAACGACAGTAAGTACAAAGAACGCTATCTCTATACCCTCAGGAGCCCCAGTGATATACGCAAGCTTTGGGAGATCGTGAGAGAAACAGACTGGGTGCCTTCAGATAAGGATTTAATCGACATCTTCCGCACCACGGGGGGAGCGATAGGCAGACTGGTCTACCTGGCCGAGATGGGCGGGGACTGGGAGGGGCAGAGACGCCCGCGGTTCAACACCGACCACTTCACGGACGCCCACTGGTACGTCCTGACCAGACTGATCGCCAAGTACAGCGACGTCCTGAAGAAGACCAACTCCGAGCACGACCTCTGGGACATCCAGGACATCACCGACGGGGACCTGAAGGCCTGGCTGGACGAGTACAACGAAAACTGTGACCCTGACGACATGATCAAGGACAGCTTCAAGTACAGGCTAGTAGACAACTACCTTCTGGAGAAAGGTGAAGGCGTGTACTCACCAAACGTGCAGTACTTGTGTGAAGCACCAAACCTACTCCAGAGAAACAACAACAAATTCCTCGGCATATCTACCGACCTCGACGAAGAAAGGCCCGACTACTTCGTAGCTAAGATGGCTGACCTCGTCACGTCGATCCCATATGACGCCTCAAAGCATATAAACGATAAAGAAGGGTATGTCCACATCATATTCCACACGGCGTTGTACATATCTAACAACAGACCAATATCAGAGCCGCAGACTGCTTCGGGTCGTGCAGACATATGCGTGGTCACAGCAAGAAAACAGGTCCAGTACATCTTCGAATTGAAACATACAACAAAGAGGTCTGATGTCAAGAAGCTGCAACAAGAAGCCATGGACCAAATCACAGCAAAAGGCTATGACAAGATGTCTTTCTTTGACATGGACAAGCCGATATGGCATGTAGCGATAGTTCATTGTTCTCAGCCAGTAACCAGAGGTAAACCGAGACCACTAGAACACATTTGTGAGAGAGTTGTGCCAAGTAAGGAGACAGCTACATCACCGCCAACCAAGAGGACCAGGACTACACCACCGCCAACCAAGAAGACCAGGAAGAGATAGACCGAGACTGTCAGACATGTAGTATAGATTTACTGTAAGTGCATATACTTTCGCAGTGGTGACATGTTACCACAAAATCATAACACCTTAAATATGTGTTTTGTAGTTTGACTGTACTACAGAATTATTTTAACTGGTAACTGTGAACTTCAAACACAGTGAAAACCTCCTAATCCCTCAGGCTCATTTCACAAAATAAAACCAATGCCAAGTAAATGCATTTACAGTATCAAATTGTAGTCAAATTACAAGCATTGATTAGAAAAAAAGATGCAGCAAAGTATTTCATTACCAACTACAGAAGACCAGTGATATTTTTGTCCATTGTCACCATTGTGTGTGTAACTGCTTGGCAAACGTTAAACAGGTGTAGTGACCAAACATCATTTTGATTTCATATGTACACTGCCAACCATTTGTCAATATACACCACCCAATTATGTTGATGTGCCAGTTCTCATTGTCTGAATTGTGTTAAAAGATTAGTAGAGTATACATTATGATTTGAAGACAATCTTGTGATTTTATGGTGCAAAGAAAATGTATCTGCTGTCTTAAGCTAATATGAATTTTATATATGGCAGCTTTTATAATTGTTAAAACCACCACAAATGTGTGTGAGGAGACTGATGCAGTTGATAATCAACCAGCTGCAAGATCAACATACATGTATTTTCAGGGATGAATAGTAAATAAAATGTCAATGTTATGAAAATGTGTTTGACTTGTGCTTTGTGAAGTGTATTGTAGTGAGGTATTACCACTTGTGCTAAATGTGTATTGTGGTATTACCATACAATTTACATCCTACAGATAGTATGTCTAATATAGTATGTGTCTATAATACCTAGAAAAAAGTGTAGGCAAAACAAAACAAAACAAACCTACCAGAAAGGACAGCCAAGGTTATTCCATCTTCAAGTTCTTGTTGGCATTTCTGGGTTTAATGTTTTCTCTCACATCCTTCTGTGGATCAGTCACCCTGGCCTCATTAGCCTAACCAAATCTTCACAGTTGTGTTAGTCAACAGTTTACTTGAGCACCCTGTCCAGTCAACCTATTGGTTTACCCAAACCTCATCTACTCTACCTAGGAAGGTGCTAGCTAGCCTCTACCAGGCACCGCAGATCGCTGGAAAAATAGTAGAAATTTGCCGAAATAAAGGAATAATATACCAGGGGAGGTAGCCGACCAGAGAAGATGCAATTCCCGACCCACGGATCTTCTCTGGTCCGCTACTTCCCCTGGTATATTATTCCTTTATTTCGGCCAATTTCTACTATTTTTCCAGCGATCCGCAGTGCCTGGTAGAAGGCTAGGTGTTACCTTTTCATTTATAGAAAGATTGAAAATTGATTTGTTTAGAGGGGCTCCCATACTCGCTCTTCAAAACAGTGACTTTGGGAGGCACAGAAAATGGGATGGCACCCCAGCTGTAAAATTGTGGCTGTTCAGAGATGATCTAAAAACCGTACTTGAAATTGCCATACAAGGCAGCGATTGGGCTGATTCCAGTCAGAGCCTTGAAGGGGTTAATTGGATAGGGTTCATGTCCAAATATTTCAAGAGTAAAGTGGCAGCAACTGGAAAACTTCAATTCAAGTGTCTGACTTGTGGTATTGGGTTTCAATGCCAAAGTCAATGCCAAGTGCTAACATTGCAGTTCTTTAAAACCAAATGATTTGGAATACGATCTGCCCTGTTTCAACTGTTCAATTCAATAGAAAAGGAACAGGAACCTTAAGACTGTCACACATAGCTGAGTACAGCCTCACGATTTCCCCCCAATCATGGTTAGGAGGTCGGAGCAAGGTCGGCTGGTGTTGTGCAAGGTTCGGCTATGTTTAAAACGTCCAGGTGTAAACAGGAGGTTCAGCCATGGTTGGCTCCAAGTGTTTGGTAGTAGGTGTGCATTGTTTAGGCGTGTTCAGACCCAAATACCGGTAACTCAAATTGAAATCAAACTCAATTTGATTCATACTATAGAAAGGTAGGTGTTGCCGAAAATCTGGTCAAACTGCTCCCTAAATTTTAGGTGGTCAGATAAAGGTTCTGAATGTTTTGCAGATGCTTTACAAGGCACAACAGCACTTGCTTCAAAGTGAGTTACTGTAAATTGTGAAACTTTTGGGGTTGATTTACTTCACAAAAGAGGAACCGTTTTCTATGTTCTAATTTCGCAGTTAAAATTATTCTGTAGTACAGTAGCCATATAAGGACTAAATATTCACTGTCATTAATTCTCAGGGGAGAGGATACCATCACAAAAGTTTCACGATTTACAGTATGCAATGACTTTATAGCAGGATATTTCCCAGCATATTATCAATGGAAAAATGAAATGTACTGGCAGTGGCCCTTGTACACACATTGTTTTCCATCAGAAATACTTATGGGAGTACTTGTCAGTAAGACCAGGGGTTATTTTCTGGCATAGACTAGAGTGGAGCAAATCTGCTCTTTTGCAGCTTATACAGAGTATACAAAACTGCAGTTTACTGGGTTATATGAACAAAGTCAACAAACAAACAAACCCAGAACAAACAAACAAAACAAACTTCTATTTATGAACTTTTTAATGATCCGATCTACAGCAGCCTCCGTCACTCCTTAACGGCATACTTCCTCAGGGGGTACAGCCGGAGCTTCTTCTGTGTCTTCTTGGACTTGATGTTCTTCTCGCCCTTGGTAAGTGAACGCCGGATTGCTCTGGTCTTCTTGTAGCGCAGGTCCAGAGGGATGTACTTCTTCTTCTGCAGAAAAAAAAACAAGAAAGGGGGAAAATATGGTCAGGGTTGACTTCTAACTTCAAACATATCAAATCACAGTTGTTCAAATGCACATATAATATACATGTACATGTAGTAGCGAAGGCGGATTGGACTAGTTTCAATGAATATTTGTCAGTTTATGCCTGTTTTTGGACACAACTGGAAAAAAGTTCTGTCGTCTTTTCAGATAGGGACACAAAGCCCGCAGCTTATGGCATGAAACCTCTGCACGTTAAAGAACCCAACACACCTATTGAGAAGAATAGGAGTTAACCGATATGAAAGTTGCATCACACTAGTAGCTACATACTAGTACTACACCTCAGTTGAAGATTATAAAGAAAGACTAAATGAAGAGGAGTGTAGAAGTACCTTGTAGAACTTGCGGAGGTTTTCCTTCTGTGTCTGGTGGATGACTGTCATGACACGGGCAATGGACTTGCGAACGATACGGCTGAAACAACAACAATGTACAAATATTCACAACATTGCCTTTGTGACGGAGACAAAATTCATGTCTATACTATAACACAGATATTTAGAATACCTTGATCCTTTTGTCCGGTAGATATATGATTACATAGTACCTGAAAGGCCCGAAGTGAGGACATCTGGTACAATTGTCTTTCACGCAACAGAGTTAAATTGTTCATACAAGTCTACTTTTAAAAGTTTGGGGACCTTGTTACTGTAAATTCGTTAAACTTTTTCACAGTTTTTGTGGTGATGTCTCCACTACAAATTCATGATACCTCGAATATGTCTTGTATATATTTTGTTGTTTCAAACGCAAATTATACCCCTAAATAATCCCTGGGCGCGAGCCCTAACATTTGAGGGCTTTGACTGGTATAATATAGATAGGAGAAAACCACCACAAAAGTTACCATTCATGTTAACTATATGACCAACCATCACATTTCCTAACTGTGCAGTCCATGAGTGAGATGTTAAACTTGACTCACATCTTGGAGAGTTTGGAGGCGGCCCCGCCCGTCACCTTGGCAACCCGCAGCTGTGACATCTCCTCCTTCAGCTCACTGAGCTGCTTCAGGAGGTCCTCCTTCTTCTTACCCCGGAGCTCGTGGGCCTTGATCTTGACCTAGAGGAGTTTCAGAAACATCCAACGTGTTAGATCATCTAGGGGGAGGAGCCAGTAAAAAGTTGGTAGCGCCTATAACCCCCCACTGTTACATGTATACCTGGGGTCTCCCAGAAATTCTTAGGGGAGAGGTGCTCCCTAATCGGTGGATGAAAAATTAGTGAATTTTCATGGAAATACTAAGAGAAAACCCTGAATTTGAAACTTTTGGGAGTGGTGCTAGGATTTTGGGAAAAGGGGGAGCACCCTTGCTTCATTGTTTGGAGAGAACCCTGTGTGTACCATAATGATGTAGAGGTTGTAAAATGGTTGTGTGGTTTAGGTTGTTCTCTTATTAGAATCCAAAGGTTCTGGGTTTGAATCCCATGGCCTTGGGAAAGGTAATTTACACCTATTTCCTTACTAGTTTCACTTGTGAAAATGGGTACCTAGCTTCAGTTAGGGACGTCCTCTTTGGTGTATTTACATTTAAATTATTGGAACGATATCATCACAAAAAGCAACACGCACATGATAGAAAAACAAAAATTTTATCTGGCCCCCTGGGACCCCACAGTCACTTTACACTAGTTCGAAAACATAACTTGCAATGCACATTTTTCAAATGACTGGCTATAGGATCAACTTAGCTTTGCTCCACAATGCATCTACTACAAGGTGTGTCAATCAAATATATCATAAAGCCGACGGTCGATATAAAAAAAAAAGTATGTATGGGCATGTTGTGACCGAGGCGATGCTGGCCAAAATGACTCAGAGATGAAGTTCAATCTAAGCGATCTGACAGCGCAAGCCGTGAAAATATATATACCATCAATTAGTTTAATATATCAGCCTTCTATGTGTATCATATGAATGCAAAAATCGTTGTAGATATCGTAGATTGACACGGATATCTGAAGAATGATTTTCTACCCACCATCTTGGATTTTCAGGATGGGAAAAAGAGGTCTCGCACAGCTCAAAATCTCGCGAGATTACGTAGCTTACCCCAGTAGGCAGTGAAGTTACATTTTTACCACAATGCTTGTATCTAGTTTCGTTGACTGTTTTGTCTATTTTCTGACAACATAGGCAAATTCCTATATTTCTATCGATAAAAATCTACACTTTCATTTAAAATATTGCATTTATTTGTCTTATAAACCCTTTTTTATCCGTTAACTGCAGTGAAATTAGGGTGCAAAAAATACATCTACTTCTGAGGTGAACCGTAAAACCTGATTGAAAACGAGGCTCCACTTCCGCCATCTTAGAAAAAACTGGGAGGTGCATGGTTCACACTTCTGAACTTTGCCAAGTTGTCTCACGGTCGTCCTGCTTTATCTAAGAAGACATGTCGAAGAACACCGGGGCATCGAGGTTTCGGAAGGTCGACGTCGACGAGTACGACGAGAATAAATACGAAGAAGACGTCGACGAGTCGCCAACAGGCACCGGACCGAACGAACAGGAAGTGAACGGCCTTCTTCAGCAATATCCTCTTCTGCATAAATTTCAGTGCTACGAAGTTTTATTTGCTCTCAGTACATTCCGTGCGTGTTTGGGGTCTGGTGGAATGTTTTTAATGGAGTTATGAAGGCGATTTTGTACTTAAGAGAACTATGGTTGCCTTCCAACGAAAGTAAGATGATATCCGGTCGCGTGATTTCTTTCAAAGTAAACATGTTGGGGGAGGGGGGCGTTGGCCCCTTTCCTTACTTCCGTGGTTGATCGAATTTCGATGATGTCAACGTTCAGTGATATCTATCTGACCGAAGCGAATAGGTGTACTTTAACAAACTGGCTAGCTAGATCCTAGAATAAATGCTGAAAACGTTGAGTGAGCAGGGCTTGAAATTCATTTCTGGGAATTATATCATAGGAGCAGTGGGTGCACAAAAATTGTTTGGGTGCACCATATACAATTTTAACCAAAAACTAATTGTTTCATAATATTATAAAGAAAAATACTACAACAAGGATTTTCTTGTTTTTCTGACACTTAGATGTCAACAATATGCTGTATAACTATTATAGTAGTATACATTTGACATCTTTACATACGTAAACCTACAAAAATGTTTGGGTGCATTTTGAGAAGAGATTGTGGTTTGCCTCTGTACCTATAAGCTGCTAGATGTATTCAAAATAAAACCATGACCAAGTATTCTATCAGCATTTTTCTTTAACCAAGTGCTTACAGGTGAAAATGTTGAAGCTTTGAAAAGAGTGTTGTCTAATCCTCCAACTGGGAGCAAGAACCAGTCAGAAAAGGTAAGTTATTTGTTTGTTTGTTTCGCATAACTGGTATATACGTACGTCAATGAAGGTTAGACATCCAGGTAATATGATACGCCAAAAATCATATCCAGTTGCTTGAGTAACTGCTTTTTGGCGTATGGTATATACGTAAACCGCCTTTAATGGCATAACACACCAGTTTTGTACATGTAAGTACAAGCTGCGTAAGACCGGACTGTGAGGTTTGAACCACTCACACCGGGAAGGTCCCCTACTCTTTTCGATAAGTGCGGTGAGAAGGACCTCTACTTTTTTCGATAAGTGAGGTGGGTTCTTTAACGTGTGTGAGGTGTAGCTCTCCCAAACACAGGACTTCCATTTAACGTCCTATCCAAGGGACATCCAAAGCTATGTACTCATTTACACCTGCTGAGTCATGTAAAGTGCCTTTCCCAAGGGCACAAGATCGGTGGCATCGGGCAGGATTTGAACCCGGGACCTCTAGGGTCTGAGCCGAACACTCTACCATTATGCCACATGACCCCACTTCCACACATGTTAACACTGTGAATATTTTAAATTTCAGAGCCAAGCAGTGAGCCTGGTGCTGAGGGTTCTCCTATCCTTTAAGAAGTCGGACATGGATAAAGGCATCAAGGCACTAGACAGCAAACAGCTGGACCTGCTGATGAAGTACATCTATAGAGGCTTTGAGAACCCAACAGACGACAGTAGCAGTAGTACACTCTTGATCTGGCATGAAAAGGTGCACTAGTCTTTCTTTTATCCTGGCAACATCATCTAACATTCCTTCACAGGGCTTGGAATACATTTTGGGGAATAGGTGCACTGGTGCACCCTGTCCTAACCTAGAAAAATTGGGTGTACACATTTTTTTTGTGTGTGTGGCAACCAGTAGAACATTATAAAGCAGAAACTGATGTTTTATTTCTAAAGAAAAGTACTATAACACTAGTATAATAACAATGGTTTTATTATTTTTCTGACACTTAGATGTTAAGAATATGCTGTATACTACAACTATACATTTGACATCTTTAGTTAATTACATACGTAAACCTACGAAAATATTTGGGTGCACTGGTGCACCCACAGAAAAAATTGGGTGCACTAGAATTATTGATCAGAGATCGTATGATATTGAATTTGTCATTTCTCTTACTTGTCAGTTAGATCATATGAACACTGTAGTGAATTGATTCAAGTTTATGATGTCCATGTAATTTTCACAATACTGTGAAGATGGGACAAAAATTCAGGCTAGTTAGAACCCTGGTCTTGTATGTTAATAGTTTCTAAACCCTCTATTTTGTTTGCAGGCATTTGCAGTTGGAGGACTTGGCTCAATAGTGCGTGTGTTGACTGACAGGAAAACAGTATGATGTCACCAGGGTTCCACCAATCATCACATCACATCTTCCACTCAATAATAAGAATAAGTCTCTTAGTCAGTCATGGCATCCATTTTGTATCCCATGATTCATTTGGTATCAAAGGCAGAGATTACACCATGCTTGACCGTGTCAGAAAAAGAGAGCCCATGTATAGAAGTGCCATAAAATTTTTGATCTGACATCTGAATTTGTAACTCTGTATTTCTTGCATTTCATAAGCAAATTTTTATCTTCTAAGTCAGATGAAGCCCTTCCACACAAGCAAACAGAGGGACAGGTCCTGAAGGCAGCCCTGGTCCTGATGCTTTTCAGATTTACATTGTTAAACTGTATTTGTTTGGATCACATGAAAGATTTTGACTTAAAAGTCGAAATAATTGAAAACGTGAGAGTCCCTACCTACTGACACAAATTTTTCAGGACTGAAATCGGAAACAGCTTTTTTTTTGCATTGACCATGTACCCATGCTTGATTGAAAACTTTTACATTATTACTGGTGTGCATGGTTCTATAACAATAATTACTAGTACCTGCAGTTGTTTTAGTTCATTGAGAAGAAACAAATGTAAAGTATAGTGTTTTTATGGTGGAATCAAAAAGGTTGAACAGTGTTGTAATCTTTGCACTTGATGCTAATAATAATAGATGAGGTTATGGGATAGGTGCCCCTTATATGCAATGTACATTTTATGGTACTTTCGTAATAAGTAATTATATTATAATCAGTACCTTTAAGCGGTAGAAATATCCTACCAATCAATTGTGTATCCTGTAATAAGATATCTTCTTTAGCACGTTATGATATAAAAGATTATATAAGCTGGGTTACATTCAATGGTGTACTTAGTATCATTTATTTGGAGATGCGGCATTCCCTATTGTTGAATTAGGCCTCTGATGTTTTGACTTTTACACTCTGTCTCATGTGTTACAGTGAATTGGTAAAAAAAGAGACACCGGTGACTTTTTAATGTTTCTATCAGAATGGTGGTGTTTAAAATCATACCATGTAATGTCCCATAAAACTACAATGAGTTTCCTTAATTTAGATTCCCTAAAGCATGCCTATATTCCTTAGAATGTAGCAACCAGATCTTTTCTTGGACTTAGGGTAACACTGTGTTTGATAGCAAGCTGTCTTTCAAAGTCTATACGAGAGACTGTGAAGCATATTCATTCTCTATTACTTCTGTAAAAAAAAACATTTGTATCATCAAAACGAACTGAAAACATAAGAAACATATTCAAACTCAATAGTATTGTATGGTGATGAACTTCATTTTTGTTCTTGATTTTTCATGATCACTATTAATTCTTTATGTTTGCTTGAAAGTGATCAAAAACATAAGTCAGATTTTGTTATTAAGTGTGCCAGGTTATACTATGTTGACACCTAATTGTATCTCTTTTATTAAAGCTGCACTACGTTGTATTCTAGGACTTATAAGTGGTCTGTTTAATTGAAGTTTAAAGCATATATCTTGAAAGATTTGTGATTGGGTTACTTTATTAACCTTTTTTTTTTTGCATTCGTACGATTATTATGGGCAACACCCTGCCAGAGTGTCAAAAGTTTTCGTGTAAAATTTTATTTTTACAGAGTGGCTAAGTGTAACAGCATACCAGTAGCTAGCGAATGTCATCCATATAATCTTATTAACATGCTACACATGCTACATATGCATGATGTTCAAATGTATGTAGGCTGGTTTTCAAGTCAACTTGAATGCCATATACTAGTACTACCCCACCCTTCACATTCTTGATAAAAAAAATACCTCCTATACACTTTCCTTGCTGGAAAACATATCCCATGTTAAATGCTATCTTTGCATTTGATAAGTTATTAATTTCAACAGCACCAACATTTGACAACTTGACTTTTATACCTGTAATGAAACACATAATTCTTGGCATTGCAGACCATGAAAAAAAATGCATGTTTGTTGAACCTCATGACATACATTCTATTATCACTTTTCAACTTAGTCACTCTTACAATTCACTTGTTTCCAATTATGAACTTCAAGGAAATTTGTAGATGTGTAGAAACCATTGGACATTTTGAATGGATTATATCACCTCTACATTTGAATGTTAGGTCTAGTTAAAGGTAATGCTATGGGTTGAACATTCCTACAAACTACAGACTGCTGTTGGTTCTAAGGTTGGCTGGAATACACTGGTGCTTTTCCTGTTCCACAATGTAGTGTGTTGTCTTCTTTGTTGTTTTTATCACACACAACAGTAGCCTGGGTGCCAGACCCTGGCCCCACACCATACTCCCTTTGGCCAGAGAAGGCACAAGCCCAATCACTGTTGGCTCCCAGGGTATAATTTATTATGGTAATACAGTTTTGTAGTAGTTAGTAGAGTTACTTAGTTGTACAGTGAAATTTTTGAATTTTTCCAGAAATATTCAATACGTACTTCCAGTTGGTTTAGTTAGTTTTCCTTAAATGCCCACGAACATGATCATTCTGCCATACTCATTTTCACCTGAGCAAAGTGAGGAAAGTCATGTGCCTTTCCCAAGGGTTGGTGACAGCACGATTCGAACCCGGGACCTCTTGGTTCCGTCTGCAACTGACTGCCATACTGTTCAATGGGTGCAGGAGGCCGGGCTAAGACATTGTAAAATATCTATGGCATGGAGTGAAAATTGAAAAAAAAAACAGAAAGAGAAGCCCATAAATAATTTTAGTGACACTACATACCCACGGTATTTGAAAATACAAAATGTATACTTGACAAAAGAGGGGACAGTAATTATGTTAATATTGACACAGCTTCTTGAAAATACATTTTCATAATTTGGGACAGTATGGCGATATAAAAGTGTTCAAAAGAAGCATCCATGAGGCATCTAATAACCATGTAATATTGAGTTTTATTCAATGGAAATATAGATAAGAATGACAGAAATTTCAATTTTAACTCCTCAGAACATTGATGGTAACATTACATATTTACCCCTCTTAAATATATGTACAAACATGACCTCTTCATAGAATTCACTACAGAAATCCATTCTTTAAGTACATGTACGCCTTAGACAATGTGTAAAGGTTCTGTTTCTTCTCTTACAAATGCTTTAAGATGTGCTGTAACATAGGAATTTTCTCCGAACTGTTGGCTATCTAATCACCAAATTTGTACTGTTTTTGACATTCTGAAAAGGGAAATAGTTTATGTTACCAACAAATTAAATAACCACTATCGGTAGTACATTTGTACTTGAAAACAAGCTTACTCCTAGATCAGTGGGGAAAAATCATACTTTCCCAGAATGTCAAAGTAAGCCAGAGTCTACTAATATCCATTAAATCAGATTTACATATAGATGTACATGACTATGTTTAGTTACAAAATGTTACAATTGTCAGGAAGTACTTTTCCTACAAAGTCATTTTGGTCAGAGTGGTCAATGTTATTAATTGATAGAAAACCTAAGAAAGAACATTTCAAGGTTTTTTACTCTGGATAGTACATGTACATGTACAAGATCCATTTTTCCCAAGGCAGCTGATATATTGAAATACATTGTTAGTATTAGAAGTTGTCAAAAAGTTTGTCTTTGTCAAAGTGTCTTGAATACATCGAGATACAATACAAAGGAAACAGATTTCTATCATATCAATATTGCACTGGTTCTCTAATATAGAACACACATACTTTAAAAGCATGAAAATTCATGACCTAACATTAACATTAACATTAAATATTTACCTACAAGTGGGATAGTTCATGTCATACTAGTAATCTATCTAATAGTATAACAATTGCCTCAAATAATAACAGACTGAGTACTGTCATACTGTCATGGTCTTTTCAAAAGAGTATTACACTTTTGGGGTAAACTTTGGGGTAAAATTTAGGAAACATTTTTGAGCTGTATTTGACAAAAAAAGGAAGCGTAATAACCTAATCTTAACATTGCTTTCACATGTCAGTGGGGATAGGGTTCAAGAGCTATGGGTTCATGAACTATATTGTCTATACATGAGAAAGTTCTACTGAGTAAGTTTAAACCTAAGAAATGTACTCAACTGTGTATCCCTGAGGTAACTTTATTGTCCTCTCCCTCTCCCCCCCCCCAAAAAAAACAATACCCACAGAATTCTTCCCACTTACAAATGTAGGTTAGTGAACCCTCACATATTTTATCAATTTATTGTATGCCAATAGCATGGCATACAAGAAAAAGCACATGTACAAATGTTTCAGGAACCAAATCTTAATCTTCTTTTTCCATTTCAATGGAAAGAGGTTTTGGCTCATCTAACTTTAATTAGTTTAAAGAAGTCTTACATGTCAATATCTGATCATGGCACCAAAGTTTCAAGAACAAGAAATAGTCTCAGAATTTTTGCCTTCCATGTCTTAATATAACATTATCTACATTGTAGTTAGTTGCACATGACGTTGTATGTACATGTATGAAAGAAGCTCTTTATTCACCAGTCTTTTAATTCTTTTAGTTAAACGTTTTACAAATTATTTACAGACTTTTAACTATCTGGAGTTTTCTGTACTCAAGTCACATACCCTTTCAGCAGCCAGTAAAATGGTCTGATGCTCCAAAAAAACAACTTCATAAATTCAACTTCATGACAAAACTCACTCCATTATTACACTGTAGTTTACGTTTCATACATTCCTGGCAACCACATCCTTGAAACCAGGGCATACCAGGTCAAACCCTGTCAATCAAGTGAAACCCAATCTCCACCCTTTTACTTTGGAAGCCAAACATACAAACCTACACATAAATTAGTGTCACCCAAAACAATACTTCTAGAAGTAATAAAAAGGGAAATAAATACGTTCACTGTCTCCTACCAGGTTGATGGCAAAACGTTTGGCTATGTTTAATTTTGCTGTCTGACAGTTTATGTAAAAAAAATTGCTGGAACAAAGAAAAAAAAGTAAAGTTGTGAAGATTGAAAGACCTCACTGGTAACTATGAAAAGTTGGGTGACTTGGGAGAGCCGCCAGAAATGACAGAAGGTCTGATGACAGCTGTTGGTTTTGTGCCAAACCACGACATCTGGAAAAAAAGAATATTGTATGAAAATGTAAATTGTGGAACTTTTTGCTGTGCTTTCATTTCACAGTAAGAGGGAAATAGAAGTTAACTTGTTAGAAATTCATGCTTGACATGAATCTGTACAACAGTTCCAGTGGTCATAAAAGGTAAACAAATTTGTGGTGGAGAGGTTACTGTTAAAACAGTGGAATTATAACCACTGCAAAAGTTTCACATGCAGAGGTCTGCACTCAATACAATCATGTTCATCCCATGTTCTTAACACATAAAACATTGTTGCGACGATAGTCAAAGGCTGTCATAAAATCTACTATTGCTGAACTTGACAATGCAACATAAATCTTTTATGTTCTTCTTGTTCCTTCATGAAGAGCACTTTTTTATCAAATATATAACATCAAAATTTTATTATTGTGACAATCTTTAGGCAGACTACTAGTAAGGGCTTCAAGGTAGGTGCAATACTTAAAAATTAAATGATGATTCTTTTATACATGACCCATGACCTTTGCCCTTCCACTGACCTTGTACTGGATCATGTCCTTGACCATCCTCTCTTCCTCAGGAGTGAACTTCAGAAGCATGGACACGGCCCTCACCAGCTGGTATGCCTGTTTTTGTTTATTGTGTATTATTTATTCACATAATATATAACGGCAATAGAGAACATTACAACTACTAAATGATAGAAAAACATGCAGTGGGGGAAGAAACTTTTTTTTTGGCCCTCCCCAGAACTAGCTACTACAAACACTACAACATACTACTACTACCACCACCACCACTAATACTACTACAATACTACTACTACAGTGTGTACTACTACAATGTACCACTGCACTACTACTACAGTAACTACTACTGCTACTACTAACAGTAATTATTACTACTAACTAGCGCTATCTACTGACTACATTCTACTATTGCTACTACTGAGTGAGTACTACAGTCTACTACTACACTACTACTAACTACTGTAACAGTAACTACTACTACTACTACAGACTACCACAATGTACCACAGTGCTACTACTACTACTACTGCTACTGCTACTACTACTACTACTACTAACTACTACAACTACACCTACTACCTTTCTTGCTTACCTCATGGTCCCTGCTGGCCACAAACCTCAGGACCACATGTTTGAGGTACCTGAAGTTGATCTCGTTCTCGTCTATGTCCATGACGGCAGGCATGAGTGGGTCGGGCATGCCCAGGTTGGGGTGGGACGGGAACGGCTTGACCGTTGCCATGGCAGCACCGGCCATCGCGCCGGGAGGTACTGTTGGGAGATCTCGCTCCTTGGGAAGGTCTCGGAGCTCTGGAGTATCCCCGTCCACTGGGGTGATTTTCTACAAGGAACAAAGAGGAAACTACATGTAGTAACATTTACAAAGCAAATGCATATTATAATGATTATCTTTGCATATGGCCTGCTCTGTTAATTGTTACTCATAACAAACACAATCAAATATCTGGTGACAGGAGTCTAAATCCCTCAAAATTGCAACATGATGTAACCCAACACTAGTTACCATGGTGACAGCCATTTGGTTCAGGTCAATGACCTTATTTGTTTGGAACGGAAGAAGAAGAAACAGAACAAAAACACTAGAAAGGCCAATATTTGCTTTGGAGCAAATACAGCGATGGGTTCACCACATTTTACCACATGGCAGGGAAAGAATGAGAAACACAAGGGAAAACAATGATTTACATTGATATAACTATAATATGAAGTAAAATACAACTAAAACAACAGTTGGATAGCTATTCCCTACTTTATTGGTTAGGATTTTTAATTGCATAATGCAAACTGTTGATTTTCAAAATAAAAAAAAAACGTCCATGCCCGGCATTCCAATGCTGGAGCAGGAAAGCTTGAAATACCTACCAAAACACTTGAATACAGACATACTGTCAGTATGGAAATGCTTCTGTGCAGGTGTTAATCAAGTTAAATCCCAACAGCCAATCAGCAAGAAGTATAGAGGAAAGCTGCATGCCTATTGGTTGATGCCCTGCATTCCATTGTGATGACTCATGCCCAAACGTGGTAAACAAGGCAAACTAACACAGTAATACATTTGCTATAACACAGCCAAAAAACTCAAATAAAACCATTCTAAAAGCCTGTATCACAATAATTTAAAAAACGCCTAGGGGTATTTGCCCACTGTACCTCCATACCAAATTTCAGGACCTTAGGCCCTAAAATGAAGAAGCTGAATCCATTTAAAAAATGGCAGGAGAAGGAGGAGGAGGAGAAACATCAGAAAAAGCAATATGGTTTCACCACACCACTTCGTGGTGTGGTGAACCCATAAATATGTTTTCCTTCAGTAAACATAATCTTGAGGTTTAATGTTTTTTATGCCAAAGCCTATTGAATCAGAATCTGATGAAATTTGTACCACTTTCTTTTCAATCACCGTTACAGTTACTGTATTAAAGTTGAGTGTTGAAGTATGAAAAGCCAATATGTAGTATTGAACTCCAAGTATGACTATATATAAAATGTACTTACCAATTCTCTCTGTAGTGTTTTCTTAAGGTCTCCTAATCTTTGCTGCTGCATCTTTATTGTCTAGAAGATAAAGGCAAAACTGAAATTATTTACAATGTACAATTTTGGAAACTAAAGATTTACATACAACAGCAAAATATAATGCAGTCTATTTTTTCTCCATCAAGATATCTCTACTACTGTACAGTAACATTTCTGAGTTTTGCACAGACTCAACTTTCAAAAATACAGAAAAATTTAATGTAGTATCAGCTCACCTTATTTTTATCTGCTAACTGTTCCTCTAGATCTGTAACTTCTTTTCTCAATTCCAGGACCTGGAAAGCAAATTAAAGCAATATGTTTACAACTCTTGTATAAACACAAGTTTCAAATTTTGTTACAAATAGTCTATATATAAAAATGTCCTTAAAGATTATACATAAAGAGATTACCTTGGGGTCTTCTTCCCTCCCCTCTTCATCGTCTGCTGTGGACACACAGACATCCTTCCTGTCTTCTCTTCTCCTTCTCTCTGTCTCAGCAGCATCTTCAAGACTTCTCAACTGGTCCAGAAAATACACAACACTAGTTAGTTACTAACATGTACGTAACAAACATTGTCTGAACCATCTTTTGTAAATTTGATGAAACAAACTGGATTCCAGTGTAACTATAAACTTTTTTAACTTAAAGGTAACATTTGCATAGCAAATGCATAATGTTTACCTTCACCTAAGGTCTGCTCTGTAAATTCTTACTCAAACACATTTATACATAGGAGTCTAAATCCCTCCTGCTATAAAATTGCAACATGATGTAACCCAACACTAGTTACCATGGTGACAGACGTCTTGTTCAGGTCATTGACCTTATTTGTTTGGAGTCTGAAGAAGAAGAAACTGAGCAAAAACAATATGTTTTCCTTCAGTAAACATAACAATCTATTCTTATAGTAGAGGATTATTCTCATTTAACAGGAATCTTAAAACCCTTGTCCTGCTGTGCGCAACATATGTCGCGCGGCACATACAGTACCATCTATATAACACCCTGTATAGGTACGATTTGGGGGTATTTCTCGTGCAACGCATCACACCGCAGCGAAACGCAACAAATGTGGAAGTAACTATGCCACTGCAGGGCAAAAGAAAATGGGGGGCTATGATCTAATTAAGACATGAAATTATTTTAAAAAATTGTGCCAGGAATGCCAGCAGGACAAGGGTTAATATTAAAAACACTTTTCTCCTTCAAAACCTTAAAGTGGTGACAAGTTTGACTGTACACAATCTGCCCTGACCTGCTCCTGTGCCTCGGACAGTTCTGCCTCCCTGACAGCGAGGGTCTCCCCCAGGGACGTGATGGTGGTCTCCTGGTCCCTGATGGTGGTGTGTTGTCTGTCTGTCTGCAGCTCCAGGTCCTCCAGGCGCTGCTGGAGGTCAGGGATCACGTTATTCTCCAGCTCCAGGCTCGACACCAGGTAACGCAGGTGGTCACGCTCTGGGAAAATACAAATTGTCAAATTTAAGATCCAACTAGAACATTTGCTTTAGTGGGCTCGTGTAGTGTAGCGGCAGAGTGCGCGACTCGGAACCTAGAGGTCCCAGGTTCGAGTCCTGACATGCCACCGATCTCGTGCCCTTGGGAAAGGCACTTAACACGACTGTCCTCACTTTGCTCAAGTGAAAATGAGTATTGTCCTGTCATGTATTTGTCCCCTGTGTTGGTGGCGGCATTGATATAAGTTGAAAAAACTTGAGTGTGCCGTAACTACGTCTGGTGATTACATGTTGGATTTAAAAAAAAAAAAGCAAAGCATAATGTTTACCTTTGCATATGGTCTGCTCTGTTAATTCTCACTCAAACACATTCATATACATGTATATAGTCAGGAGTCTAAATCCCTCCTGCTATAAAATTGCAACATGATGTAACCCAACACCAGTTACCATGGTGACAGACGTCTGATTCAAGTCATTGACTTTATTGGTTTGGCGAAGAAGAAGAGGAAACAGAGGAAAAACAATAATAAGGACTCCAGCAGCATTTACCCTTTGAAACATCCCTTAGCTCATCTTCAGTCTCAGTTGTTGTAGTTTCCATTTCAGTAACCTGATCTTTCAGGGAAGACAATTCCTCCTCCTTTGATGACATCTGCATAAAAAATAAAAACAAAAATTCTATGCTTGAATGCACCTAAAAATGTCACAGTAAAGGTAAACCTAACAAATACACTGTGTGATCAATGAATTTTTAAGTAAATCAATTGGGCAGACACGGATGTTTCCAATTTCAATAAGTAGAAGAATGGTTCAATTGTTCCAACTCAAATGAACTTTTGTACAAACTGCCAACTTACTTGTTTCTTAAGGTCCTCCGCTAAAATCTTGGCATCTTCCAAAGCATGAGCCAGCTGTAAGTTCTCCTTCTCATGCCTGCTTACCTCCACCTATGTATAAGATACATGTATCAGCATTGATAATACTCCATCTCAAACGGCTAACAACTTTACCATATCATACAAGACTTAGTGGAACAAAATTTAAAATACTGTATAAATGACTCTAACACTGAGGTGTTGCCAAAAACTACTGTTGATTTAGGTTACTTTTACAGTTACTGTAAGCACATGTACAGTTGATTTCAATTGTCTGCTAGTGTCAAAGATTTAAAATCTCTTCACATGGCAGTACCCGAGGCCCATGACCCCAACTGACCTTGAGCTGTTCTTTCTCCTCCTCCAGCCTGCTCATTTGATGTTCCACTTCTAGCTCTTTTTCTAGATACTCTTCTTTCAGGTTTTCTAACTGGGTCTGAAATGAGAAAAAACAGAAAACTAAACTCCTTGACACAAAATGTCATTTTACAGAACGGCGATCTATTTTCCAGCATGGTAAGTTTCAAAACTGAAAACTACTGACCAGTTTGTGTTGTGAGTTAGTCTTGTCAAATTCTCTGGCGGTCTCCAGTTCTGTGACCTTCTGTTCCAGAGAGTTGACCTTGTCCTGTAGGTGCCTCTGTGTGTCGGCAGCCTGTTGTTGGACCCTGCTCAGTTCTGTGCTGTGTTGTGTTTTCTGCAAACAATAATCACCCATAAATAATTTCATAAGGTTGGCGGGATCATTTTTTATTTTAATGTTCATTTTTTTGTTACCTTTATCAGGGCAGTGGTCGAAATACTTTTTTTCAGTGCTCTGCAATATTGCAGAAGAGTCAAAATTTTGTTCTGCAATTTGAAAATACTTTCTGCAAATACACAAGCCTTCATACTAGTATTTTACTATTACTACAAACTTCTCAAACCATTAATATGCAAATTAGTGAAGACAAATTTTTGGAAGTCCAAAGGGAAACAAAAGATAGACATTAGTCAAGACAAGGATGATGTAAATTAGTGAAGAAGCTCCTGTTCTTTTAAAACAGGAGCTTAAAATAAAGTGTTGTCTGTCCTTGGGGCGAGAGAATTCTAGTTTGCTAGATTGAAAACTATTGAATCTGGAGCCTATTTTCCTTCTGCAAAATTGCAGATTGTATAAATTTTTCTTCTGCAATCTTGAAAATCTATCTGCAGATTGCAGACTGCAGACAGGTATTTCGAACACTGCAGGGCAACCATAACAGGTTCTGATTCGTACTACAGCTAGGCTAAATAGCTTTCAATATTTATGTTTACAGAAAGAAAACATTGTTTTTGCTCAGTTTCTTCCTCTTTGCCTACGAACAAATTAGGTCAATGACCTGAAACTTGTGTTGGGTTACAACATGTTGCAGTTTTATAGCAGGAGGGATTTAGACTCCTATCACTGTGACAATATATATGAATGTGCTTGAATGTGTAAGAATCAACAGTCTAAGAGCAGACCATATGCGAAGGTTAACATTGCGCATTTGCTTTGCAAACTTAATGTTACTAAATGTTTCTAGTTCAACATCACATTGTTAATATGCTCAACACATTGATTACCTGTTGATCTATCTGTTCTTGTCTCTCATTGGCTAATCTGTCGTTGTCTGCTGCCTGCTTTTCTGACTCCCGTAGTTTACTTTCCAACTCAGACACCTGAAAAAGAATTACAAAACATGTTTTTGGATTACAGTATTCAAAATATACAGCTTCCATACTCAATGAAAAAACAAATCGAGGCCAAATTGGAACGTACTACTAGTATCAGTATCAAGATTTACCTTCTTTTGGAAAGCAGTTCTTTGTGATTCTGCTTCTTTCTCACTTCTTGTTAATTCTGCGCTGTCCTCTGCCATCTTGCTATTCAGGTTGGCAATCTACAGACACAGGTAGCAAAATATCAACAACTCTGACAGATCTCTTCAGAGGTAAAAAGACACTTAGAACTTAGTATGTTATTATTTCTAAACATTATAAAACTAGAAGGTAACATTTGCAAAGCAAATACATGATGTTAATATTCGCATTGGTGTAGCCGGTCAAACTACTGCTCTGCTTTGTTTCCTTAAACACATTTATAAGGTGACCAGCCCCTCCAACTCTGTCCTGTAACTTGCTACAATCATAATGTATCCAACACCACAGGGTGTCTGCTACAACACCAGTTACCATGATAACAGCCGTCTGGTCCAGGTCATTAAGTTTGGAACGGAAGAAGAAGAGGAAGAAGAAACAGAGCAATATAATATATTATTATAATAATAGAATATATTTTCCTTCTGCAAATTTTGAAGGCGAACATAACTATTACTGTTAGTAATAAGAATACTACAGTGATGATTGTAGATGTAGTTGATGAGCAAAATGACTGTATTGACCTGTAGTTCCAGACTGTTGATTTTCTCACTCCAGTTACTCTTGATGTCTGTTAGCTGCTGACGAGCCTCCTCCAGTCTCAACTCCAGCTGTGTTCTCTGAAGAAATACACAAAACAAAGTGAGAAACAAAACCAAAGTGAGAAACAAAACCAAAGTGAGAAACAAAACCAAAGTAAGAAACTACTGATAACATTGAGTAAGTGCCAGTACATTGTACAACATCAACCATGTACATAAACAACACAGAGGTAATTGGGTAGACAATTAGCTAGTGCATGTACATGAACATGCACATCCCTTTCTTTCTTCCTCCCTTCTTTGTTCCATTTCCTGAGGTGGCAAGACAGTCTTGTAGTTATGGTTGTTGACATAAAATCTAAAGGTTCTTGGTTCGAAGCCCTAGCAGACGCCAATGTTGTGCCCCAGGGAAAGTCACTACATCTATAAATTTCCCTAGTACTTGGCTCAGGTGCAAATAAGCACCTAGCTTCAGTTAGGATTGTCTTCTCGGATGGAAAAATGAAGTAAAGACAGAGGTCCCATGTTTGAGGAGAGCCACATGTGCTCTGAGAAAGTCACTCTACAGTGACTGTCTACACTCTGTTTCCCTAATACTCGACTCTGGTGCAAATGAGTACCTAGCTTCATTTAAGGATGTCCTCTCAGATGGGAAAATGAAGTAAAGACAGAGGTCCCATGTTTGAGGAGAGCCACATGTAAAAGATCCCACCACAGTTATAAAAAAGTAGGGATCATTTTTATTGTGAATTGAATGCACCAAGCCTTACAATCCGGTCTTAAAGCTTGTACTGTACACAAAACTGGTGTGTTACATAAAGACGGTTTTACAAACAAACAAACAAACCCACCTCCTCGATGAGAGCCTGTAGTTTTTCATCCCCAGACATGTCCTCTTGGTCCTGTCTCCTGTTTAAGGTGGACACTTTCTCCTGGAGGTGCTGGATTTCATTATCCTTCTCCTCCAACTGGGTTTCACACTGGGGAAAAGGTAAAACTTATATTCAGTACATACATGTACATGTATATATGGTGACCAGCCCCTCTATCTCAGAGTCTGTCCTGCCACTTGCTACATAATGATGGATTGTTATCCAGCTTATACAACGTAAATTAACTTATCATCAATATTCAACTGTACACAATGATCCTGTACATGAAAATTTTCAATGTTCAGATTAGTTTTTCCCAAGATTCTTATAGTTATATTATGACATTTCAGTTTCAATGTTGTAAGATTTTTATCATTATCATCTATAATTGGACTGATTCATTGTGCTACTCTAATTTTTAGTATAGTGCTACTAGCATTGGACAAAAAGATACATGACAAGCACATTCACAAGTTGCAGAAGCTTGCACTCACACATAGGGGGGAATTCAGGAAGAGGATAAGACAGTTAATAGCCTAATGCTCAAATCACTCAGATATTTTGTGACATTATTATAGTGAAAGTGTTTTTATTCACATCATGCTGCCTGACTTTTGCGAAAGGATTGATGATTGAATTTTCAAGCCTTGAATTTTACAGCTTACATGGACAGTAGAAAATAATTACCATGATGATAACTTTTTTTAAATGTGATGTTAAGTTGCAGAATTACAGGTTAAAGTTACTTTTTTTTACTTCATATGCATGCATTATTACCAATTAAATTAATAATCATGCGATTATATCAATAATATCAAAGTTCCATGCAAGTGAAATTGCCAGAGGGTAGTGTTACAAAGCGAGCCAGCAGAATGTATGTGAACCTGTGTGAAACCTGGATTTTTCACAGTTTTTTTTTTTAATGTTTGGTTAGCAGAATTTTGCCTGTAATGCAGTTGATACCTTTTCCAACACAACATAATTGAAAACTACAGATGGAATGTTATCCAGAAATAAAGAAAATAATACAACTTTAAAGGATATGTCCTGCCAATTGGAAAGTACTAGTCGTGCATGCACAGTACATACATTCTGTGAAAATGCTAGAGAAGTGAGACTGGGTGTTGGGAAGATACAGCAAGGGCAGACAATGGGTGATACAGCAAGCAAAAGTACTGAAATATCACCTTATGTTTGAAAACGTCATTAGTTCTCTTAAGAGCGTCGTAGTCGTCTTTGAGTTCATTGTGCACACGCTGGAGACTGGAGAAGTTGGCTACTTGCTGAGAACCGAACCAGCAAGACACACGAGAAATGAGTACCAAACCAGCAAGACACACCCGTGAGAAATATAAGGCTTATGTGTGTGTGTTTTAAAGATAGAAAATACCCAATGCATGATTACCTGTATGATTAGCCCACCAGGTTAAAAAATGACAAGATACAATTACCGTTTTGCAGTCAGATATTATCACAAATTCCAACATAAGGCCACACAAATTTAATTTGATGGTTCCTTGACTTGCCCGATTCATTTTTTTTTCCCAATTTGCACTAAAAAAAGTATACTTTCATGTTGTGAATCAACTCCAAAATATTTTGACCCCAACAGAATAGAAAAATTTAGCCCAGCATCTTCCCAGTTCTTATTGTTATTCCTGACCATTAATATTAATGGAGTGTTTTTTTTTCAAAAGTTCAGAATCTAATATCTAGGCCGGTTTAGTTTATTTTGCCCACTCACTTACTCACTTCATTGATTTCCTAGAAAAATCTTTAAGAACCAGCAAATTAAATTTATGTTTCTTGTTTTAGTAGTAGTACTTTCCAAATTGAGAATGAGTGTTAGTTTGATAAACAAAATCATTGGGCATACTACAAGGACCAAAATCAGGAAATTATAAGAGTTTAAAGTAACAATAGTGTTTAAGAAGTTAAAATCATACTTACTTCCTGTAACTGTTTGTTAAGAGATTGTAGATTGTCCTCAAGTGTGGCATGATTGTCTTCTACTGTCCTGGCCAACTCATCAAGTTTCTTATTCTCCAACTTACAAGTGTCTCTGTAAACAAGAATTCAGACATTAAAGACTTCTGGGGAGTGTTCTGGGCATCTGTGAATTAAGGGTTAATGACCCGCCCCGAGGTGAATATGGTGTAACCACTGAATGAAGCCACCGAGTGAGCGCAGCAAACAAGGACCAAATAAACTATATATTAAGGGTTTATTCCAAACCTTTCTTTTCTCAAAGTCTCCAGGTCTTCTTTTAGCCTGGTTACTTCAGCTTCAGCCTGCTGTGTTTTCCTGCTATCCTCGGCAGCCTGTGTTTCCAGGCTGGTGATCTTCTCTGACTTCTGCTGCAGCTCTGCTTGGCACTTGCTCAGTTCTTCTTGACTGTTCAGCAACTGTTGGAGAGAAAATCAGAAACAAGTAGGTTAGGTAATGTAATGTATATGTTGACTCTGAATCTGAAGGTTCTGGGTTCGAATCCCTGCCAGGCCCATGTTGTGTCATTAAAATGGTACTTTACACCTACTATTTTCTCCCTGACAGATGAAAATGAGAACAATCATAGGGTCTTCCTCTCAGATAGGACATAAAGCCATGTTAAAGCCATGATAAAGGTCCCACGGCATTTACATGTGCACTAATAAAAAGAGTAGGGGTCTATTCGAGTGTGAGTGGTTCAAATCTTACAGTTCGATCTTTATATGCAGCTGGTACTTAATGTACAAAATTGGACTGTTATGCCTAAAGACGGTTTACCAGTTATGGGGAAACAAAATGGTCATCAATAGAGGTTTTGACTTAAAGACCTTTCTGTATCTGTACTTGTATAGCCGGTACAGCCACCCTTTGCTGTAACACACCAGCTTCGAAGGCAAACGGCTGGCTACATTACACCAAACAACTTGTTACACCTAACCCTTGAACATCTAACTCTAAACATTGTCTAAATCTATCTCTTTATCCTGTTGCTTTCTGTTTAATATGTCATAATCTTTCCATAACTTAAGTCCAAACCTCACCATATGTTTGACCTTGGCCAGCTCCTGTGTCTGGAACCCCTCCAGTTCTTCCTTGTCCTCCTCCTGCTGGTACAGTTTAGCTGTGGTCTCTGCTGCTGCTGCTACCTGCTTCTGCAGAGCTGCCTTCTCCTGGAGAAAGGACAGTTATACAGTAATGCTTTTAGGCTGTAGAAATACAGTAAAAACAGCCAGGATTTGAACTCCTATCCTCTTGGTCCAGAGGCAGGGTTGCTAACCCACTAATTATGCATGCTATTGTACATATACCAGCTCTTCTACTGGATTGTAGCTTAGAATCTGATTCTTTTCATATTTCAAAGATGAAGGAAGGAAAATGTGAAACCATGATGATATACATTGGAATGTATTATTTAGTACATTTAATATCTGTGTGTGTGACATTGTAATGTAAAATACTTTCACAATTTCTCTACAATTTCATTACCTTCTCAACTGCATCAATGGCTTCTTTGACTTCCTGTAGATGGAATAGAAAGAAAGTGTTACGGCATACAAAGAAAACGAAGTGGTAACTTCTCACACACATTCCTATATATGCTGACCAGCCCCCTCCAAGGAGGTTAACCTCCTTGCCCCCTCCTACTTGCTACATAATGTAATCCAACACCACCTGGAGTCCACTAGTGTAACAGTATCAGTACTAGTTACCATGGTGACAGCTGTCTGGTCTAGGTCAATGACCTTAAACTTATTTGTTTGAGGAAGAAGTGGAGCAAAATAGTATATTTTCCTTATACGAAGGTACATAATAGCTAAAACATTGTGGGTTATGTTATAAGAAATCTATTGAAGAAGAATTCTGTGATCACCTTGTCCTTTTTGTCTAAAGCCAAGTTCATGTTTTCTGCCATCTTGGATCGCTCCGCTTGGTAGCTCTCATTCATATCCTGGATCTTTTTTGCCATGCCTGAAAGAGCAAAAGGCAATACCCTGTCAATCAATTTAAACACAAATCTTCACCCACTCACTTCCAATCCTTGCTGCTCAGGACAAGACCCATGCAAACTCTTTCTATTAGTAGTAAGCATTGCACCACCCAAAACAATACTTCTGTCTCAGAAGTAAAACACAGAATACAGGTACACATACACATTATCAAGATTTCAATTGGTTTGCAAGGGGTGTTGGGGAGGCTATCCAGGTCCGAAGACATCACAGTCACTACCTGAAACCTGTATATGACTGTCTCTTGTCACATGATTATCACATCTAGTCACGTGACAAGAGAACTCCAAGATGAGATCTTAACAGGGTTGAAGAAGAGACAGAGTGCGTCTTGAAAGGTACCCAGAGTAGCTGAACTTTGTTGTGTGTTTCTGTATAAATATTTTGTCAAAAGGTACACATACTGTCTTGTGTGTTCTCCAGTGCAAGTTGAAGTTTGTCCTTTGCCTTTGTCACTTCTTTCAGTGATGAGATGTACTCTGGAAAGGCAAAGAAAAGAAAGACTGTTTAATTCAGATTCTGGTTTATAAAAAGTACAAGAAAGCATCTCTTTGCAATTCCTTGATTAATGATAGTCAATGATAGCATAGCTTATATGTTTGTTGGTTATTGAGGACACATAGCCATGAATGTGCAAGTAAAGATCATTGTAAAAATCATTGATTTAAACTCTAGACTTGTATTATTTTCTTAAAAATCATTCTTCACGAATCTTTTTAACTATTTAAGGCATGGGATACCTGAATGATAAAGTCATGTATAATGGTAATGCTTTACAACATTGTAGATTATGACTTAAGAAATAGATGATACCATTAAACAAAGAAATTAAATCCATTTTGTGATGAACATCACTGCTGTAAACATCCTATTTATACATCCTGTAGCTGCAAATAAACATCAAAACAAAAAGTTCCTTTTTCTGAGGAGGAATTCAAACATAATTACCATCACTGAAATTCAATAGATTTAAGCACCTTTAAAATTAAAGCTCAGACTTATAGAGAATTCTAATGAAAGTCAAGGAATGAAACATACCGTTGAGTTTGGCCTCTAGTCTCTTGACTTGGTCTGTTCTCCTGATCAGCATAGTCAAAACCTCCTCTTTTGTAGCATCCTTAGTCTGTAAATGAAATCAAACAGAACTTCATGATCAAGACAAGCTAAACCATTTGTATATTGAACCTGGCCAGAACCTAGTCAAATCTACCAACGTGCCCAATGTTGTGCTTTTCGCAACGTGCCCTGAATGTTGTGCTGTCCAACTTATACAATACAGTTTGACAAAGAAAAAGTTGCATGAGGACACTTTTCTTTCAATATCAATGTTAGAAAACCAGTTGTACAACATTTTATTACTAAGCTAGAAAAGGTTGATCAGCTCGAAAAATTAATATTTATGTCACTTGCAAACAGAAGACACAACATATTTTTTCTTAGGCCTATCACAAAATGTGCCTGTTAGTTTAAGCTAAGACATGCTCACCACAGCCTTGGTCAGGTCAGTCTGGCTGCTACTGGGAGACATCCCGGCTCCAGTGTTCCCCGCTCTCCCAGCATGCCCTACTGGAGAGGCGTGGCCCGGCATTCCGAAGCTCTTACGGCCCTCGGCGGGGGGCATGACCTTTGACCCCTCCTCCTCCGCTAGCTTCTGCTTCAGTTTGGCAAACATGATGCCGAGAGCTGCAATATGAGCAAGAAAAAGTCATCATTATGTTAACCGAAGGAAAACATATTGTTTTTGCTTTGTTTCCGACTTCTTCTACAAACCAATTGCAAAAAGGTCAATGACCTGAACCAGACTCTCTGTTACCATGGTAACATGGTTGGGTTACATTATGTTGCAATTTTATAACAGGAGGGATTTAGACTCCTGTCACATACAGATATACTAGTTACATGAATGTGCGAATATGCGAAAGCAAACATGTTACCTTTCTAGTTATCTATTGTTTTGGGCAATGCTGCTTTAGCGAGTGTCTGTATTGTATGTACGTGTCTGTATCTCATCTTATTAAGCAGCAAGGATTGGATACGAGTGGGCAAAGATTTGGTGTCAGTTGATTGACAGGGTTGTGACCCAGTCAACCTTGGCCATGGGTGGTAGGATGTGGTATGAGATTGCAAAGAAATTATGTGTACTGTGTATTCATATTGAAAACTATAAACTATGTGCATACAAGTTCTACAATTACTATTGTCACATATTACTCAAGTAACAATTCTTTATTAAATTCAATCAATATTTCCCTATGGTCATACATTTGTACAACTTTTTGCAATTTCAGTGTATTTGCCAAACCCATGATACAAGCAGATGTTGCATATTTTTTAGGCTGTCCCACTTTTCAGACACTAACAATAGTTTTTGTGTTGACGTGTCAGAAAAGTGGCACGACCAGGAAACATCTGCTGGGTGTTTCTACTGTTTTCTCTTTCTTTTATCACCTTCCTTTACTTTATTCCAACTCAGAATCTTGTCTATAATACAATACAATACAATAGAAAAATGGTTCTTTCAAAACTACCATAAATACAAAAAAACATAATTTTCAATGCTTCTTTCTGTAAATTCATTTTTTTTTCGGTGAGTTCTCACGTATAAATGACACAGCATCATTATAATCCTTATACAAGCAAAATCTTGTAACAGTTAACGTTATATAATAAAGAATATTTTTGGGAAGCGTTTTAATTTTACCCCCCTCCCCAAGCTTCGTATACTTCGACTTGTCATATACAACCCAGAGAAGCTACTAAGGATACGTTTAAGAGAATCTATACTCACCATCAAAGTCTCGAGGACTTCTGCCGACCGTCCAAACGCCCTACGGCTCTTCTGAGGCGAGATTTGTTTGGTTTTTATCGTCTGCGAATGTTTTGATTTTCAACTTCCGCCCTGTTGGCAGCCGACAGTGGCGCGGGCACCGCATCCAACCATTAAAATGTGTAAAAAAAGCACTAAGAATTTTTACTACGAAAAGTCACTTAACATTGAACTAATAACTTTACAAATTAATATAAGAAAGGTTTAGTTCGCTGCATTTGTGGGATTATGTGTTTTGAAAACCGAATGTGGCTTAAATTTTCGCTCGTTGCGTTTGGTGATTAATGGGTCAAAGGTTGTAATTTACGAATTCGAGTGAAAGTGAGGAGGGGCGGTATGGTTTTCTTTTTGACAATGTCGATATTTTTCCCCTAACGTCAGTCACGTAAGTTGTGTATTGTCACAAATATTTCCTATCTTCTATACCTGTGTAATGCGTAATCGTGTTAAGCCATTTGCTGGTCCTAAGTATCGTGAATTTTTGCTTTCCGGAGTACGATAGAAAAATTTATTTGATACAGTTATATAAATTTTGCTGATGAACACAACAAATTCACTACAAATTACAATATGTTGTCACTTATTTTCATCAATGGCACAATTTTAATTGAGTGAATTATGTTCATGGCAGGAAAACATACATGTTTTGTTTTTGCTCAGTTTCTTCTTCCTCTCCAAACAACATCAGGTCAATGACCTGAACCAGACGCCTGGCACCATGGTAACCAGTGTTGCATAATGTTGTAATTTTATAGCAGGAGTGATTTAGACTCCTGTTACCATGTATATGAATGTGTTTGAGTAAGAATTAACAGAGCAAACAATATGCAAAGGTAAACATCATGCATTTGCTTTGCAAATGTTTATATAATACCTTTCTCATTTATCTTTTCATTTTCAGATCACATTATGGTAACCATGGAAGACACACCCATGACCACGCCTAGTGAGGTATCCATGGAAACACCACACCCACAGGATCCTGTGCCCCACCCTATGAGATGGGAGGCTCCCAACCGTTCCTTCACAAAGTACATTTTAGAAAAAGGCAAAGGGATCGAAACCCCCAACCTAGGTGCAACCTGCGTTGTCCAGATCATACCGTTGGTCAGCGAAGGTCTGGAACAAGGGCTTGTCGGGTACCCTATGTATGAGGAGAGTGAGATAACTTTAGGTGAAGGGGATACAGAGATTTCGGAGGCCCTAGATGCCTGTTTTGAGACTATGCAGGCAGCCGAGGTGTGTGAGGTGGAGGTGGGTAAGAAAACGGTCGGAATGGGAGCCGGCGACAAATTCCTGAGGTTCCAGGTGCAGCTGAAAGAATTCACCCGCAAGGACGAGCCCTGGCACCTGGGATCCGACGAGCTATTGGCCGTCGCCGCTCACCACAAGAACAAGGGAACGGAGTGCTTCAAAGCGGCGAGAATCCGCCCCGCGATCCGTCGCTATTCCCGAGCGCTCAAGCTCCTCGTCATGTTGGGAAAGGATATTCCCGAGGACCAGAAAACGGCGTACACGAACATGAGAGTGGCGTGCTATCAGAACGTAGCGGCGTGTCAGATCAAACTGAACCAACACGACTTTGTGATTAAGAACTGCAGTAAGGCACTGTTGCTAGACCCCGGGCTTGTCAAGGCACTATACAGAAGAGGCTGTTCATACACTGCCATTAACGAGTTTGACAAGGCAAGAGAAGACTTACAGAGAGCCCTGGAGATCGAACCAGGCAACAGGGCAACAATCGAACAATTAAAACTCCTGGAGAAGAAGACAAAAGCCCAGGATGAGAAGTATGCTAAAGCCATGGCTAAGATGTTTGGTGGGCCGGTGAAATAAGCCAACAGGAAGCTGTCTTTGCAGTCATCCCGAAGACTACTGTAAATCGTGAAACTTTTGTGGCGGTTTTATTTTCCGCGGTGACCTGTCCTATGCAAATTCATGAAAATGTCTTCCTTGTACTGTACTGCAGAATTATTTCAACTGCAAATTTAAAATACAAAGTTTTCCATTCCATGCCATGAAATAAAACCCTTGCAAATGTTTGATGATTTACAGTGTACACTAATGTCTGAAATTTAAACACTCAATGTGATATTTTATATCATGCCCACTTATAATCTGGCATGTGTTTGTGTATTCTTGTTAAAACTTAGATGAAGATACACTTACTGACTTAGTCCACTGTATGAAATAAATGTATCCAGAAGTACTAGTATACATACATGTATATACATGTATGTGTCAGGTCCTAGAAACGACCATACACGTTACAGTGTAATATAGAAAATACAGGATTTCAACATACAGCTCCCAAATCCTGGGTGCGTGACACTTACTTTAAATTGTTTAAGGGGACTTTGCATAAATCTTGTCCTGAGCAGCGAGGATTGCAAGTGCAAGGGCAGAGACTTGGTTTCATTTGATTGACAGGGTTGTGACCCAGCATGCCCTGGGTGGTAGGATGTGGCATGAGCTGATTGCCAGGAATGTATACACTACAATCATGTAACCATGGTATGAAATATAAACCATGTTGTAATGAAGTAACGATACCTGGTTGAGCATGATGTAATTCAATCGGGTACTTCCCCAGAATCATATAATTCCAACATTCACAAAAAAAAAAAACACTAAGTCTTCCTGAAAGTCTGAAATCTATGATTTCTTGCTATGGAAAATAAACAGGCACACACAAGATCCTGCTTGCAGACTTTATTTCTCTGAGTGCCAATTTGGCGACTAACCTCTGAGATATGCCATATCCTAGTTGTGTAGTAATTATCATGTTTACCGAAGGAAAACATATCGTCTTTATATGCATTTGTGTACTCCAAACTATCTAATTCTGTATGTTTTTGGACTTAACTGAATTAATTTTTCCCAATAACACTTAGATTAGTTAGAATGTTATAATCCTAAAACCTTGAATTGCTTCACACACTCCATTGAATTAAATGATTGAAAGAATAAATAGCTTATTATGATAATTATGATTGGCTGTGAAAAGTGTATCATGGCCACAGGCTGTATCGCATGCTCTTTCCTAGGTACCGGTGGTGCTACCTCAACAATTGACTAATCTTCTAATTACAAATTCTTGTTGATAAAAACCATCTTATCTGATCCGTAAAAACACTGAAATTAGTAATAACTTAAGACAGGTACATGTATGTTTTAGAAGAGATATGCTTGGGTACACATAATGTATTCAAATTATGATATTGAACACCTTGAATTACAGTAAGGATAACTGTGTAAGTACATTCAATGCCAGTTTTCATGTTACAAGACCCATGTTCTGCAACACATACATGTACTTAACTTGCATTCTAGTATTTATGTTTCTACAGTTAACTCATATTTACTACATTTGCATGGACATGGCCGTGGGCTTGGTTTGACACTGGCAAATACGTATGTGGCCTAGTGATATACGATAAGTAGGTCTGTTCTTGCATAGATAAACATCCATGTATAATTTATTATTTCCTTTAATTGTCACTATGCATTGCTCTGCAGTGACTATTTCCTTTAGCTACACTGATATATGGATTAAATCCTCACATGCATCAATTTGTGTTAGTCCCCCCCTGAAAAGTTTTGTTTTCAATCATACTAGCTGTTTCTTTGGGTACATGTACTTTGAAGAATGTAGAAAAAAAGAATTGCCAAAAGAAGGGAAGTAGGGCTGGAATTACCACTTTCTTGCACCATCAAGGCTTTCAAAGTCAAAGCACAAAATTAAAGAATTCATTGTTTAGTTTACCATGCTCTGTGTGTTCAGAAAGTTGTTCAACCTTCCTTACCGCAAACATTTCACATTGTATCTAGATGACCTTTTTTTTCATTTTTCACATGCGAGCATCAGGTTTAGGGTGCTCAGATGATGTAATCCATATTATCAAATCAGCACGACCTAGTAATCTACCAAAATGACTGACAAACAGAACTATAGCTCTCATGAAAGTTCATCTGTGTTGGTAGTTACATGTTTAAAGTTAAAACGTTTGGTCCAACATAAAACGTTCTCTCACCTTGAGCTTTCAACCAGTCACTCTGGTCTTCTTTACACTTGAAAGAAGCCACGTGACAAGCCTCACTGGGTCAGTCTACTGAGGATTCCAGAGTGACTGGTCGAAAACTCTAGGTGAGAGGACTTTTTGTGTTGGATCAAAAGTTTTAACTTTAAACAAAGAACTATTACATGTATTATATTATATAATAGGTCATGTCCATATTTACTAATTTAGCCATAACAGCAATAAAGGGTAGCAATTTTAGGGCATATACACATCATTTGTGATAATCTTACTTTGGAAACCACACAAATTCCATGACTTAACATGTAGCTTACAGTACACAAAATACATGACATCGTTCACAGCTTGCAAGCAATGCAACAACACAAGGCACTCACTGGCTCTATATGTACCCGTCTATACTATCATCAGCTTTTAGCATAACAGCAGCAATACAATATGGGGATTCTAAGCTTTGACCACATGATACAAAAGGCTGTCACTATCTCAGGGGTTCTAGAGTATACAGTGCAATTTTACGGAATACAGTGCAATGGTTTTAGACTAAGTAATACAGTACAATTTTACGGAACACAGAGCAATCGTATTACTATTAGTATACAGTGCAATTTCACAAGTATACAGTGCAATTTTACTAGTAAAATTTACTAGTAAAATTGTACTGTATACTAATACGATTGTACTGAATTCCGTAGAATTGCACTGTATTCCGTAAAATTGCACTGCATTCCGTAAAATTGCACTGCTTTCCGTAAAATTGCACTATATACTCTGGCACCCCTGCTCTCTGGAATTGGACATTCCATAATGTGCAAGATATGTTCACACAGAAAAAGCTCCGAATGCTATCGAACATGCATGTATGACTAAGGATTGGGTGTCATTTTTTTCATTAGTACTATCAGAATGAGCGTTTAAGTTTAATTCTTGAACGCTACTTGCTTTGATGTTTCCTGCACCCCCTATCAACTCAGCACTGTACTGCAGCGCTGGAACCTACATGTATATCACCTGATTAGTTTTATGAACTACTTTCAACTTTGACACATACCTGTGAAGCTAAAATTCCTAAGCTCCAATGCAAGTTATGCATATATTAACACAACAGTTACCATATTGTCTCTCTATGTTTACTTTAACATGTCATTTTCCATAGCAAATATATATATATTACCTCTTAATCTTAATACTATGGACTTCCTAATATATTATCATGTATACACCAAGGACCTGGCTTTTCATAGTGTTGTTTTTATATATCTACCAGTGCATAGGTAATGATGGTACAGTAATATTTCTTACATTGTGTTTATAGCCCTTTGTCTATGAGTTGCGATAATTATATCACTACCTGTTAAAGCACTGCTGTTAACCCTCTGAATGTTGCCTAATCTTGTTATCAAGAGTGCCAAGTGACTACCTTAGCAGTGTGGAGGTTAAGGTTGATAGATGAGGTTATATTATTCCTATTGGTATCAAAGATCTTAGGCAACACCAATTTAATTTGTTGGTTCTCAGATTCGCCTTTTTCTGATTTGCACAAAAAAAAAATTCAGGCTCTGAATCAACTCAAAAATGATCATGTTTTGCCCCCAACAGTTGAGGGAAGTACTTTTCTTCCTTGTTGTTACAGTTTTTCCGTCTATCAATGCAGTGGTTTGATTAAAAATTCATTGTTTAAATATCAACCCAGCCTTTTGTGTTGACTTCATGGCTCCTATCGTACATGTACCATTTGGGGCTATAATAGGATGCCCAGACCTATTTTTTTTGCCCTGTCGCTTCATATTTTTCTGAAAAAAATCTGAGAACCAACAAATTAAATTGGTGTGGCCTTACTCCTGCCTGTATTTTTGACACTACTTCGAGGTGTTTGGAAATGGTAGTAAGGTTATCTATTTGCCCTGGTTAGAAGTTCGAACAATTTGTGCATGCCGTGTAAAATCTGATAGGGTGCAGAGATGATCTTTGTGTTCTGTTTAATTACTGGTACGTCTTTTATAGATACAGCAATCAGCATTTCTTACAATGCTAGTCCATTAAACAACTTTAAAAAAAAACTCAAAATGCCCCCATCGTTTGCAAGCACAGCATGGTCAAAAAATGAGCCATTTTGCAAATACTGGTCACAGCGAGCAATCTTCATGACTTGTCTATAAGTCTTCTGCATAGAGTTTCTGACTTGCATTAAGTACATCATTTTGTACATTTTTCCAGAAACAGCCTATATTATAAATGCCAAGTCTCATCTAATTCATAGCCTTGAAAGCAGCTGGAAAGAGTAGAAATTGGCCAGAAAGACAGATGCTATACGAGGATGCACTGGAGAGTACATTTTGCCACTCCTGAGCAGACCAACTCCCCTTGTATGTTATGTCTTTCTGGCCAATTTCTGCTCTTTCTAGCTGCTTGCCGGAGCCTGGAAGAGGCTGTCTAGTTCAGTAAGTTGGATGCAGCAGTTCCAACCTGATAGTGCTGTTATATAAAGCTTACTAAGGCAAGTCTACAACTATAGACACTCTGCTTATCCTTTTATTACTACAACTTCACTACTTCTGGGACAGAAGTATTGTTTTGGGCAGCGCTGGTGTAGGGGGAGTTTGTATGTATCTCATCCTTGGGAGCCAGGATTGGAAGTGATGAGTGGGAGATGATGGTTTCAGTTGATTGACAGGGTTGTGGCCCCTATATCGTAGGATGTGGTAAGAGGTTGCCAGGAATGTGTACTATGTAATCATGGTATGAAACATAAACCATGGTGTAATTCTGAAGTTAGGTAGACATGGGTTGGATTTTCTTCTTGTGTTAATAGTATGGAATGAAAGAAAAACTGTTCTCAAAGAGGTAGAAGTTTGAAGAAAGAACAAAATAAAAGGTACAAACAAAACAAGTTCATTTTAAATGGCAGACTGCACATTTCCATCATACAAAAAAGTGCAAATGATTTTATTCAAAAGTGCAACGTTAACAAAACATTCAGTAAAACAAAGACAAGCAGCAGTAGGAAAATAAAACTTTGATATTTAATGAAAATAATCATCAATAAAAATAAAATGTCTTATAAAATGAAAATCATTCATGCTATAATGTTGTGGTCTCTAGTGCAACATGTAATGTCTCTTGTGCTAAGCATGCTATCCTCAAGCTAGGAATGCTGTCTCTAGTGCTATGAGTGCTGTCCCTAGTGCTAGTCATGCTATCATCGTGAAGGGGATGCTGTCTCCAGTGGAATGGGTGCTGTCCTTAGTGCTGAACATGCTATCCTAACACTGGGGATGCTGTCTGTAGTGGAATGGGTGCTGTACCTGCTGTCTGTAGTGGAATGGGTGCTGTCCTTAGTGCTGAACATGCTATCCTCCCGCTATGAATGCTGTCTGAAGTGGAATGGGTGCTGTGCTTAGTGCTAAACATGCCATCTTCATGCTATGAATGCTGTCTGAAGTGGAATGGGTGCTGTCCCTAGTGCTGAACAAAATATCCTCATGCTTAGGATGCTGTCTGTAGCGGAATGGGTGCTGTCCTTAGTGCTGAGCATAATATCCTCATACTAGGGATGCTGTCTGTATTGGAATGGGTGCTGTCCCTAGTGCTGAACATAATATCCTTGTGCTGGCAATGCTGTCTGTAGTGGAATGGGTGCTGTGCCTAGTGCTGAACATGCTATCCTCACACTAGGGATGCTGTCTTTAGTGGAAAAGGTGCTGTCCATAGTGCTGAACATGCATGCTATTCTCTTGCTAGGGAAAAGAGGTTTATTATAGCACATACAAAAAAGTGAAAACACATAATCTGAAAATAAGAGGCTTCGATGTACATTGCACAAGCTGTTTTGGAGAATATGCACATACAAAAAAAATAAATTACATGTGTAATTATGTATCAAATTTTGGAGTTTTTTAAGCTCTGTACCCTTGTATCTTGGGACCAACCATGCTAGACTGGATATTTTGCATTTGGGCCTGCCTTTCTACAAAGTACTGATTTGTTCAGACCTAATTTTATCAGGTTGGTGAATGATTCATGTTCTTTACTCACTATTGTTGTGACAATATCTAATATGTATGTCACAATTATTTAACGTTTGGGACAGCATCCTTAGCAGTAACACCTAATGCCCTGATGAAGATGACAGATGGTCATCCAAACGTCTGCTCTTGTTAAACAAGTGGTTGTGAATGAAGGACTTTGCTATTCAATGTTGTACATTCTGTATTTCAGTGTCAGTATTGGTAGCATGTGGACAGAACATACTGCACCTGCGCAAAATCCGTAATGCATTGTGCATAGCACTTTGGCAAAAGGTCTCATAAAGGTCATATTTGCGCATATAAGGTTAATATCCCGTCTGTCATTTCGAAATGCTATGTTGGAAAAGATACGTCCTGCAACAGACCAAAATTCTGATACAACGCTGACCAAAAATCCAACAAAAACTGTGAAAAATGTAGCCTCCATAGAATGCCAAAAACTGGGAGTTTTGGGGGTCTTGAGTGTCTTTAAGTGCTATTTTCTGATTGCATATAGACAGCATAGCCGGCCTGGTTGAATTACCCCCGTTTAGAAATAGGCTAATCAGAAAACCACCAAACCCCCAGTTCTATAAGCCTGCTACGGAGGCTAGAAAAATGGGTGTTTTGTGCAGGCGCAGTACGTTCTGCCGACGTGCTAGTATTGGTGGCATCAGCTTCCCTCACACCATCTGTACTGCCGCTTTCTCCAGCTTGGGTTTCTGGGTGAACTCCCACCAGTTCTGCACGCAGCCCTTGTCGTACTTGTCGGTGTAGACGCAGAAGCCGCAGCAGCGCACCTTGTAGGTCTTGTTGCGGATGGCGACACGCTCCTCGCGACCCGTCATGTTCCAGGAGATGTTGATGAGCTGGGAGATGAGGATACCTGACATGGCGGTCAGCACCATCATGGTGTAGTAGCAGCAGGTGAAGACTAGGGCAGAACTGAGGAAAGTAGAAAGAACATCCATTATTATTGGCCATTTCTGTTACAACACAGAAATGTGTTGTTCTGTTACAACACAGAAACTAAATTTTAATTAGGCAATTAGGTTATTCTCTAATAACTACGGATAATTAGTAGATATCAATTTGTGCAAACGTACGTTTGTAGCTTTGACAATTATGCACATGAAAATACTTTTATTTCAGTTACTTGCACCAAAGTGCTATATTATAACTTTAAAGATAATTACATTTGGGGCAATAAAATGTGATGACGTCATCCATATGGTCAAAAAAATTATATTCATAACCCTTTTGTACCCAGGTATCAATATTCAGTACAACTAAATTTCTTTCTAAATTTCTTTGTGAGAAAATGATGGAAAGCTAAAATGCCAAATTAGCCAGGGAGGACACCTTAAGACGAGCTGTATGACTGGTGTACAGACATATATTGACCAATCAGATAACAGTACATAACATGGTGGTCAGCACAATCACATTGTAAGACTAGGGCAGAATTGAAGGGTGTGGAAAGAAAATCGTCCACTATTGGCTGCTTCTGATCAAACAAGCCACCTGATTGGTCTATGTAAATGTGCTATCCAATCAAATCAGCATATATGTGCACGATAGCTGACCTGGATGTGCTGTACGCCTGAGGACAGTAGGGGATCCACCTCTTGCTGTACCAGCCAGGACAGGTGCTGTTGAGGGACAGCCAGACCCCATACCCAGCTGACACCATGAACAGCACCAGTGTGAGGAAGAAGCTTCTGTGGTTGTTCTTCCCAACACAGTGGTCAATCCTGAGGACAGATGTTATGATCATAGTTGTGATATACTATTTTCATGTTTACCAAAGGAAAACATTGTTTTTTGCTCTGTTTCTTCTTCTTCCGTTCGAAAAACTGACCTGGTCAATGACCTAAACCAGACTGTCTGTCACCATCATGCCATTCATGGTAACTGGTGTTGGGTTACATCATGTTGCAATTTCATAGCGGGAGTGATTTAGACTCCGGTTACAGCCATATATATGAAATTCAATGTATTTGAGTAAGAATTAACAGAGCAAAGTTTCTTTAAAACTCAAATACAGTGCTCTCCTGTTATTTGCATGGACGATTTGTCAGGGAATTTTATTCCTATAACAGGTTTAGTCCAATAACCTTAGGAGAGTCCACACGACCGACAGGGAGGGGAGGTCAGTTGGTTATGGATGATACTGGGCTGGGGCCAATTGAAACAACCACAAACATGATGTTATTGGTATTTGTATACTCACTTTCACCCACAACTACATACATGTACCATATTCTAATCTTCAAGTCGCATTCAGAAACTCATAATGAACAGGGCTAACATGGAGATAGAAGATCAGACACATTCCACCTTCATAGTGTTGGGCAAAAGCTTACCAAACCTAAAACAACAGTCCAATCAAGGACACCAAAAAGGAACAAAGGACTTCTTTTCACACAATCAGTGATTGGGGGTTCTCACCTGTCCAGAAGGAAGTGACAACAGAGAAAGTGTATGACAATGGAGGGTGCAGGGGTGATAATGAATGAAAAACAATGGACTTCATGCGGATTTGCTGATGCGCAACAAGTTACATGTATTTCTTTCACGTATTTCTGGGTCAGTGTGCCATTGACCTGGAAATATTTTAGTCCAATATCAGGTTAAAGTCATAACAGCTCATGCAATTATGCCATGCAATTTATAATGTAGTGAATGGGAAATGGTTTGGGTTTTCAGAATTTTATGCAGATCCCAGGTTTATGCCAATGTCAGTGATGCAAATAGTTGGTGAGCACTGTACTGGCCAATGTCTTATTTTACCTGGACCTTCTAAAATATGTCAATAATAAGCAAAAAAAAGTAAACTTATAAAATTAGTGAGGTGTGCCTTTAAGTTAGTGTACCATACTTACCATATACAGTGGTGGTCAAGCCTTAAGACACAACGCCTACAGATCATGCAATGTCCAGCTCGGGGTGGCCTGGGCATCTTACACACGTGACACCACAGGTGCCGGTCAGTTACCCTCTGTCCTTCCATATCGATGACCGCATCTTGACCGGCGTCCTTGGTGTCCCTGTTGTTGTTGTTCCCGTTCCTTTGGAGGGGCCTGTTGTTGGTGTGCTGCATAGTGCTGTCATTCTCATAGGGGGCGCTGCTGGACTGTATCAAACTCACATCGCCCGCATCACTCCCGTTTTGCACCGGAGTCGAGCTCCGGAACTGGACGCCGTTTCCTTGCGAGTTGCTGCTCTCTTCGTGTGGCGGATCTTTCACCCCGTTCTTTGGGAAGTTGTGTTTACTGTCAGTTCCTACGGTATTTCCGGTGATGAAGCCGGGGTTTTGTTTCGCGGACGTCAGCGCGGCGAGCATGGAGAACATCAGACCGGTGAGGAGACATGTTTCCGCGGACGTCACAATGCCGAGAGGGACCACCAGGCGGACGTACAGCGAGTAAAGGTAACCCACGGACACCAGACCCCAGCTCAGGAAGAAAGGCCCGCTTTGGCGTATTTTGATATATCGGAAATAGTACCTGCGAAAACATGATTATCAGACATTTTTTTCAAATATCATTCTTTTTTATCATTTCATGTTAAGTAAAATGAACACAGATGGCAAACAAGAAAACTGATAAACCAAGTACTCAGGGACATATCGTTAAAACTCCTTGGTTATGCTACTTGTGGGACAGATGAATGTAGAAAAGCTGTATAAAACAAAAAAAAATAAAAACAGGTAATAATGATATATATGGTATGTTTCTATACAAGTCTAGCCAGAATACATCCAGATAGATTTGAGAAAGAGCGTCTAATTAATACATGTAAGTTTAGTTACATGTAGTTCTGTATCTGTATCGGTATAGCCGGTACAACTGCCCTTCGGCATAACACACCAGCCTTAGTTAGCAAACTAGTTTGAAAAGTATGCAAAGTAAACAGGCTATCTCTTCTAAATATTCCGCTTACATTTATGATTATAACTGCAAACTGAGTCCAACAGCCTGGCTATATCTTTAATATTTCGGATTCATTTTCAAAGAGCGCCTTAAGGACGGATTTCTATCTGGCTGGAGGCAAAAGATAAATAGCTTTAAAAAACTTGAGACATACTCAAAAATAAAAAAGAACTTTCACATCGAGAACTATCTCCTTTCTGTTCAAAACAAATCCTTTATAGTTAATACCACAAAATTAAGAATCGGAGCACACTGCCTAGAGATTGAAAAAGGCAGACACAACAATATACCAGCCAGTCAGAGATTATGTCCTACGTGCAAAGATGGAGTTGAAGACGAATATCATTTTCTGATGACATGCCCCACATACGACGAAGAGAGACGCAAATTAATGCAGATGATCCGATGTAAGACTACTAAAACATTACCCAACACATCTAGAGAGACGTTCCATGTACTTATGTCATGTCCAGACACATTTTCTGTATATATAGGTCAATACATTTATAATGCCATGCAAAAAAGACATCTTAGAATAGCTGTATAAGTAGAGTCACTGAATTTTTTATCAACTACATGTATATAGTATAGCGTTTCGTAGCATTTGTATGTAGAATCTTAACATTCCTGGCAAGTAATTTAGTATACACTGTTTAGTAGCCATAGAACATGTTTAGTATAATTAGGTACAACTGCTCACTGTACCCCTCATGTGTATAGTCTAGCGTAATGTAGAATGTACATGTAGAGTCGAAATATTCTCTAGCCAGTAGCTATTTATAATACTCTGTCAGATACAATGTCCGTTGACCATATATATAGCATTATGTTAGACACATACCAACTAGTAATCTTATTATTTGCCATACATTGTACCCGTGACAATCGTTGTGCAATAAACTTTGACTATCTTTTTAGACTATATCGAAAAATGTCTAGCTGTTACCCCTGTGAGGACACAATGGACCCTTCCTACCTAATGAGGAAGATGGGGAGGAGGACCAGTACCACTGCTGTCAGCAGGGGGTGGATAGCAGCAATGTTGAGGGACAGTGGCACCAGGATGAGGGGTGGGATGACCTGGGGGTTGACTTGTTTGGCCCCCCTGCCTGAACACCAGGGGATGCGCAGTCTGTCCTCCAGGGTCATGTATAGGGCCTCGTAGTTACTCGTCGGAACTTTCTGTCTTTTGAACACCCTGGAAAAATATTCATGTCTCCATGTTATATTACATATATACAAAACATCACAACTTTATTGCATTTTATGGATTATATATTGTGGTTAAAATATTTTTCATACCATGATTACACAACTTACACATTCCTGGCAACCTTATATACTATATCCTACCACCAAGGCCATACCGAGTCACAACCCTGCCAATCAACTGAAACCCAATCTCTGCCTGCTCGTTTCCAATCCTCCACACTCAGGATAAGATAAATGTACAAATGTACTAGACTACTGTGATGTACATGTAAGTACCAACCCCCCCCCCCTTCCCAAAACCAGCGCTACCAAAATAATACTTCTGTGTAGAACATAATTAAATGAATTACCACTGCACTGTAAGAACCACTTATCAAGGTCTGTATCTTAAGTACCATCAATGCAGAAAGTTTCCTGGTGGTTTTGTTTCCTCTTTCCAAATGTTTCAGTCATAAAAAGTCCATCAGTCTGAAACTGAAAGAAAACAAACTGAAATAAAAATTTAAAACAAAGGGAAAAAGACAGGATTATGTGTGTTTATCCACCTGGGCGAGTGTTGGATGTGGGAGTGGTTGTGGAGCTTCGTCCCTTCCTTGTAGTTCCTGTAAAATTCCTGGTAGTTCCAGGCTGACACCACGCGATGTTTGCGCTTCCTGTAAGGACATGTAGTTATTAACTAAGGCCACATCAATTTAATTTGTTGGTTCTCGGATATTTTCAGAAAAAAAATGAAGCGACAGGGCAGAAAAAAATAGAAATAAAAACAGGTCTAGGCATCCTATTATAGCCCATAGGAGCCATGATTACCATAGGAGCCATGAAGTCAACACAAAAGGCTGGGTTAATATTTAAACAATGAATTTTGAACTTTTAATCAAACCACTGCATGGATAGATGGAAAAACTGTAACAAATAGGAAGAAAAGGACTTTCCTCAACTGTTGGGGGCAACATATGAGCATAGAGATATTTGATTTGATTCAGAACCATAATCTTTTTTTTTTTGCAAATCAGAAAAAAAAGAAGAGGCGAATCTGAGAATCAACAAATTAAATTAGTGTGGCCTAAGGGACCATCAAAAAAGTGGTTCTTACATAGAGGTGGTCACTTGTACAGGTTTTTACTGTTTCTGGAGTATTACATGACATTGTATAATATGCAGATTGGCCCGGGTCATCCGGATCCGTGGATCAAATGAATATCTCCATATCAGATCTAAAAAATAAGAATCAGAAACTTTTCACGATAATCTGAAAGATAAACAAAAAAAAGATGAAACGTGGTAAACATGAAATGTTAGGTGGGATGAAATGAGATACTTTTAGTACAACAAAACATAATCATGACAAAATCTGTGGTTATACAATGTACTATGAAATTGCCCCTATAATCATTCATGTTACATAACTTTCTATAGAGGCAAACCAACATAATCTACAAATATATAAACAGGAACAGAACAAGGCTTTCAAACAGTTTAAAAGAACCTTACCAAATCCCCAATGCAGTACTAGAATTTTTGCATGCAGTCAGGAAGTTAGGAGTATCTTCCCATACAGAAAGGGTGACTATGACTAGCTACAAGGCCTGTTGTCACTCAAATGACATCAGCCCCCATTTCACTGACTAAAATAGATGTGTTTTAACTGTTCTCCTATCCTCCATACAAAAGCCTCATGAATTTTTGACGACGTATCGGCATAAAGAGCATTGATTTGGAGATACGCATGGTGAAATATCAATGTGTTGAGGATTCAATAACTGCAGCGATACAATATGTACATGCATGTACATTTGAAAACAAATTCTTTTATTGCTTGGAGGCAATTGTTGTAGTTTTGTTTTTTGAAATGTTGAGAAGAACCTACTATGTAGGTATGAAGCAGAGATCGAAATAAACAGGAAATAAAGATTTTGTGAAGTTCCATTTAGAAATTTCAGAAACAAATGTGCCTCAAAACAGAGCCGTTTTAAAATCTCTTTTCAGCAAAGATTGGCTATTCTACTTTGACATTAAGGGTAATATTTCAAAAATCATACAAAGAAAGAACAGTAAAAGTGGGATACAAACACAGAAATACAAATACAGAGTCAACTAGAATGAAATGTTTTACTTCACAGAAATAAGGCATTGAAATTTTCACTACTTCTACTAGATCTAAATTTGACTCAACACTTCAGTTAGAAAGTACAAAATTGTACTATTACAAATGGGTATTGATAGTATCTTGTTAATTGATAACTTTATTGAAAATTCCTACCCGAAGGCTAATTGCAACTAAAAAGGATAAAAAGGACACTGAAAGAGTGTACAAAATAACTTCAAAATAGATTCATAATAACACAAGGTATTGTCTAAAACTATACTTGTAGCTACATGTAAGTCTAAAACTATACGTCTGAAAGGTTTGACTTCTCTTTTGTAAACCATGGAAGACAATGTCCTACCTTTTCCAAAATCTGTGGGTTTTGAGTATTAGTTAAAAGAGGAATTTTTTTCTTTGTTTGTAAGTTAAGAGAAATTTGGATAAATTGTAAAGTTACCTGTCAGCAGCAGCGTCCAGAGCCTCACAGTCACAGAAGGACATGAGCAGGTGACTGCGCTCGCCCTGTGTGTTGATGTACTCACAGCAGCACAGCCCCTCCCCCTCCCCCTCCTCCTCCCAACTCTGCTGCTGGGACGCCATCTTCTCCGCTTCAGCTACAACAAGGATGGAGATGTTTAGACTTCTGGAAAGCATTGGCAGGGTTTATGTCATGTATACTGCAATAATTTGTATCATTGTATCATAGTATTCTGATTATTGCTCATACAATTTGTTGGTATTACAACATGGTCTAATAATAATTTGTTTCATACCATGATTTCTGGCGACCTCCTACCACATCCTACCACCCAGGGCTTGCAACCCTGTCAATCAACTGAATCACAATCTCTACCTTCTCACTTTCATACTCGCTGCTTAAGTTTAACTTAATGATACATACAAACTCCTTTATTCAGTGTGGCCCCAAAACAAAATTACAATCATTATCAATTGTAACAAGGAAAATCGTAGATTTTGTACCTCCGGGTATTGTAATGTATGTTGCAGAATGTTGGGTGCATGTTGGGACTGTTCTTTGAATTAACTAGTGAATTCGCGCGAATACCATTTTTTTCGAAAAGTTTCGAAATGTTTGTAATTGGCTAAATGATGTGTGAAATCACTAATCCCCCCTAGCCGACTGGAGCCCAAAAATAGAAAGGACAGGAGGCATCCCGTGGCGAATCTGGCTGCCCGACCCTCAGCGACCAGCGATAATGTAAACAAACACAGTAACGGGTGTCCGAGACACGAAAAGGAAATACAAATAATCTTACGCCCCAAAACACATATACAATAAAACAAAAAAAACCTGCACCATCTACAGCCCATTAACAGAAGATACACCGAGTCCCGAGAAGGTCTGAGACAGTATACCACGGTATTCAGTAAGCCGAAAACATCCGAAATTGCGCAAGAGGGCGTTGACCCCTGACCCATTGGCCCACCCGGAAGTTCGTTGGCTGCGACCCGCGCGATCCCACCAGGCACGAGACGTTGATTGACGGCACATGTGGTTCACATCTGAACAGTTTCAAAGAATGCTGACACCCCTCTGTGTGAAAGGTCAGATCAGTGGTCGCGACCTCAATGGTGATTATACATGCAAAGGTCAAAAGCTGAGGCCCGACCAACACTGAAAGGGGTGTCCATCGGCGGTCTAAACGCATCATTTTCACGCACTAAAACACACATACTAAAAAACCAAAACAACGTGCACCATCTACAGCCCAACAGCAAAACGTATACCAAGTCCCAGACATATCCGTCCACCCAAACGCGAGAAACGGGTGCGAACGCAATTTTCGTCTTCCCTCACAAAACCTCCGCGCTCGGGATATACATCCCTACCCGGAGGTAATAAAGGGATACATGGCTACACAAATTTTCAAAATATTTTGCATGCTACAAAAAACAATTAATCAATCATGAAAAATTACCCCCGGTCAATATCATGGCAAACACCAACAGGTCATATAGAATCTAAACAACTTCATACATTTCATAGACATTAAAAAACACAACTTATTGACATATGAGGACAAGGAATCATGTATCCAAGTTAGAAGTAATAGAATACCGTTCCAAAGTTTCCATCCAGTTCGTCCAGACTTGTTTATCCAGATACGATGTTCCTGCATTGCTAACTTGTGTAAACGTCCTCTCCACTTCTCAGAATGATTACTCATTAGTCCAGCTACTAATTAGGTTAAATTTCTCATTTCTCCTATCAACTGGTCTGAATGACATTTTATCTCCAGCGAATGCAAAATGAGAAGCTTATCATTGGACCCATACTAAAAATGGAACCGGCAAGGACTGCACCAAAAATAGTTTCAAGATCACATTTTCCACACGAAGTAACGTTATTAGAGTCTGAAGGAATTTTTCTGAAGTACTGTACTTTAATGCAGCAACTTTTGTGTTGGCTTTATTTTCATGTTTTTTCCAAGTGACATCTTACCTTGAAATAATTTAACACTGCAAATATGTACACATCTAACACTGCACTCAATTTTTTTCTGTAGGTGCATGCAACAACTTGCACCCAAATATATTCATACTAGTAGGTTTATGCAATGACATTCTATCAGTTCTATCACAACGTCCTTGGTTTATGTATGTAAAATGTTAAATGTAGCGTATTCTTAACATCTAAGTGTCAGAAAAATGATAAAATCATTTAGTACTAGACACCAAGTACTTTTCTTTAGAAATGACATTCTAATTTTATTTTATTTCATATGGTGCACCCGAAAATTTTTTTGTGCACCCAATTTTTCATCTTGGAAAACTGAATTTCGAGCCCAACTTGCTTGCCGGGCAACCTAGCACCAGACTAGTAATAATATATTAAGTCTTGCACAGATACCATGACTTACGCAGTGAGAGTGGGTATTTGAAACCTGCATGAAACCCAGTGGGACTGATATTTGGCACCGACTGGCGCCGTGTGTCAACTCTGGGATCCATTAATACAATAAATATTTCATTCTGCTGGGGGTAGATATCATCATATCAGCCAATATTGCACAGTAAACTTACTAAAGGCCAACAACTCAAACTTTGACTCTATATTTCAATGTCACAGCCCTTAACTTCAAGAAAAAGTACTGGAGTATACGTATTGCTTTGGAAAGTTCATACTATGTGACATGAAAACTAATTGTGGTTCATGACATCATCATGTGCAAAATTTCCAGAGGATCTAGCTATACATGTAGCTATGCAGACAGAATTCTAGGCCACATTCCAAACTCTAGTATGAACTATAATATCAAAGGATGAAAATATCTATTAGGCCTAGGAAAAAAAAAATTAGGGTCGGTACTCGTAGGTAGCTAGGGATTATCTTTTTTTTTCTTTTCTTTCTTTTTTAGACTTCAGTGCTATCTTAATAGGGGTCCAACTTATACAATACAGTTTAACAAAGTAAAACTTGCATGAGGACACTTTTATTTTCAATGTCAATGTTAGAAAACCAATTGTACAACATTTTATCACTCAGGTGTCCGATCATGAACCTAGAAAAGGTTGATCAGCTTGAAAAAAAATGTCTCTTGCAGGGTTCCACCCAAAAAAATGTTTTTTAAGGGTTGGCAGTGAGTCTATGGTCGGTCGGGAAACAGGAAACACAACATTTTTTTTCTAGGCTTTAGATACATTGCTAGATCATTTTGACAAGGTCAGGCCATTGATTAAATTATATAACAAATGGTACTCCACAGTCACACATAGATCACATGCTGCTGGATTAGTGATGCCCTTGAGTTGCACGTTTTGCACGTTCCTGTTGATGTAATCACCCACGTGTAAAAGATTGGCAGTGAAAAAGGTGTCTTTAAACTTTTAAGCTCTACAGAATTTGCCTCTCATAGTCATAATGCTGGAAAAAGCATTTCAGAGGGTCAAGATTTTAACAACAATTCAGGATTTGAAATACCCTGAATTATGCAATGTGCAAAATGCATGTATGATTTTCAAGATTTTCAAACAAAAATATTTTGAATGTGCAATTTTGCATGAAGAAAATACCGATTATACAGTCAAACTTGTATATAAAATTATAACTTTTAGTATATTTTTGGTCTTTCATAATATAAACTCCTAGATACTGTTGCAGGCTATGTTGCACGTAAATTTTTCAAAATGCAAAATTTTTGCCAACCTGCAAATTATTTTCCAGATATACGTGAAAAAAAGTATATATTTCAAGCCCTGATTTAAGACCACTGTTAAACCAAACAAAATCTGTTTAAATCTCTAAACATCATAGAAGGATTGCTTACATGTTAATCCTTTTAATCTAATTTAGTAAGCACAAACACGGGCCACCCTCTACATCGCGTGCTGCTAGTCAAGAGTATAATCCAATTTTCCAATTTGTAACATCACATCATAAAAATTATTCTGCACATATTGATCATTTACAGTATTTTCATATGATCATAAATTTACAATTGTTCGAACTCTAAAATTTACTTGTGGTATGAAAAAGTTCTCTTTACACTGATTATTTTCAAACGTTACATATTATTGCATGTACTCAATAATTATTATTCACGTAAAAAAATCCACATCTGAAACAGGTGGGGTGGGGAGGGGGGCGAACGCACTAGGACAGGGATATCTCCTACTTAATTACTTACCATGTCATCTTTGCATAGCTCGTTGATTTCTTTAGAATCGATGGTTCTTCTTAAGTCCACAGGATCTCGATATGTGGGTGATAAGACGCAATTTCAAGACATTTTTTCGTCTTTTTTTCCTCCTAGATATTTCACGTTGCCTTGGCTATGGCTAATATTACCCACAATGCACCAGCAGGTCTTCCCCAACATGGGCATGACGTCATACATAAACATGTCCCGTTTTGGGGACATTTTTTTCGGACTCTTCAAAAAATGAAAGAAAACAACATAACTCAAAATACAAATACATGGCAAAGCTGATTTAAGATATCACGGGTTGTCTTTCAATGTTGATGAGATTTTTGTAACTCAAATGCCTTGGCGAATTCATTGCTTTAGAAACCAAAAGTAAAGGTGTTTTAACATGTCAGAAGACAAAAAGTTGGAAAAGCCGCGAAAGCCGGTAAAATAAATAATAAAAGAAATTTTTTAATGCGTTGATGACATTTTCCCAAGTAGCTGTTAAACCTCCTTGGTAATGTTAGATATCTTCTGTGTTAAAAATGCCTGCAGTTTTGATGAGAAATCATCTTTGATATTGACTTCTGTTATTTTCATATATTTGGTCATAAACAGACTAACGTTACTATTAATATGTTTGGTTCATAATCCGGGCAAGCAATATTTCGCTGCGTGTCAAGGGCGACACTATGCGGTTAGAAAGAGAATGGCATCCTGTAACATATTGCTGATTGCCAATACAATTTTACATTGGATATCTAAGAGCGACTTCTAATAACCAATGACTATAAAATCGTCATAGATTGTTCAAAGTTTCACCGGCAACATGGCAGTGAGTGGGAGAATTCGAGACTGCGTTCAGCTTGATTATGGAGCTAAGGCCACACCAAGTAAATTTTATGGATGACGTCCTTTGAAGACCCTAAATCTAATGCGAGAGGGCGAATAAAAAACAAGAAGGGCCCTAAAAAACAAGATGCCTAGATTAGAAATATACTAAGAGATGACAAATGTTAGGACACAAATTGAATGAGGTGACACAGTGTAACAAGCAAGAAGTCATTTTTTCATCATCAAAACAGCAATAAATCAGGTGGAACAGCAGTTGTCATCCTGTCATGTTTTTTTCATTACATTTTTGCAGGCCTACAGAAACAAAGCATGTGCTCTTTACCCATTTCACGTTACGGGGTTCACGTCAATCTAACGATTTGCGGCACTGTTGTGACTCTTTGGTCATAGTTACAGGAAGAGGAATTTCTTGTTTTTTTTTCTAGGAACAGGCCAAAATCAATGCGCGCGCGGACGTCATCCATAAAATTTTCTTGGTGTGGCCTAATAACATATTGATTACGTTTTGAAACTCATTGGCTAATGCTTGATTGTAACGCGCAATATAAGACCATATAACTTTACAAAGCGCAGTGTCGGTCCTAATCTCCAAGCAGATCCCTCTCGATGGCAAAAAGACAGTATCAAATTGGCCAGGCAGTATCCATTAGCCAGAGAAGCTTCGTGGCCACCGACCGTTGGTGGAGATCAGAACAAAAACAAGTGCTTCTGCAAAAGCTGACCATTTTCGCCGCTTACAGGCTTACAGTTTTTACGAACATTTTCCCCATCCTATCATTTCAATTTACCTAAGTTATATAAATGGTTCTAGTTCTCATCAACATTGTATATAATGAGAGAACATGCACTTCTATATTTCAACTCTTTAAGTTTAAAACATTACAAAAATCAAGTATATAACAGTTTATAACCTGTTTTCTCTCTTTTAAGAGTCTTTTTAACAGAATAAAAAAATGAGACACAAAAGTACATTTTAACTTAAATTATAAGTAACGTTAATATATATATATATAATTTTATTCAAAATCTCTTCTATGGCTTTGTCCCCAACATCTAAGTTTACAAACCTCGTGACATTCAACCAGGGCTTTAGCCAGCGCCCGTTTTACCGTCAATTGACGATATTTTTTCCCGTCGGACGGTAAAAATTTAAGTCCTTACCGTCAACATTGACGGTCAAAAATCGTGGGTGAAGACATTAAACTTAGCAAAAAATGTAGCGAATTTGAATGAGCCACGGCGCGGGGTCTTTCCAAAGCGCGTCGCGTCTTTTCAAAACGCCGCGGGCCCACACATTTCTTATTTAAATACGGCGGGAAACCTGACTTCAAGGAACGTGCCGATGTCTGTTAACTCGGCTCTTTTCTTCAATGTTGCTGTCTGTTTAAACAACATGTGCTAACGGCCACATAAGAACAATGGCTCGACTCAGACTCACGCTGGTAACTGTACATGACAATAAGATAAATAAACAACATGTGGCAACGAACAAAGAAATAATCAAACGTTTTGAAAATATACTGTACTTGAATTTTCATACCATCGCAAGAAAACGGAGATCGATCTACGCAAAGTGGCTTTATTATTTATATAAACTTCGTTAAACCACCTTCGAAGACTTGAGCGGCAGCATAAAGATAAATTTTCTGGAGCCGATCGCTGAAGCAAGTTTTTGCCGGCGTACGTAACTCCCTCCGCGGCAAAATCCCATATGCCGTAGCGAAATCGCGTCTCAGCACTTCCCCAAATCAACTCCATGGCCGCTAAAGTCTGCAAATGAGGTTAAACTTCCTCATTTCGGTTGAGAAGCGAAGCTACTAGTATAAAATCATGTGCATGGCGGCCATTTTGTTTGCTACCCGAAGTTTTCCGAATGATCTAAATAAGGAAATCGTCGGAAATCTGAGCCACATCCCTCGCTGTCGGCATGCGCTCGGGGCTGGCTCGGTGGAAATCGGAGGCTGTGGCGTCAGGACTAGCCTCCTTCGCAGTCTTGTTGGGCGTGGGCGTAATTTTTTCTGTGAGCGACGCGAGTAATATGCCGCCGCGAGGGACGATTTGCTGCCGAGGGACTTTTGCCACGGAGAGAAGGTTTCCGCGCTCCAACAAGACTGCTTCCAATCGGCGACTAGAAAGGGCTATCAAAAAACACTTAGGAGCGATTGGCATGGATGTGTGAACTTCCCGCAATAAACGCCACCAGTGCAGGGAGGTGTTCACGCCCCATTCCTCGACGAGCCGAAACTTGCAACTTTCTAGCGGTCGCCGATCAACCCGTCGGTAGAACGCCAACCATTCCCGAAAACCGAGCCCTATCCACTCAACAAAATCCCGTAGTCATTGCTGCTACGAAAAACAACTTTAAACAGATCACTACCACAGGACCCGGCAAGCTAAGCGATATTGCTGGGGGACGTGGACAGATAAAAAAGTGCCGCCATGTTGTTTGGTGGCGGGTTGATCTCACTGGTCATAGGAGGGTAACGCACCGCTCCGCAGCAAGTTGTGTAATAAAAAGAATGGCACATTTCACCAGCAAAAATAGTACTGCAAAGTTTGTCTTGGTTTGTTTGCATGGGATGCTTAAAAACTGCACAGCAATGCCTTTGTTGTAACATTACCAATGTTCAACCTTTCTCTGTTGGAACCTTCCACTATAACGCAAGCTAATAAAACCAACCGTTGACAAAAGGCGAGCGCTCCATGCGTATCTGTGAATTACCCTTGCGCGAACATGTGAATTGGACCTGCGCGAACATGTGAATTGGACCTGCACGAACATGTTAATAGCCTCTATGAAAGGCTGGCTTAATCCGAGGTCCTTTCTAGTCGCCGATTGGAAGCAGTCTTGTTGGAGCGCGGAAACCTTCTCTCCGTGGCAAAAGTCCCTCGGCAGCAAATCGTCCCTCGCGGGGGCATATTACTCGCGTCGCTCACAGAAAAAATTACGCCCACGCCCAACAAGACTGCGAAGGAGGCTACGTCAGGACTAGGTTTATTTGCATGGCTCGGGAAGCCGCCGCGGCTTGAATCGCAGCGGGATTTGGGCGCCGGGCGGGTCAAACAAAGGGAATATGAAGTTGTGAGGACCATAGTTTTTTTTTTCATTCTTCAAATTGCAGATTGTGTAATTTTTGTCCTGAAATCTTGAAAATCTATCTGCAAATTGCAGACTGAAGACGGGTATTTAGAACACTGAATACATGAAGTGTGCGGGGGGGCATGATGTCGATCACCGGATCATGATTTTTTTTCGCGTTGACCCTGATTCAACCCTAAAATAATACTCGAAGAGAACAATTCAAAAGTCATCTTTTACTAATCATATATAATTGTTTACATTATATCATTTGATCAACCTGATCTATTAAAAATTGTCAATGGAAAATACCTTGCCAAACAATGCAATACCTATTTAAGTTAATTAAACACTCACTCATTAATTAATTAATTTCCTAAAATACAAAAGACATGTTGGTGAAAGTTAGGCACCCAGGTAATATCAATAGTTCCACGGACAGCTATGTAGGCCGGAGCTTCTATTGCGTGCGATCTACGTTTGGTCAGAAAATACACCCCCCCCCCCCCGTGTACACTATATGACATCCAGTAGATTTCTAGCGGAAACCAATCAGAGGGCTGCTGACGCGTCACCGACTAGCGGCTATTAGCACCTTGTTTCATGTAAATGCCATGAACTCAACCAGAGCGCGTATATTGTTTCTTGTTTACATCAGTACCAAGGACATTATACAATGTCTCTGTCAGTACTAAGTACTAGTACTTCCACAATCAGTTAGTAAAGTCATACCTTAGTAAAATCTACTTTGATGAACGAATCAAAACGGGACTGTAGACATTAAGTTTTACACATTCAAATGTGGCTGCACTAGCGCTAATGGAGCGACCACTACGTACGGGAAGGAACGGATCTTAGCGAAGCCGACATTTGTGAACCCATTAATGTCCGACGTTGGTGAACCAAACCCAACCCATCGAAGACGGGCCGCCAAACATAAAAATGGAGGGAAATGACAGACAACAAGCCAACAAAGACAACATCACCAGACCAACAAAGTTGGAAAACACCACTTCAAGCGCTAATGTTGTAAGAACTGTGGAACCTCAAACTAGTATGTTTGCGTCAGCGGAAAGGCTGTCGAAGTAATCACTACATGAAAAACTGCGGCGAAAAAGTAACATGGGTTCGTCCCAAATCTAGACGCAAGTAGTGAGCTACAAAAGTAATAGAACCTATGCATCTTGCTTGTTGCTGTCTACTTTATACCCGTTAAAGATTGAACCGATACATGTACGTACTATAACTTGCCATACCCGGCCAAAGACGACTACATTACTGTTACTCTTTATTTTGTGCTGTATAATGTATACTAGTATGCGTTACATTATCTATCATTGTCATTTCTGTCAATTCCTTAAAACATCTACTGTTAGTTTGTGTAACATAACGTAGTGCTACAATCTGCGTAAAAAGTGGGCTTCATTACGTGTTATCTGCTAAGTCGTGTTGGTATTGAAAACTGTTTTATTGTGTCGTTCTTCTACAAACAGCCAGCAGAATTATGAAGATACTCGTTCTCAATACACATGCTGCAAACTATAAAGTAATGGCAGTCCTACGAAAATTCTGTTTGTAATGTATAAGCGCTTTATGTCGACGTACAATGGGTGTGAAATACATGTTTTCGCCCATCGTGTGCCACCGGCTCGGTGGTAATTAGCTACTTTACAAGTGAAAGAACCGCGTCCGTGGGCCTTGATAAATTATTCAAGTTATTCAGCAGCCCTCTGATTGGTCTCCGCTAGAAATTTACTGGATGTCATTCAGTGACGAGCCCCCCCCCCAACACACACACACACAAAAACACCGATCCGGGAACGCCTGAAAAGGAGGCTTTTAATAAGCTTTGCCTGCAGCGCCTTGATTGGTCGGACGTGTGACCCTCTGGACTGCCGGCTAATGGAATCTGGACATCTAGACTAATCCACACTGCTAATGCTCATTGACATAATTTATGCAGTTTATTAAAATCCTTGATTACTGTGAATCCTTGATTATAGACATGTCTTTATCAACATTTTTGGCAAATAATAAAATCAAGTTATTGTTCAAGACAAATTAAGTTTGTTTTGTCAGCAGCTTTGTTATGCAACATTAATAGAACTATGATTTTGAAATTAGCAACCATAATGGAAAGTATACAAACGTCCAAGGCATAAATGGTAAAAAGTGCACTCGCAACAACGACATCTAGCGACATGCGGCAACTCAGCATGTCTGCATGGCCGTCGCAACAACGACATCTAGCGACATGCGGTGACTTAGCATGTCTGCATGGCCGTTGAAGGGTGGAACCGTTGATCCATCCATCCATTGATCCAATCTCAATCTCGTCTGAGTTACCATTTTCGCGCATGCGAAAATGGTAAAAAAAAAACGGCCATATATAAAAAGGTAACGATCATTCCCCCACAACCTCTGCTTGGAGAGTATGTCGGTCCATCATCACCAAGCTTGACAACTTCACCGTGCCTTACCGCCCTCTAGCGATTTTAATCCAAACTGCAACCAACGCGTCAACCGCGACAGAAACGAGGCTGGGCAGCCATTTTGAATGCTAATTTGAAAGTGGGCACGTTTACGTTTACGTTCGTTGGGAGAGTTATCATACTTCTACGGGCGAACTTTTCAGCCTCTGCTGTTTACACCAAAACTCCCCTCGAGTGTCCGATTGTTTAGACAACAAGGAGCTAAACGAAGTCGTCACATGTCGCTCAGGTAAGGAAGTTAGAACGGTCTTTGTTTCGTAGATTTTTGAGAAGCGTCGTACAGAAGTTCGTGCTTTGTTGACGATTTCGATCCTTGTCTATATGGTCGTTTTTGTGTTGATCGGAGTAGGTTTTCTCTCCATTCTACTGTCTAACGTACTAAAGACTTATCTGCCAACGTTAAGACCAACTTTTCCGTAATTATGGGGGGATATTAAAAAACGAGGAAATTAGCAAAGTTCGAGTCCACTTCCGCACTCTGCCTGAGTAGTCGGGGGTGGGGTGGGGGGTGCTGGTAGAATCATATACAAATGTACTCTACTTTACCAAATCTACGTATTTATTATGAAGCGTGCAGGAATCTATATTCAGAGAGATTTTAAGATAATATCTTAGCAGTTGCTTAGCAGTGAATATCATGCATTCGTACTTTCTTAAGACTTTCCTTAGTTTCTGAAATATGATTTTTTTTCATATGCATAAGTTCTGCATATGCAAAGAGTTACAGTTGATTCCAGATTACGTATTACTACTAGCTCAGAAGCCATTGCAGAAGGAGAAAAAAAAAATTGCACATTTTCTTTTGCCACTTGTGTTGTTCTCTCATGCAGATTTTGACCCACTTTTGACTTTTTTTGCCATAGCAACTGAATAATTACTCCTCAGCTGTTGTGAATTAAGGGTCACAGCATTTCTTACTGTCCAGGACACTTTGGCATAATTATAATACGTTACTTTAGTATCGTGGCAGCAGGAGTATGGTGAAATATATTGTGTCAATTTGTCAAGTTCTTTACGTCACTTGGAATTCTTAAATCAACACTTGAAGAAATGAACTTGACTCATGAATGCGTAGCAGCGCAAATGTGTACATGTAGGTGCCATATGCATGTGCGTGTTCTCATCAAATGGTTCTTGCTCTCTTGTCAGAATTTTTTACAGCATATGGGTACTAGATAGTCGACACTAAGTAGTGCTAGCCTAGGAAGTTAGGAGTCATCTGTTTTGTATAAATAATAGGTTAGCCAGTGTGCAACATTCGGTTAGCAGTCAAGGCAGATACAGTCATTGAAACTAACTGTACTCTTCGAGTGCCAAAGACTTGACCATACTGTATGGTCATGTTTTTGGCTGATAGTAGTAGGGGTTCAACGTGACCTATGAAATTTTGAAATACACAACCCCCTAACTAACACACAATTTCCTGCATTTTGAGGGACTCGTGAAGTTGTTTCAGCATTACTCTAATTTCTAAAGGTCTAAAGTGAAACATATTTTTACGAAGGGTCACAGTTTTCTCACCAGAAAGAAAACACCCGAAGGCCCAATCCTGGCTGATAGATAGCATACTAGTAGGGGCCTAAGACATAGGGGTCAAAATATCATAGGGGGTCAAAATTACAGTGTAGAAGGCCTTCATGTAGTGATGATGTACTGCATCAAACTTCGTGCTAGTTAGCAAAACACTTGCTAGTATTGGCTGCCAAGCCAACTGGAACTTTAACTCATGTCACGTTAACATTTACATATTTGCTCATGCCTTGCAATATCTAGATAATCTGTTCCTCACAAAACTTTTTACCCTTTCTAGACTCCTTTATGAGCCAGAATCTTTACACTCGCGTATACATTGTAAAACACATCTTGCACAGTGTGCAACAGTTTTTCTTAGTCTCATGATCTAGACAAGGTTTTTGTTGACACCAGAAGGACCAGAGTCCTTGTTGCCGGAGATACCAGCCTCCAGGCTGTTTGCATTATTTGCAGACATGCCACACGGACTGTTGACAGTCGGCTGACACTGTACATGTACACAGTCTGACCAGAATCACAACTATGTGGACATATGTAGGGCTGGGTGTGACACAAGGTACACATGCATGGTCACAGTCTTCTGTAGAAAAAGAAGGTATAAGAAGAAAGTTGTACATGTAAATACACTAGATATCGGTAGCAAAGTTTCATGGTCTCTGAAAAAAATGAAGGTGTTCATGACTTCATCACACACATTCACAGGACTACATGTTAACAACAGTACTCAGTAGCGGGAAGAGGTAAGGTATTTAAGACGAATGATTTGTTAATGGTAAGTTTGCAGTAATGAGAAGAGACCAAAAACAGTGAACATAAAACTAGAGTACTACAGTGAAAAAGTTAGAGTAGAGTAGAATTAGGTTTATCGGTAACCATGTACCAGTAGCACATTTTGGTGTGTGATCTAGTATTCATCCGTAATACATTTATTTGGTTTGCTAGAGTCAATGCGGTGTCATAACGGTCCTAAGATCATTATTATAAGACTTGTGGTCTCAATTGTTGCTTTCAACAGCAGGGTTTGGAATTAACTTTTGGTTACTGGTGCACTTTATTGATGAATTGTGAACAATATATACAGATGTAGTTTGTACCGTGTGCATGGCTGCAGTGTAAGGAGTCTTTCAGTGCATATATATGGCCAGCTGCTACCCTTGTTTTCTGCAAAACTGGTGTGTTTCAAAAATGGTTCGAAAATATTTTTTACAGGCCCACATTGCTTGGAGAGTTCCAGTACTAGCTGTATCTCTCCATAAGAAGGTGGTTTTACAGTTTGACTTTTACCCCTTACCAGTACAGATAAACTGTTAGTTTAGTTACTAATAATACTAGAGAAATGTTTGCTTTGTCCTGTAGAATAACAAACAGTGCAGTAAGCCGTTACAAAATCATAAATTATGCAAAGTGGCTTCCTCTAAAATTTCAAAGTGTGAAAACTCTAAGCCAACAACCTGTTGAATTTTTAAAATTATTTTTGAGATTTTGACTATACATAACTTTTAATTTGCAATTTTCTTTGTCACATCAAATTACATAATAATCATTAAGTATAAATTGGAATTTGTATTGTTTGAAGATTCATTTAGATTTAGAATCAAAATTGCAAAGAAATATATATTTTTTTTACAGCTTAGGCTAATACTTGTAGCTAAAATATGCTGTATGTGTGTTTTTTTACAGTTTTTTTAGACTGCCTAAATGCTGATCACAGTTTATTTGTGTACAGTATTGAGTTATAGCCTACTTGTAATACAGTTGTATATTATTACAGGCCTCCCATCTAAACTGTAGCTACTTTACGTCAACACAGATTAGTTACTGCCGAGTGTTTACATACAAATGGTGGTGTTGTTTGCTTTAGCTAACTGACAATGTGTCCAACTGTTACAAGTGGGTTCTTGAGTGTTATAACGTTGGTTCTTTTTGACATGACAAGGAATAATTGTAGTATATAATACACATGTAGAAATGCAGGATATTTGACGGTACTGTATATTACAAGTATTTTGTGAATTTCTGGTGAATGTACATGTACAATGGAAGAGCACAATCCGAAAGTCATGTACAATGTGTCCATCTGTTATAAGTGGGTTCTTGAGTGCCTTATAACGTTGGTTCTTTTGACATGACAAGAAATAATTGTAGAAATGCATTATATTTGACGTACTATATCTAAAAGTATTTTTGAATTTCTGGTGAATATACACGGTACAATGGAAAAGAGCACACATACAATATGTCCAACTGTTATAAGTGGGTTCTTGAGTGTTATAATGTTGTTTCTCTTTGATATGACTAGAAATAATTGTAGTATACACATGTAGAAATGCATGATATTTGAAACACAACATAAGTTACATATCTACAAGTGTATTTTGTGAATTTCTGGTGAATATACATGTACAATGGACAAGAGCACACATACATATTGTCAGTACTGTACATGTGGGGAGGGGGGTTCTTCAAGCAATTTTACACGTTTTCGTCTTTGTGTAATGACAAGAATGCATGATTGTTATACTTATAGTGCATTTACTGTTCTTTGGAAGTGAAACAAGTTTTTGCTGACATTGTACTAATTTTATCTTATATGGTACACCCCCCAAAAATTTGGTGAACCAGCGCACCTATTCCCAAAAATGAATTTCAAGCCCTGATGCCCATAACAACTTGGCTTTCAGGTTCAACTACAAGTTACAACAGTTAAAAGAATGCATCCTTTCTGGTACAGAAGGCAACAGTTGAAGTGGCTGTTGATGCTTTCAAGTTGCAAGACATAATGCTAGTAGACTCAGTAGAGCCAAGCCAATCCAAGTGACCTTTTTCTACATAACCCTATATATAGCAGGCCTTTCAACAAGTTATTCACTTAAAGGTCCTAATGCGATTAATGAGGAAAAAATGACCTGTATCCTAGCAAGGGTGACCTGTGGTTGCTAACACTTTATCTCACTGTAATTGTTTCAATTTCACGGTGGCTTTAGTTCACCCCAGGAGGGAATTCAGGTTGTCAGTCAAATTTCATGGTGTGTTAAGATTCTGGTTGAAACTATTTTTTAGTAGTACAGTGGAACTAGAAACACATTTAAATTTCATGGTAAGAGCCTGAGGTACATGTAACACCAAAAAACAAAACCACAACCACAGTAATGTTCAACATGGGGAAAGTGTGAGAAATTATGAGGTCAATTGGGACACTTTTGTAGGCATTTATGTCAATTTATGGCATGTTGGCATATTGACCACTTTCAGAGGGCAACAAAATTTCTCGTGTTTTTTTTCCAAAATCAGGCAAAAATTAATGCGTGCCCTGATGCTATACATAAATATTACTTTATGTGGCCTTAAACTCACTGCAGCTCAGAGATTTACTCAGAAGGCTCAGGTTTTATGCACCTTTCGTGACTGGTAAAACCCTTATAAGCCCATGTTTCCACATAGACCCTCCCCTGGAGGTTGGGTAAAGCTGGTATTATTACATGTGTTCTGAATCTGAGTTTAAATTATTGATATTTGCAGCATAATTAACAGATTCCAGTGATTATGATCTTTTATTATTTAAGTTTTAATACAAGTCTAAGTCCTATTTTATTAAAAATCACTAGTACTTTCTATTATTAAATTCTACAACTTACATAAATTTATAAATATTATTATTAAGAGAAAACTAGTATTTGAAAGTGGATATTTGATAACAGATTATTTATCTCAATTCTAATTTTTCCACAGGGAATTATCTTTATATAACAGCCTTCATTGCTACAATATTATAGTACAATGTAAAATTAATAATCCATTGTTTTTCTTTGTTATCATTTCAGGTGTCCTTCAAGAGTAGACCCATGACCTTTGACCCACTCAGATTTTAAAACGGATTTTAGGCATGCTGGAGAGCACTGGAACAGAAGCCATGGTACAACACACACAACAGGAGTGCCTTTATTCTGCCAAGTACAGTCGTATATAAGAGCCTTCAATGTACGGAGAATTTGAAGTGTTGCACTGAGAGAAAGTCAAGCATGTGGAAAGAAAAACAACATGGCACACAGGAGGAGTAAGAAGGATTTGATACTCGACGACCAGGGAATTTTACTGGACGATGACGAGCCAATCAGGCAGCGGCGCGATGTCACGTTTGACGATTCGCACCCGTTCACGGACGAACCCACACTGAATCTGAGCGAATTTGAGGATTCCATCAAGGAGGAGATAGAGTATGGAGAGGGAGGGGCGTCGGGTGAGGAGTCCGGCGGCGACGGTTTGAACTACGGAGCGGGATTCGAACCCGCGGCCTTTAGACGAGTACGGGCTGGCTCACAAACACAGGACAGCCTGGACGAGTTTGAAGCAATCGAGCAGAATCTCTTACAAGATGGCTCACATGCCAGTGCCTTATTTGAAAGAAGCAGGGAAGACTCAAGAGACGACATTTCCTTCCATAGTAACGAGAATTCAGTCGCCGATCAGTACGAGCAGTACCTCTCAGAACAGGAGCACAGTCGATCAGGGAATGAATTCTCCCCAGGTGGGGAGCAGCACTCTCCAGGGCTGGATGACTTTGCAGCAAAGTACGGCAGCCAATCAGCAAGGAGCTATGATGGACAGTATGCAAATGAGGAGGGTGTTGAAGAGGATGTGAGCAGGCTGGTTGGGGAGGAAAGCTTTCCCAGGAATTCTTTTCTAGACAGCTCGCTACTAAATGACACCGTCATTCCCATCAATGCTTCAGATAGTACTTACGACAAAACCCCTCAACCAACATTTGACCATTCCAAGAATTCTACGCCAAGTCCTTCCAATCGTAGAGTATCAGATTTACAGAGTGCAGGGGATCATTTGGTCCCCCCCTCAAAGACCCCCCTAACAAGCACGCCAAATTCTCCAACCGATAGTAAGAGACCAGACATCTCGGTACAGTCTGTTCGGGAGGACGACTCAGGAAGTAGAACGCCGGTAGGGAGACCTGGCTCGGATTTGTCGCCGTATAGCGGTTTCCACGAGAGAGTTTCGGAGATCGCGAAGAGGGACGCTGCCATCTTGAGACCGCGGTTCACCACCTACGGAGCCGAGACTAAATTCTCCCCTCCGAAAACGCAACGGACTCCCCCGACGACAGATAGCGGGAAGAAGGCGAGTAATGTTTCCTTTAAGATCGACCGCTCTAGCGGGAGAATCCTCGGCGTTTCTCAGTCAACCCCTCAATCTGACCCGAGTAAGAACACTTCCTTAAGAGATAGGAGACGGAGAAATAGGATGAGTCGCGGCGAATCCGGCTCAAGGTCGAAACGAAGGACAGAAACTGACGCGTCCGTGAGCGATCTGGATTTAGACACGAGCGGGCGCTCGGATATTTCCCGCTCCGAACTGTCACAGAGGCTCAAAGAGGAGGTCAAGAGCAAAACAGAAACCTCAGAACAGCTGCGAGAACTACAGGAGGAGTACGATAACCTGTTGGCGAAGTACGCGCTGGCGGAGGTCACCATCGACCACCTGAGGCTAGGGGCAAAGGTCAACCTGTACTCAGATCCGCCAAAACCTGCACCTGCATTTGTCGGGTCTATTCCTCAGGTAATTTTGCTGATACAAAAATCCTAAAATTTACTTACAGTCTTTCATTTATAGTATGTAACACATACCCAATTGTTCTTATATTATATGTATATAACGTTCCTTAGTCTACTAAGTATATATACCTATCTACTAATTATAGATTTTATTAAATTTTCAAACAGTGGGGTGGCCAGTTCAATTCTGAATTTTCAATGGGGCCCAGAATACAAAAGCATCATAGTATACACACTGTATATGAGTTATATAAAATCATAAATGGAAGAAACTAAATTTAATGACAAAATTTTAACATGTATTAAGTAAGTACAGATGACTGTGAAACATAAGTAACGCAAGTAAACAATTTGTTTACTTACTAAGTACAGGTACTACTGCAGAATCGATGATAATATGTATCAGGTATTGTATAATAATATACGAATACTGATCTTCAGCTTTCATTAGTATTCGTATATTATTATACAATACCATACATATTATCATCGATTCTGCAGTAGTACCTGTACTTAGTCTAGTAAGTATATCATCAGACACTTAATCTCAATGCGAATATTATTAATATGTTTTGTTTGACTGTTCGGTAATTATTGTACCAAAACCATCCTTCATATTTTCAACAACAATGATATACTCACTACTCAATCAATCATGAAAAGGAATTTAATCCATGATGTTATTTTGGGAACAAGCCGACTTTCCATAACCTTTCAAAAGATTTATATTTCTAAAGAAGGGAGCTTTTATCAGCTGAATAGTTTGACCTTTTGTAATGTTGATTTATTAATGTGCGTCACACCGTATTACATGACATGTATCATATGTCCTCGGTTATTATGATGATGATGACATTTTCAATGTTAAACATAAATTTTTGGCCACCCTCTAAGAGAGACACTTTGGATATTTTCATTTGAAATATAACTCTGGTAAGTGTAAGTGACATGGTACCAATTTAGATGGTTATTTTTCTAAATAATGACATTACAATAAATGATAATGTTTCGACAGTAATGTAATTTATCATCATAAATTTTCTTTTCGATGGAAAAATATTTCTTGTTTCTCCCCACAGCCGCACAAGATTCAAATGGTTGATATCCCCCGGAGCCAACGTGCACAGATGGACAGGACGGTGGAACACAGATCACAAGCTGTTACAGGTACAGTACTCTCTTCAGGGTTTACTTTGTTATTATAAATTATGTCTAGTGATGGTTTTCTTTTGTAATGGGTTTGGTTGAAGGTGTTATCTTGTTGTGGGAAGTGGTCAAGCATCATAGGAACTTCAGTCACCGATGTCACAACTCAACATTTCTTGTGATTTTTTTATCAATCATTTTACTAATCCTTTTCCAAACAAAAGCTTTTATTTGCCATTTGCATATCTTTGTAAAGGTAAGGCTTGAAATACCAACTGCATACACTGAGTAGTGCAGGTAAATTACAACTGTGCACTAGCTTGAGGTATTACTAATGTCTACCTGCACTGGTCCATGTACTGCATTTCTACATGTACATGTATGTTGTACTGTATGTAGATTTTTATTTGCTGCATTGACTTGATAATATCATTATGTTGTATACATTGTATTTGAAGTAGGAAAGAAATAATAGTTGCTGGTTTCTGACCTGAACAGTTGTTAGAATGATCCATACTTCATAAATCCTGAGTGCTACAGGTAAAATTTGTCTGGTGTAGGTTTATTTCAATGTTATTATTACACTCACCATATTTCAAGCCCTTTTATAGTGTTAAGATCAATACGTAGTGTGGGACATGTTACAGAATGTTACAGCTGTTACAGTTTGGGGCTTTTGTGTGTCTTGCTAAGTATTATGAAAGGTTGTGGGAAAATTCAGATGGTCAGAAAACGTGAGATGTACATGTAGATATACACATTCATGTAGTCTTTGGGTACAATTGTGTGTAACTTTGTATAAAAGATTGTAGATACATAGTACATCTACAATTTACAAAATGTTGTTCAGTTTTATTTTTTCTCAGAATCTGTTTTACATTTAAGATAAGTACTTCAAGAAACACACATACTAGTAGTTGTAATGTTTAATGAGTAATCAAATTCTCTTATTTTTTCCTACAGCTACCCTGTCCCCACCCCAGCCCTCCCATAGTAGACTGACCCAGACAGGTATGGCAGTAGGGACTGGGACTGACCCATTTGTTGGTGAGGGGGAGGAGGACCCTACCCTCACAGCCACTGCTAGTGGAGAGAGTCTGAAAGTGGCCCTGTTGTTACAGGCAGCCAGTTTGGAGGACCAGGTAAGCATTTTATTTCATATTTAATATTCTTTTTAATAGAAAACTTTGCAATTAGCATTACAATTTAATGTTTTTATTAGTGCTGTATGTATTATGTAGTCTCGTGTATGTATGTATGTAGTTTAGAATCATAAGTCAATAAAGCGATGGATGGATTGTTATGAAATTTAGTATGTGTTTAGGTCTTGTTATTAGATTTTGGATCCCCTGGTGGCTTCCCTTGGTACTGCAGCAGAACAGTTTTGAAATGTCTCGTGTTCTGGACATGCTGGTTCATGATTTGATCCTTCCTACACAAATATATGTCTTTGATCTTATTTAATTGCTGGGTCAGAATATACAATGTATTATCATATCCGCTGTGATTTATTTTTTCACCCAGTTTGTGTAATTGTGTGGGTTTTTATGGACGTTTTGTAGCAATTTGGGGCCCTCTAGCAGCATTTTGAGGTACTGCAGCATTTCACCCACTTTTTGCACTTCTGTTGAAAAGTTAACACTGATACTGTGACAGGAATGTTTGGTGTTGCACAGGTGCGTGGGTATGTACAGGTACATGCTTATGAATAATAAATGAAGTAAGCTCTGCACATGTCTGTTATTAATGGATCAGTGGCAGTTTTGTCAGATTTGATAGTTTAATATCCCCACAGTACTACTGCTTTCATAACACTAAGTTGGAAGGGCAGGGAGGGAAAAATTACTGTAAATGTCTTACCAATTTAATTTGTTGGTTCTCGGATTCGCCTCTTTTTCTGATTTGCAAAAGATTCTGGTTCTGAAACAACTCAAAAATGCTCATATTTTGCTCCCAACAGTTGAGGAAAGTCTTTTTCTTCCTACTGTTTTTCCATCTATCAATGCAGTGGTTTAATTAAAAGTTCACAATTCGTTGTTTAAATAATTATTAACCCGGCCTTTTGTGTTGACTTCATGGCTCTTATCGTAGCATTTAGGGCTATAATAGGATGCTTAGACCTTTTTTTTTTTCCCTGTCGCTTCATATATTTTCTGAAAAAATCTGATAATCAACAAATTAAATTGGTGTGGCCTAAAGAACATGTCGGCAGAAGACACAATGGCACCCTGTGTCAATTAAAATTTTATATGCATGTACATGTATCTGGTAGCAGGACCTGCAGTTTCAAGGTGTACAGTGTATATTTCATAACCTGAACGTTGACCTCTCACAGAGGACCTCTTGATAAATGTTTGTGAGGGTCTTTGTGACACAGATAGGGGCCATAACAGACAAGCTTTGTGCTCAGGAACAAAAGGACAGAACTTAGGATCAAGGTTCACATGTACCAAGGGGAGTATTAAGTGCTACTTTAGGTGATATGATATCAGTACACATTTATCTTGTCTTTTTACTCTTAAGAGCTCCATATTGTACATGTAGATGAGATTATATTGTCTGACAATAATATGCAGGGCTCGAAATTCACTTTTGGAAATAGGTGCACTGGTGCACCGAACCTAAAAAATTAGGTGCATCAATGACCAGAACCAGACGTCTGTCACCATGGTAACTAGTGTTGACTTACATCATGTTGCAATTTTATGGCAGGAGGGATTTAGACTCCAGTCCGACAATACAGTGCATATGAATGTGTTTGAGTTAGAATTAACAGAGCAGACTGTATGTGAAGTTAAACATTATGCATACTTTGCAAATGTTACCTAAGTTTTATTTATTATACAAGTATTAACTCAATGACACCTACATGTAAATCCTCCAGGTGGACTCGTTTGAAGCCCTGCTGGACCTTGACCAGCTGAACCAGGCGGAGCAGGACGAGGTTCTGACCAGGCTGCAGGCAGAGAATGACCGGCTGAACCAGGACTACCTGGACGCCAGGGACGAGCATGACCGCAGGAGGCGCGCCGGGGATACGCACGGGGAATTCGACGAAGACAAGGTATCTAACGTATTTCAATTAACAACATTTGACTGGGGCTAATGTTGACAATTTAGGACATTTTCTGTTTGGTGTTCCCTTTTTTTGCCTTCTTGGATGGAAGTATTATTTTGGGTGGCACTGGTGATGTTGGTAGGGCGTGATTGTATTTTTGTCCTCAAGAGCAAGGATTGGAAGTGACTGGGTGGAGATTGGGTTTTAGTTGATTGACAGGGTTGTAACGTTTTATATGTCCTGGATGTTAGAATAATAATAACATGAATAATAATAACCTTTATTGTACATTCATGCCCTATCGGGCTAAGTACAGGTCAACAGATGAAATAGGTAATATACATGTTTGTAGTACAAACAGCTTTAAACTACTCTAATACAAAGGTTCGGCTTCTTCTCGTTTCTTTGTAATGTTAAAAATATAATTTGAGATGGGTTTGTATAGTACAGGATGATCAAAGCGCATAAGAAAGATAAATTTTTCAACATTAGGCAAGTATTGGAAGTATGGAAACGTACTAGTAATATATCTAAAAAGGTAATTTCTTTCATTACTATATAAACTACAATCAATAACAAAGTGGGCTTCATCTTCTACTTTGTTTGAGCTACAAAATTGGCAAATCCTTTGTTCCAGAGGTGTGCGGTTGTGCCTTCCTGTTTGTAGCGAGTGGAAAACAACAGGAACAGTCCCACTCCTGACACCACGCAATAATGTTCTTTTAAGTACATGTATCCTACATAATGTTAAAACAGTAATGTGTAACTGTGTAACCATGGTATGAAGCATACACATAAGAAACCTTCTTTTGAATGTTTTATGACAACTAAGATTTTGGTACTTTTGCTACTTTCATATAAAATCCTGGGGACCATGTTTTACAGATATTAATGGGTTGTTTACAAACTGACATGTTTTGATTTTCTGTTTCCAGTCTGTTGCAGGGAAGCTACATCAGCTAGGGATGCGGTTAGAGGATCTCGGGGAGCGAGTGGAAAACAACAGGAACAATCCCACTCCTGACACCACGCAGCAGGACACAGCCCCCAGCCTGAGGGACTCTGTAACCACAGAAGACAGCCTCATCCAATCACAGATGGACCTGCCGCTGGGGGAGGAGCTAGAGGAGCAGAAGAGGAGGGTGGAGGAGGAGTTTGGCAGGTTGATGGACAGGTACAGCCAGCTGAAGGGGATGCCTCGCACACCTGACAGGGACAGGGAGATACAGGAACTCATGCAGGTAGCAATGGTCATTGTTCTCCAACAACAGGTGTCTAGTTAAAATGTATGACAGTGGATATCCAGCAACTTCTATTCTCACACATTTTACAAGTGTTTTTTTGTTTTAGTTTTTTAAAATGTATTTAGCAATATTTATGGTTTTATATATTAGGAGTACATTGTAACAATAAAAGGTTTTCTCTGTTTGTAGCAACTACAGGATTTGAGGAGAGATGCACCATTGTCTCTGGACTTGCCTGAGGACTTAGATGACAGGTAAGATTTTAAAGTTTTATTATCATTTTTCCTGACATTTTAAATGAAACAATGTCAAGAATATTGCACTAGATTAGTGTTCAATACCAACACATATATCTAAGAGCACTGCCACACCCACAGTCAAAAATTCTCTCTCTCTCTCTCTCTCTCTCTCTCTCTCTCTCTCTCAGTCCCATAGCTATGAGCCATCAAAAATTATGTGCACATTTTTCATTCACCCAGTATTTTGAACTCTCAGACTTCTTGTGCACATTTTTTCAATGCCAATTTTCTCTTCTATTTTGTTTGTCCTATATACTTGTATATGTCCCATATTCCTCATGTTCATTGTTGCATACACATACCTCCTGTGTCCAGTCTGTCCCAGTTGTCCAGTCCACAGCTGGAGGAAACTGACCTCCCTGAAGAAGAGCGGTCAAGGCTGCCCTCTCGTCTTTTGGGACGCACCCCCGGTCAGCCCTCGGACCAGGACATGACCAGACTGGACCAGTCATCACTGCAGTTCTCTCCTGACAGCCCAGATAGAAAAGGTAACTGTTACAACTCTCTTTCAACTTTTGGTGGCAAGGTTTGTTGACTTGAAGGTTCTGGGTTCAAATATCACAGGCTCCAATGTTGTGCCCTTGGGAAAGGCATTTTTCACCTATTTGCTCACTTGACTCAGGTGAAAATGAGTACTACCTAGCTTACATTAGGGTCCTGGGACATCCTCTCAGATGTGTTGTTGAGCCAGGGGTTCCATGTTTGAGGAGAGCCACACCTTGAGCATGTTAATATGAATTATAAAGATCCTACCACATTTACAAAAAAGAGTAGGGGACTCCTTCCCGTTGTGAGTGGCTCAAACCTTACAGTCTGGTCTGATGCAGCTTGTACAAAACTGGAGTGTTACGCCTAAAGATGGTTTACCAGTTATGCCAAACAAACAAAAATGGCAGTAAAAAATCATTTCAGGACATGTCTGAAAAAAATATTACAAATTACAATGTAGTAAAAAAAGGAGACCAACATTATTTTGCTTCCTATAAAAGAGTACCACAATGCTAAGATGGAACTTGATATACATGTATATCATGTCTATGATATCATATCATATCTATGTCTTCATGCATAGCAAATGTGGTTGAAAAAGCATAAAAAATCAATTACTGCTACTGTATAAAAATAACTACCAACAGATGAAACCTGTTTCTACCAGGCACTTGATACAAAGGCTGTACCATGTACTCAAAAAAAGGGGTGCACATAAAATATACTACTAATTCTATTGTCAAAAGTATGGTTTATAGTAAATTATACACGACATATCCACATAGCTTTTTTTAGCAGAAGGTACCTAGTATTTAATCAAAATAATCTTCCAAAACTAATATAATTACAGATTTTTATGACAATATATTGCATTATTCCCCCTACAACATTTTTCATTGGTCTAGTCCTTTAGGCCTTCTGCACAAATGTATTAATCACAGCAGTGCAGCTACAAAAATGCCTCTAAGCTCAAAACACACACCTGATGGTGAGACTTTACTATCTGCTGAGAAGATCCTGACCATACAGAACTATCTTGTCTGTGTAGAGAACCATCGGCAGAGGGACCAGGTGTCTGAAGATGACACCCCTCCAGTTGTCAGACCCAAGGACAGAAGGAACACTTCTCACAGCAGAGCACCCAAGTCTCAGAACAAGGTGGGTTACTTGGATATTCTTTGAAAAAATCTCACAAATATTCTATTGTCATATCATTTTTATTTATGATGAAAATGTCTCTAACAATGGTTCGGTCACTATTTTGTTATAGTCAAAATGACTAGCAATTAGATTTTGTAATTTGGAATCAGTGATATTTGCTGTTTTTTTTTAATGTTTTGCATTAACCCTTGTCCTGCTGGCAATTTTTACACAATATTTTCAAATAATTTCATGTCTTAATCAGGTCACAGACCCTTGACTTTTTTTGCCCTGCGGCGGCGTAGTTACTTCCGCATTCATTGCGTTTCGCTGCGGTGTGATGCGTTGCATGAGAAACACCCCCAAATCGTACATATACAGGGCACTATATAGATGGTACTGTATGTGCAACCCATATATATATGGGCCCCGCAGGACAAGGGTTAAGTAAGTAATTATATATAACATCTGTGTCCATAATATCACCAGGGTCCATAATATCGCCACCTTGAGAAATAGTGTGCTTAAAGATATTTTTACTGCAACATACCCTAGGTATGTACATTTGAGGTGTGCAGGAGTGCATACCAAAAGTGTGTTGCAGTAAAAATATCTTAAAGCACACTATTTCTCAAGGTGGCGATATTATGGACCCTCAAGTGATATTATGGACACAGACGCTTCATGTCTGTAACCATTTTTTTCTTCTCTGTACTTTTATTAATTGATGCACACAACAGGATTCGTGCATGGAAACAACTTGTACCTCAAGCCAGATATTTTCTGAACAAAACTTGGTGGGCATGAATGATTTTATTCCACATTATTGTGATAAAGATATTGTATAGTTTCTTTTCCTTTGATATTCAGACTATACAGTAGCAGAAATCTGCAAATTAGTCTGGTTGCCATGTTAAGTTGCCATGGTAACAATCATTATGGTAGACACGCACCGTTTGGTATGATTTTGGTTTCCATAGTGTATGGTTTGCTCAATATTATTCAGTTGATCTCTGTGTTTCATATGGTTCTACGTTCTATGCTTTTGGTATTATTGGTTATACCTTATATGACTTTGACTTTATTTGGATCCACATTTTACAACTCTTTACCGTTTTTTTTCCTTTTGCTTTCAGTGATTATGTGAAATTAATAAGTACGTTTCTTTTTTTTCTATAGGCACAGCTACAGTGTACTACTATAATAAATAGGTTTCTGCTAATATTTTTGAAATACACATTCTACCAGTATAATGTGAAATGCAGAGACTTTCATTGTGTTTTTATTTTGAAATTCGTAGTTTTCGCAGTGTCATCTTAGCATGAAACCCAAACACTGCGAATATGTGTCTAGGCTTATTTTTACTACAGTATAATACGTTAACTAATTTCAAGCAGAGCAAAATATGACCATGTCCATGAAGGTTAGACAATACGATGTGCCAAAAAGCAGTTACTCAAGCAACTGGATATGATTTTGTAAACGGTCAGACGTTTCAGCTAGTATCCACTACGTTTTGTCAGTGACTGAGAGACCAGAGGAGAAATGCTGGTTTATAAGGCTTAAAGCACAAACTATTGATTGATAAGCACTATTGATTGACTTCCAAAAATTGTCTTAACTTTATTTTCATATCAATCAATAGTTTGTGCTTATAAACCAGCATTTCTCCTCTGGTCTCTCAGTCACTGACGAAAGCTAGTGGATACTAGCTGAAGCGTCTGACCATTTCCAAAATCATTATCCAGTTGCTTGAGTAACTGCTTTTTGGCACAAAATATGACTACCACAAAATCAAATGCATTTAACAGTATTTTGCTGTTGTGTTCTGACCCTGTCCTTTGTTTAAAGCAACAGTCATGTTCAGTTGTGGACTGTACCAGCAGTATCAGCATACCCCACACTGAAAAACAAACCACAGCAGAACCTAGCCTGGAACAGAGCCTGCCTGGGAATGACATAACCACAGACCACAACACCTGTCAATCACAAAAGGATAGACACTCCGAGGGGAAATCTGTCGACGAAAGCAAGGGAAGAATCAGACTATCAAAAAGTGATGTTGACTTTGATACAAGCTCTCTACCAAATTGTAAACAAGAAACCAAGAAGGAAAAGTTATCCCGGGATGTTTCTTCTAGTGATGATAGACTTCTTATTGGAAAAGATAAAGAGGGGAGACATAAGGATAAGGTAAAACACACTGAGGCAACAAATGTTGCAAGAAATGATCAAGAATGTGAGAAAGAAAAGGAAATTGTAAGCAAAAATGAAGAAAATGAGGAAACAGATATTGTAAGAAATCCAGAAGAAAATGAGAAAACAGATATAAGAAATGCTAAAAAAGATGAGGACAAAGATACTGCAAGAAATGGTGGAAAACATGAGGAAGAAAAGAGTGTTGCAAGGAACCATGAAGAAAATGAGAAAACAAGTATTGAAAGAAATTGTGAAGACGAGGAAAATGACACTTCCAGAAATGGTGGCATTACGTCTGAAGTAGACAAAGATCTTGCAAAGTTTGTCCAAGAATGTCTTGAAGAACCATCCTCTGCGTACGACCCGAGTGCTTCCTTACAGCCTGAGACATCTAACGTTGATTCTTCGAAAGATACCGATATACTGAAGGACATTGAACCTCACAATGAAGGTGACATCACATCGCCACACATACCAAAAACACTGCGAGGCTTGTCGGAGTTTCATGACATCAACAATGAAAGTATGCCGATGGTCTCGCTGCTTTTGGACAGCAGTCCCAACTCTAGTTATACAGACAGCGGTAGGAAGAAACGCAGTCATGTGAAAAATACAGGTATCCCCAACCCACAAGAGAGGAAAGAAGAGTCAGTGGAAAGCGTTGGAGAGACAAGTTGTGTGTCTAAAGATTTCGTGCATAACAAGACATACGACAAAGACGACAATGCGGCGTACACAGCTGAAACCAGCAAATCGGACGCTCACGCTGATATCAGTGTTGTACAGGTGAACCAGCTTGCAACATGGTGCAATTTTCATTTTGCACAATTCTTGCACTTTGCAATTTATGAAGTGCAGTCAGCCTCTAAACAGTGTTATTTTGATAGTGATCTTCACGCCTTACCACACCCTTGCTCTGTTGTTGTGGTCTTTTTATGTGGTGTACACTTTTCAGTTGGTGGCACAAAAGAAATTACTGTCAGCTATTTAGTTGGTTGTTGCTAAATTGCATATTTGCTAGGTAACAGCTAAAGGCACGACTTCTGTGTACTATATAATATTAACATGTGCACTGCTGATGCCTGATTTATTTTTTTCTCTGCATTACTAATGTATGGGATTAACCAGTGTTCTAGCCAGCCTGGAATTTCTTCCGTCACCTCAATTTTGTTTGACCTAAATGTAAAAAACAATGTGTGGTATTCCGTATCGCCCGAAGTGTTAACCCGACCGCGAGTTGTGGGAGGCCCGGGACCAAGGGTGATGCGGAATACCATGTGTTGTATTCTATTTATATATACCCACTCAAGAAAGCACGCCTTTCAATGGGAAATGCATGAAAATTTGGTGTCCCTAAACCAAAAAAAATACAACAACATCACTTCTGATTCTGGCTTCGAATTTGTGAAAGCAGTGCACGCAGTTAGGGCGATACGCGTTCGAATCGCCCTATGGAAGCGCAGGCCGTACCATAAAGTACGACCCGGTCCGGAACACCGTTATCAAATGTTATCACGGCCCGGGTATGATGTAACATCATGTCCTTGTTCGAGCACCGAAGGCATGAGCATGACAATCCCAGGGGGTCAGGGGCTTGCTCCCCCAGAGAAAATTTGAAATGAGAAATCCTGACCCTCTGAAACGCTATTTCCTGCAGATTGTGGGGCAAACTTTGCTGGTAGGCTAAGCTTAGTTTAATGACATCTCTTTCCATATCTTTACACACCAACGTTTGTCTGTCAAAGATGATGGGTTGGGCAAAATTTTTGTCCGTCATGACCAGCAATATTCCATGAAACTATAAAGGCCGACATTTGCTCGGGAGCAAATGCAGCAAATGGCTTCACCACATCCCCCGTTCCAAAAATGGACGAAAAGCTTCAAAGTGGTGAAGCCATATTAACAATATGTCTTCACCACATAGATGCTGGCTAGAACATTGGGCCAGACCTCACATTTATTTGGGTAAATTGTTCCAACAGCACAATCATGGTACTAGATAGTTCTTGCATCAGCTACACACTTCCAAGAGCTTTCCAACTTTACAATTTTTTTTTAATAATTAGTAATACATGTGTGCTGGCTGTTTTCAGGATGATGTGCCTTCACCAGACAACATGTCCAACTGTAGACTGACAGAAAGTCGGCGGTCCTCCACTCTGTTCCAGCCGTGTAGACAGTCCTCTCACCTCCCCAAACCTATCCTTAAAACTCAGGAACATCCCATACAACACAGCCACAACCTGGACAGATGTGACCGCTGTGGCCAGGTGGATCTTATATACAAGTATTACAGCTGCTGCAGCTGTAAAATATATGTTGTACAGTCATGTAGTTGTCTAGTTAGGGTGCAGTTGAGTTCTACACAATCTAGTTCTACATAATCTGACAATGGCACTATTGCAGTTTTGTACCAGTTGTTTTCCCATTTCTAATGATTTTGTTTTACTTTTTCTTAGATTCTTTTGTCAGTGGATGCAGGGAGCTGTTCTTATGTAAATGATTTAATTTTTCTACATCTGATTCCCTATGATTTGAATTAGGGTGAACCGTGAAGTCTTTATTTTAGCATAATTTTCATGATTTTACAGCCATTTTTGCCTTTTCTTCCAGGTCTTCTTCTTTGTAACTGTAACACAGTTTTTAACTTTTGTTGTGTAGGGCATTGGAAGACATCTCCAATCAGCTTTTGGTCCTTTAAGTCACCATAGTTCCCATCCAGATTTGTTTAAATTCCAATTTAGCCTCTACCACCCTGGCCACAATTTTTGGGAACAGTCCAATAACACAGTTACACCTGAGTGAACATTAGACTGTAGTCTAGTAGTACAAGAAGTAGGTACTTACATGTTTTTGTACATGTACCATACTAAATATGTGGTATGATACAACACTGTAGCCATTGCAGTCCCAGCCGTCGACACATGTGGGCAGCACCAGTAGTGTAGCAGACAGCGGGCGCTCCTCCCCGACACACCGTCCTGTTGCCAAGGCAACCCAGAACCAGCCCCAGCAGGAGGCCGAGATCGACAGCGGGTTTATAGGCTCGGAGAGCAGCCGGCAGTCCCAGATGACCACGCCTCTCGTACCGAAGAGGGACCCACGCGCCACAAGGGAAAGGTCAGTTTTTACTTGTTTGTTTATTTATTTATCCAGGAAATACATATCGCCTGATGGTGTTTTTCAATGGTTCCTGGGGGGAAAACCCCAAACAAAATCTATTTTAACCAAGTCTAGAGGTTTTATAAAAGAATGCCTGAATGTATGACTTCTAAGACAGAAGTATTGTTTTGGGCGTCACTGGCTGAATGGGAGTTTTTGTATGTACATGTATCTTATCCTGAGCAGTGAGGATTAGAAGTTGGAGGGCAGAGATTGGGTTTCAGTTGATTGACAGGGTTGTGCCCTGGTATTCCCTGGGTGGTAGGATGTGGTATGAAGTTGCCAGGAATGTGGAATACCAGAGTGAGTTACATCATACAATCATATGAGTAATGAATTAATAAAATACATTCTACATGTACATGTAATTTCATTATGTATTTCTCTATGATCATAGGATTCTGTATGTTCTTGGACCAATTTATTCACCATATCCAAGACACTTCCTGGAAGTCAGAAATCTCCAATTTCTTGCTTGATTTGCTTTGATTTTATTAATTTTCATAGCTCACAAGAAATGTATTTCATCTCTAGACACAGGTCCCCAGTGACCGCCCAGGTGACCCAAAAGCCGTCACGCCCGGGTAGCGGTCACCGCTCCGTCACCAAGCACCGTCCGGCGCCGCTGCAGCAGGTGTCGGACAGCGACAGTCCGGAGGAGCGCCCCACCACCGTTAGGGAGGTCCAACCTGCCAGGACGGGCGGGAAGAAGAACCAGAGTAAACCACAGGGTCAGTGGTGTCTTTTTTTAAGACTTACATGTAACGTTACATGTATGTATTACTATTAGGCAAAAAGAGATACATGTACATGAGTATATGACTATGAGACATTTAATTGCCAAAGAAATGTATGCTATTGGATGCCAATGTCATATCTTAGACTTAGTAGTTCATTGTACATCTAAGTGTAAAGTGCCCTCGCTTGTAAACTACTGTCACAGTGTTACAGTAATACATTTATTTTCTGTATGAGAAAAAAAGATCATTTGCGCGTTGGGTAAAGTTCAAGGTTGAAACAATTTATGGTACACCAATAGAAGCATAAAACTCATTTTGTATTATAATTTTGGCTGAAGAGGACACCACGAGAACTACGAAAAAATTAAACCACTGCAAAGATTTCTTGATTTACAGTATCATGTTTTTCTCTCCCCACTCATGTAGTTTTTGTCTCTTTGCCCACCTCCCCCCAGACATGATGTCCCAGCGTAGACGCCCGCCATCCACGCGTTCCCGCAGCAGTAACACGTCCCACAAGCGGCACTACTCCAGCAGTGAGGATGACATCTCCCGCCGCAGTGTGGCCAGCAGCAGGGGCAGCAGCAGGGAGTAAGTAACACTACACATTCTCACTTGACCTGGCCTACCTTGAAAAAAACCACAGACTGTAGCCTTTTTTTGGGTCGAATGTCTGAAACAAATTTTTCTTAGACGTTTGAGTAGATTTGGGTTGCATAATTTTCCCTTGCCGTCAAGAAAAGGGACAACCCTGATGCAAAAGGTTAGATTGTATTGTTGGTTGGAATTCACTTAAGCCAAAGTCTAAAGAAAAAAAATTCAAGAAATCACATTTTTTTCTATACCTTAGCTTGGTCATTTTTCTTGGAATGAAGTCTTAGACCGCTGTTTGTAATGACTTTTGGAGCATTTAGAGCACCTGGAAGTTAAGTTAGTCTGTAAGATTTTAGAATGGAATCAACTTGACAAATGTTCTTTTTTCAAGTGTCTTGAGTTTTGCATTTCAATGTTTGCCAGTGTTGGATGTAACACCAAAGTCCTCATTTCTGCTATAAGTTCTGCTGTAACTAAGCAAATTCAATACAAATTTGAATAGTAGACATATTTGCTGAGACTTACCCATGAGTACACAATTATATGTATTGCCGCCATTGTCACTATTTAATATTAACTCAGAAACAAACAGGGTAAAGCTACATGTACACTGTTAAGTCCCAATTAATCTTTCCAAAATGTTTTCTTGCTTTCAATAGTGAACTGCGAGTGTTAGCTTTTCCACCAGCACTGTACAATGAAAGGTCCTTGAAACCTGCTTATTTGTTCAAGAGGTAACGTAACACCACGCATGCACATGTAGAACAATTAGCGACCCCTCTGGTAGCTAGGACAATGGCACGGGCCACGGTAGACTTCAAACCAATGGGTAGTTTCCCGCCACTACAACCTGAATGGGCCACAACACTTTGTCTAAAAAGGGGGTGTCAACATCATTCAATAAAAATATGTTCAAAGATAAACAAATTTTGTTCTATTCTACACATGTAAATGTTTGAAAGACAATTTCCGTTCAATCATGTACAGTATTGTTAGTAAAGAACTTTCTTTTTTTTCATTTTGGTGTTTGTTGACATGGGCCCTCCATGAAATTGGTACGGTCCATACCTAACATTCCAAGCAGAAGCATGCAGTCTTGGTTCAGTTCTTACAACAGGACAGTTATGTTGCAAATCCCTTTTTGTTGGTGAAAGATTGTCCACTGATTTACCTTTAGTTAGGAGTGATGTCTTGGTCTTCAGAGGAAGAACAATACAGGTTGTATATTTAGCTCTTGTATTGTTACATACATGTAGTGTACAATGTATTTCATGGCTTACAAAAATACTACTACTAACTTGTAGGACATAATTATACTCTAGTAAGTACAACTTCATAGGTCTTTACAAAACATTTAGCTAGGTGTAGAATTGGTGGTTGTTTTGGGTAGTTGTTTTTTTTTCATTGTTTGATGCAAGGCTGATGTTTATTTTGAAATGGTTTGTTAATTGTGTGTGTCAGTATTGAAATGGTTAACAGGTGTGTGAACTGCCCCATAAAGGTGCTCACTACTAACTGATGTTGTTGTTTCTTGTTTGGACATCTTTTCAAATGTGTTCTTTTGTATTTTAATTTTTCCTCTGAGTTGTTGCATAGTTAGTTTGCATTCTTAAAGTATGTGATCTGTTTCATTTTAATTATTCAAATGGGTTCAAAACACAAAATACCCGTAACAGCAAATTTTCATTCTTTCAGACCTTTAAATGCTCTGAAGCTAGCCAAAGTGTAGGGTACCATCTGAGCCTAGTGAGGAAGTATAGGTAACACTGTAAATTGCCTTCCACAAGGGCACAACATTGAGGGTCTGCATGGGGGGATAGTATTATTACAAATTATGCAAAATTTTGGCTGCCAATTACAAATTACGTTAAAGTCTCAGAGCTGATTACGACTTAACGCTTTGCAGCTAATGTTCTATTACAAAATATTTTGATTTTTGGGGAGACTCCCTATGGATTACAAAGACTAAAAAGGTCTGATTGTGCCTTACGAAAAAGGGCATGCAGGCCCCCAACATTGAGGTCTGCTACGGATTTGAACGCATAACCATTAGATTCTAACCTATTCCACAGGACCACCTAGCCACTTTGCTTGGTTCAGTGATATTTATGCCTGCCGTCATGTCTTAACAGTGATGCTATCCAGGGTTTGAAGAGGGAGATAGAGAACATGAGGGAAGAACTGGATGACAGACTGCGCCGTGCACAGAACAGAGACCGCCCGGGGAAGTCTGGCCTCCCCTCCACGCCGCGTGAGCCGGTCCGAGCCTACCCCATGGAGGGTTCTTATCTAGAGGAGGAAGATGACAGAAGAGAAGCTTCTCGACCGGGCAGCTTAAAGGGACCATATACAGGTTAGAACTTGAAAATCTCCACATTTTTTACTCCTTACAGGGTTACTTACTAGTACAGTATAATACAGGGCTTGAAATTCATTTTTGGGAAAAGGTGCACTGGTGCAACTGACCTAAAAATCTACACAGGTGCACTGGAGAAAAAGAAGGTAGGATTTCTGAAAAATCTAATAAAAAAGTTCAAAGCTGGAATTTTCCATTCCATTCTGAGCATGTCATTTTATTTAATCACAAATGTAGCATCATCCAAGCATACTACAAAAAGTTTTGTTATTTTTTCTGACACCCATGTACTAATACATGTAACATTATATAATAGTGTACAAGAGTAACTCATGTACCTAATATACATAAATATACACCAATATCTAGGTGCACTAGTGAACCCAATGTAGAAAAACTTATCTGCGCAGCTCAAATTTTGGGTGTCTAAGCACATGCATGCCTCTAGTATTTCCAGCCCTGTATTGTTCTAAGTCATCCTTGGAGATACTTCAAGCCCAGCTGGTCTATGGTAGACTGGCTTTCAATAGAACTGAGCTACTGTAGAAGACTTTCCAAGCTTTCACAGACTGTTGAACCAAATCAAGCTCTTTTGAACACTCAGCTTAGGAAAATCACCTCTGATAAGTCAGTATATTATAGTCTCAACTGCCATGGCTTTAAAAGATTGCCTTTACCTACATGTACATGTAATGTAGTTCACAGTTTGCCCCAACATATACATGTATGCATGTTAAGGTACCATTAGTTTTTGCTCTGATCTTTCAGTTGCTGTACATTTGTATACAGACTTGTTGCTTAGCAAAATGGAGTCCACTAATCCCCTCAGTCTGACACACAAACAGGTCAACTGGAAAGGTACAAAATGAGATAGCTGCACTTTTTGTCTGCTCTGCAAGGGGGCATTTGACTCTTAGGATGCAGCAAAAAATCTAGATCTAATACCTTAGTATAATAGTGTGAGTCAAGTGCATGTACACACACTGTACAGAGTGACATATATTACTGATGACCTTAACATAAACTACTTTACCACAATCATTGTTTTTGTTTGTTTTTCACATTCAAATTCTTAATTATAAACCTCCAGCTGATATTTGTACAATTGTCATCATCTTTTCATCATACAGTTTTTCTTCTCTCTCAATACTGTTGTCTCTCTTTCTCTTCTCTCTGTCTGTCTGTCTGTGTTCTACAGTTCTCCTTCAAAGTGTCTCCCTCTGATTTTCAGTGTAAGTAAACGTGGCAAACTTTCCGTCTTTTTGTTGTCTGTAATATATGTACATCTCTGTAAACTAACTTCTTGTGGTTCATATTTCAACGATAATCATTGTTTTTATCATTTTTAAGAACAAAATCAATTAGTGATGTGAGGGAAAAGACTTGTCTAGTTGTTTTATGCGGTTGAATTTGAATCGATGTTCACAGTTGTAACAATTCTGTACTGCAACAGGAATACAAAACATATATTTGTGGTTTCACGATTTCACATTAAGAAGACACCACAAAAATGAAACAACCAGGAAAATAAATCCATTAGAGTAGTTACTGACATCTTTTCTAAATGTTGAAAATGTCACACAAAATGGTTAAAACAGTTTTTCTTATTCTTCCAGGAAAGGACTATACGCCATATGCCACAAGACGTCGTGCCCCGCTATCGGAAACTTCTCCGATGGACGCTCGTGACCTCCGCTCTTCACATTCCAGAACACGGACGCCGTCCCCAGTCGGTAGCGAAAGACGTTCTGCACGTCGGACACGAGATCGCTCCACATCTCCACTTAACGACACCCGACCGAAGGAGCTGGGACGTTCGGATTTGGGCTATACGCCGAGATCGTACGTGAGAACAACAGGACCGTGTCCGCTATGCGGGGGAAGCGGTGTGCACACACACGGGGAGTACGTCCACCCGCCCCCCGAGCCTGTGGAGTACAGATATGTGCCTGTCAGCTCTACTGCTCCTGTCAGTCCTGTGGTCCACTATGTCCCTGTGTCACCCAGATATGTACCCACAACACCCAGGTTTGCATGCTTACTCTTCATTCTAACATTACATATACTATAAAATGATTAATAAACTAGAAAGGTAACATTTGCAAAGCAAATGCATAATGTTTACCTTCACATATGGTCTGCTCTGTTAATTCTTACTCAAACATATTCATATATATGGTGACAGAAGCCTAAATCCCTCCTGCTACAAAATTGCGACATGATGTAACCCAAGACTAGTTACCATGGTGACAGACGTCTGGTTCAGGTCATTGACCTTATTTGTTTGGAGAAGAAGAAGAGGAAGAAACTGAGCAAATTTAAACAATGTTTTCCTTCATTTCCTTCAATAATTATTATTAAAATACAAGAAATCTGCTAGATGTACCTGTTTGAATTGATTTATGAAGTTTGAAGTCTACTTGCATTTTGTCTTTCTCTTTTTGGCCTATCTTTGCATGTCCTAATGCTATTTGTTTTGTTTGTTTTTTTCATTCAGAACGCTGCGTTACGAGGAGGTTGCCCCCTCCCCAGGGGTGGTGTACAGCCCCTACCCCTCCCCGGTGGTGTACATGAGTCCGCGGCGGGGCAGGGTACGGTACTACCAGCGCAAATACAGCGTCACGGAGACCGAGGAAGAGGAGGGGGACACAGATGATGAACTGAGGGTATGCAGATTCTTTGTATGAAATCTGTCCAAATTGAATCTTCTAGCCAGCCAAAAGTTTTTTTATCATCTCAATTTTGTTTGATGTAACATCATACTGAGCATTGAAGGTGCTAGTCATCATGTCCAGTCCAGGGGCATTTTCCCAGGAATTTTGAAGTTTTGACTGTTGAAAGTTTTCCTGCATGTTTAGGGCACATTTTGCTGGTAGACTAAGCTAGGTTTAATAAAATCTCTTTCAATATCTTTACATACTTTTTTGGCGACGCCTTTGGGGCGGAGGCATTTGTGTAAGTACTACGATCGCTTTGAAAGAATTTCAAAAATTGCACGAATGCATTCCCTAGGGAATTGGTTTTGAGGTAACCTTCGGCCATGTGGTTTTTGGATCAAGCAGGTAACTTACACCGGGTGCCCACGTGCCACCCATCCAGATGCCTGGCATGATTAATTACTGGTCATCAGCCTTCTCCCCACACCATGGACAGAGAGCACAGCTGTCTCTGGCCAAAGATCAGGAATCTGAAATTCCCTCCCCAAGAACATTTAGGCTAGCCTGGATGCCAGACCCATATCACACTGGACACAAAATATCTCAGTGTGCAAGGGTCTGGTAGGGTCTCTTAGGAAAGGCTCTCGAGCATAGGGAGGAGAAGCTGTGATTGATGACCCCTCACACCACAGGTAGCCTGTTACATGGCACCACCATTGGTCAGCAGGAGACAATCTTGGGCTCAACAGTTAATCATTAACCAGTCAATTTTCTAAATGTTTTTGGAGTTTATTTCCCAAAATAACAGCAGAACTTAGTCTAATAGTAGAAGTAGTGTACAGCCCAGGCTTTCCCGTTTGTTTAGGTAACAGCCCTCTGACACACCAGGACAAAATAACCTTATCTACAGTTTAATCTAATCTGCTGGTGGCCACTGGTTAAAGATTTAAAGATACAGCTGGGAGTTTTTAACCAATCATAGCAGAGGTGTAAAATTGCTTCCTGCTGTGCCACCAATTGGGCCTTACGCTCAGATACTGAGCGTTCGAGTGGCAGGTCTATCTGGCCCTACCAGACCCAGGCTCACTGAGATATTTTGTGTCCAGTGTGCTTTGGGTCTGGCATCCAGGCTACATTTAGGCCGATGGGGTGGGTTTATTCAAACAGATCACACAGAGAAAACAAATTATCCGTCTTTTTGGGGACCCACAAAATTAAAAGGTCAAACAAGTCCTAGGAGTAACAACTTCAGATCAGACATAAAATCCAGTCTCTGGTGGAGGATAGAGTGAAGTGGAGTGGAGGGTGGTTTTGAGTTTGGTTCGAGCGGGAACTCGACCAAAGTAAAGTAAGTAAGAATGTCATCCTAAAATCTATGTGATAGCTGGGGAAGAAGGGCTGATTCCTCCTATACGTGTATTTGGTATATTGCCCCACACCTCCTCCACCCATCCTGTAAATTTCACTACATGCATGTGTTTATAAGATAGGGAAATCTGTTTTTCTTATAATTGTAATGTAGATTGCTAGCTCCACCACATGAAATGATATATATCTTTCAGTCGTCGCCTTGGCAATGTTTTTTATTGCCTCAGCCTTGTTGTAACCGTCAAAGATGTCATGACAAATTTGGCAAAATGTTTGTCATCATGAGCAGCATAATTCTGCCAGAAAGGCAGACACTAGCTAGAATGCTGGACTAGACTTATCCACAACATTTTTAATTCAGTACTTATTTTGATTGTTCATTGTTGTTTTTTCAAGCAAATTCAGAATAAACCCGATGTTGCCACCATAGCTCGACTCATACGTCTTCGTACAGCTTTCATGGCCTACAAGTCACATGTCTGAAATTCATAGCAGTTGTTGTGAACAGTATGCATTATAATTTTATGATTCCCAGAGCAGAGGTTTGGAATCTCAAATTTATTGTTTTCTGTCATTTTTCCATCAGCTGTCCCATCTACACCTCGGAAGTTCACTCGAGAGAGCGGAGAGGGCCGCTAGGGAAATGAAACGACGGTCGCGTAAGATGGCGAATACCCTAGACTCCAGCCTGTCCAGATCTAAAGCTAAACTGTCTGCAATCGACTGGTACTAACTCCACAAACCAGATACATGCCTTCATGACAAAGGGGAAATGCTCAGGTTTATTCCATATTAATAAGTACATTTGTATACATTTTGAAGTAACTTCAACCTTATAGTATAACTGTTATACTATTAAAAACTGTAGACTACTACAGGCAATAATGCCTTGATACTTCATACTTATAATTTTTCTTTTCTCCCACTAAAATATAATGTCCATTGCAGAGTTGTAATTTGTCTTTTACTTTAATGGAAAACCTTTGGATACTGTTTTTATTTTTCAAATTTTGAAGAAAACAGACTATCCTGGCTTTAAAGAATGACATTTCTACACTAAACTGAATAGAAATTGATAATACAAACTTTGGAAATACCATAAAGTCAGACCTTCGTAAAGTGCCTTTATTGAATCCCCGCATTTCAAAATTCACAAATATATTTTCAACGCAAAAAAAAGGATTTTTGCTATCACTGCATTGTATAGTCTTCAGAAACTGTAAAAGAAACCGACTACATGTATACTGATACAATGTAACTTAAGGTTTTTAATAATCGTTGCATACATTAGAAGATGTTAACTTCTAAATGCTTCTTAACATTCATTGGCAAATATCTTGAAATATAAGTTGAAAATGAATAACCTTTTGCCGTCCTTGTTATGTAAGAATTGTGTGGAAGAACAAAATGTTGTCATGTTATGTTTACTTCTAGTTGTGGTGTTGGAAACGGTGCTAAATTATGTCAGTTTTAATAAACTTTTATATAACGTCTTTGTTGCTGTCTAAACCTGATATTAAGTTTGTATTACTATAGGTTTGTTTTGTTGTAAAATTTGGTTAGATATTGTATGCGTGCTTCCATTGACTTTTATTCTGTATTTATTACTTACTGTGCTTACATTCCGGATCCAGGACGGCTGAGTCAATAACGAGAAATAAACTGTTCTCCAACTCAAGGAATTTTTACTCATGAATTTTCTCTGTCTATCATGAAAGTTCATCTGTGTTGGTAGTTACATGTTTAAAGTTAAAACTTTTGATCCAACACAAAAATTCTCTCACCTAGAGCTTTCAACCAGTCACTCTGGTCTTCCTCAGTAGACTGACCCAGTGAAGCTTGTCACGTGGCTTCTTTGAAGTGTGACGTCAACACTGGGTCAAAGGTATCTGGTTAAGACGATGTCGGCCCCCGTCGCGGTTCAATGTAGGGTGATGGGCCCTGATGTAAATGGCTTCCTTCACCCCTCTCAAGAAATAGTCTTGTTCAGTGTCTAAGATCCTTACAGTGTCAAGTGAGACATTTTCTCTGTCTTCATCAACTATCTGACTTCATCAACTAGCAGGTCAAGACCAAGAGATGTGGTTAAAAATTCCAGTGAGTAAAATTCCTTCAGTTGGAGAACAGTTTACTTTTCTTGTCTAAAATACCAACTCAGATAAACTTTCATCAAAGAATAATGAGTCCTTTAATTGACGTGTTTCATCATACTAGAATTCTTGAGTAAAAGACTCTTTTTACTTAATACTAGAATTCTTGTTTAGTAGAAGTACTTAGTCTAGTAACTTAATTCATTGTTATAGTAAGTACTAGTAGTCCGACTTGCTGCCATATAAAAGTGTACTGTATTTACTGCTATTGCAGGGATGTGTTAATGAAGAACTATACTGTAATGTTGGCTTTTTTTACAGTACTGTATTTCTGGTAGAATATTGTGTGAATTTCTGATTCATGACTTTCAGTATTACATTGAAGTCCATTCAATGCCTTGTACATAATTCCCTATGTAACTCAATGAAGCAACTTTCACAGGCCCTACATTTTGTACGTGTATAACTTTTGCTACAAGTGCTTCTTGTTCATAAAGTTGATGGCAAAAATTCTATTTTAACTGGAAAAGACAAGTTGTTGTATGTTTGTACATCTACATGTATGTTTATGATGGAAATTCAACATTCCAGGAAACGATACCTTGTCATGACTCGTTCTTGTCTGTTTTTGTGCTGTACACTACTTACCCTGGATGCCAAAACTAGTATCGGGCCGTTAGCCGTTTTCCTTCGGCAGCCGAGAGCCCTTTGCCCGCCTGCCTAAATTAGCGCTACGGGGGAGTTGAGCCCGAGGGGTTTGTCCGGTTCGATGTAGGGCCAGCCGAACTCCCCCCGGGCTAGACTCCCGGTAGCGGTGATTTACACCAGCGGGCGAAGGGCTCTTGCGGCCCGGAAAACGAGTTCTGGATTCCAGGGTATACACTACTGTACGTCTCTTCTTGCAAGTATGGAAACGGACACTCATACATACTTACAGGCCATTTGGTCTATATATGAAGAACTCTACACTTACAATGCACATGTAGATTTAAAGCTATATAATATTAATTGAAGGTACAATGAGTTAGACATACTATATAGCTACAGCTGTATATGTTGACCCCCCGCCCCCCCGTGTACACTATATGACATCCAGTAGATTTCTAGCGGGGACCAATCATAGGGCTGCTGACGCGTCACCGACTGGCGGCTATTAGCACCTTGTTTCATGTAAATGCCATGAACTCAACCAGAGCGCGTATATTGTTTCTTGTTTACATCAGTACTAAGTACTAGTACTTCCACAATCACTTAGTTAAGTCATACCTTAGTAAAATCTACTTTGATGAACGAATCAAAACGGGACTGTAGACATGAAGTTTTACACATTCAAATGTGGCTGCACTAGCGCTAATGGAGCGACCACTACGTACGGGAAGGAATGGATCTTAGCGAAGCCGAGATTTGTGAACCAAACCCAACCCATCGAAGACGGGCCGCCAAACATAAAAATGGAGGGAATTGACAGACAACAAGCCAACAAAGACAACATCACCAGACCAACAAACTTGGAAAACACCACTTCAAGCGCTAACGTTGTAAGAACTGTGGAACCTCAAACTAGTATGTTTGCGTCAGCGGAAAGGCTGTCGAAGTAACCACTACATGAAAAACTGCGGCGAAAAAGTAACATGGGTTCGTCCCAAATCGGACGCAAGTGAGCTACAAAAGTAATAGAACCTATGCATCTTGCTTGTTGCTGTCAACTTACCCGTTAAAGATTGAACCGATACATGTACGTACTATAACTTGCCATACCCGGCCAAAGACGACTACATTACTGTTACTCTTTATTTTGTGCTGTATAATGTATATGCGTTACATTATCTATCATTGTCATTTCTGTGAATTCAACATCTACTGTTAGTTTGTGTAACATTACGTAGTGCTACAATCTGCGTAAAAAGTGGGCTTCATTACGTGTTATCTGCTAAGTCGTGTTGGTATTGAAAATTGTTTTATTGTGCCGTTCTTCTACAAACAACCAGCGGAATTATGAAGATACCCGTTCTCAATACACATGCTGCAAACTAAAGTAATGGCAGTCCTACGAAAATTCTGTTTGTAATGTATAAGCGCTTTATGTCGACGTACAATGGGTGTAAAATACATGTTTTCGCCATGTTTGGCTCGGCTCGGTGGTAATTGGCTACTTTACAAGTGAAAGAACCGCGTCCGTGGGCCTTGATAAATTATTCAAATTATTCAGCAGCCCTCTGATTGGTCCCCGCTAGAAATTTACTGGATGTCATTGAGTGACGAGCCCCCCCCCCACCCCCCGGAAAAAGGCTTGGGTTAACGTGAATGGTTTTTGCTAGAGTTGGATAGGAAATCATAAATACTGCATTTTTCCTAGGCCTCATGACTACAATATCATGCAGCTATTTATGCAAATCAAACTATAAATTTACATAATCGGTTTGTGTATATATGCGTTAGATTTGACGTTGCTAGAACTTAGTAGAAGACAATAAAAAGGATGTATGCCTGTACAACGTATTATGAGTTGAATTTGACGTGAGGAAATGCACTGCATGCTAGATTGTCTTTTTATTCAAAGAAAGCAAAGATCGAGACAGTACATATTGGTGGCGCACTCAAGTTGGAGAGCTCACCAAAATAACAATAAAATGCGCTAATACGAAAGGCATTTGAGATTGTACTTGTATAATAAAGACATGTACAATTCTATGAGGGAAGTTCTGGTCATGTAGCGGTACTTGTCATACTTTTGCTGCCGCCCGCCATGATCATGGTCTATCCTCACGTGAGAACAGGACGCCACTCGTAACTCTCCCAGGCCGTCCTGGAAGAACTCTGAAAAAAGAAATGATAATCTAACTAGAAAGGCCGATATTTGCTTGGGAGCAAATACAGCATATTTCAGTCCATCTCCCTTCCACGCAAAAGTGGACTATTCCAAACTTACCCCAGTGCAAAACTGCCGAAGGTTCTCAAATAAATGAATTAAATAGTAGCTATATGAGAACAAAGATGCAACAACAACTACTTTGAATCTCGAAAGCTTTACTAATCTTATTACAGATATGCAAAAACTAACAATGATGAGATTTGATATATTTTGAAGGTCTTAGGCACGGACTGAAATATAATGAGCCTCTGCAAGTTTCTGCCATTAGGGCCTCCAACGGACTTTGTGATCGGATGTTGAAAATGAAGGTACTGTGCATAATGTAAAATTCCGTGTGGCGTAACGGCAGAGTCCTTGACTCGCAACCAAGAGGTCCCGGGTTCGAGCCCTGCCATGCCACCGATCTTGTGCCCTTGGGGAACGACACTTCATACGACTTTCCCCGAGTACTGTGTTGTCCTCTGTGTCCTCTCCGTCACCACGTGCACGTCTTGTCATATATGGTGACCAAACCTATATTTTGTAGCTGCCCGGTCTCTGGACCTACTCTCCAAGCAGAGGTTTGGGTTTTTGGGGTATTTTTAGTGTGTTTTTAGGCTTTTTTATCGGGGTTTCTCTTTTGCACTGAATTTTTTTCCCACCAAACCCAACCTCTGCCGGCAGTCGAAAGCTTTAATGGGCTATAAACCTAATCACTTCAACACATTTCAGTCGTTCTGCAAGGAGGTGTGAACCAGCAGAGGCATAAATAGGCACAGTCAGCAGGAGGCGTGTGGCCCAATGGATGCCTTCCTGACTGGCTAGATGTGTGATAATCCACCACAATAAAATGGATATCCCTAATGACAGTTGGATGGTTCCCGGGGAGGGGCACTATCGCCTGTTTTGAATAGCTTTTAATATATAGGTTTGCCCCTCCCCGGGGTGAGTGCCGGCAGAGGTTGGGTTTGGTGGGAAAAAAAATTAAGTGCAAAAGAGAAACCCCGATAAAAAAGCCTAAAAACACACTAAAAATACCCCCAAAACCCAAACCTCTGCTTGGAGAGTACTCTGGACCTATTTGATTGGAAAACATTTGGCCACTCCGAAAGAGACTCAGCAGCTAAAATCGCTTTCGCCACCAAGCTACTGTCCAGATACATCGTACCACAAATGTCACGTCTTTATAAAAGAAAAAGACGTTAAGAACACACAAGAAAATGCACAGTTTGAGAGAATATATGTTCAGTACCACTGTGCGCGATCCTTGTGAACCGAGGGTCGAATCCAGCACGTCGGGCCTTGATGGTGTCTGCCAGGAAGAAGTTGGTGACCATGTCGGCCACCTCGCAGTCTGGAAAACCTTCCACCGCGTGATAGGAGCCCCGAATGCGGTACAGGCAGTCCCCAAGCTCATCGCCGTCGTCAATTCTGATCTTATGTCGGAACCGACTCCTTCCTTTGCCTACTACACCACCAACCTAAAAACAGGTGGATAATTTTACTTGTAATCAGCGACAGGTCGTTACATGTAGTCCCATTCGTCCACGCTTAGCTTACATGTAAGTTTAGCTTTAGTTTACTGAACCGTACGTACTGTAGGGATGCAAAAGTTCGGATCCCACCGCTGCCACCAATTGTAGGGATGCAAAAGAAGAGGCTATTGAAGAGACGTGTGGACTCTCTGGTTGCCTGCTAGAAATGTTTTCTCAGACACTGTGTGTGATCTGGGTCCATTAATCATAATTAATAAGTCACAGATGGTGTGACGCCGAAAGGCGGTTATACCGGCTATACGGATACAGATGTGGTGTGTGTACACAAAAGACAGAGGAAAGTGGCGGGCCCTTACAAAGCTAGTCAGCTCTACGCACCACGTGCAAGAGGATTGAGTGAGTGAGTGTGAGTGTGTACACAAAAAGCTAGTCTTACCACATCCAGATTTGTGGTTTCGATGACTTGCAGAAGGAGCTCAATCTTGGTTCGTGACGTGAAGACGAAGTCGTCGTCCACCCAGAGAAAGTAGGGCGTGGTGACCTGGGACACGCCCAAGTTACGTCCAGCAAACCAACCCTATGGTTATAAATAGTCTCAACACATCATCATGATTTTACAAGATCACCAACTTGACAAAGCTGTAAGGGGGCGGTACCAACTTCCAACGAACTTTAACCCCGTGCTGACGCCGTACGTGCGGAAAATTTACGTGTCTACAGCACTTGGGTCAGATAGCTGATAAAGACCGAGAGGTTCGGACAAAAATTCTGGTGAGTCAGATTTGTTTTGAGTTGGAGAACAGTTAAATTTTCACTTTGTTTATACGCTGTTTATAGTATGAGGCATTTACTAGTGAAATAACCTCACACTAGACGTTCTGCGGATGCTGAATTAATATCATTTAAATCTGCACTACAAAAAGCTCGGCGCCTCTCATGGAAAATGTGTTTGATACCTTTCCATACGGCATGATGTACTGCTCTATGTTGTGACCTTCGACCTTTTCGGGATGTTCGCTGTCGTCGGCGATGATAATGGTGATGTTTGGGTAGAACCGACGTACGCTGTCAATCAACTGACGTAACCTGTCGTATCTTAGGAACGTCTTCGTCACTATGGTTACTTTTGTTGTGATATCATCTGAAATGAGCAGTGACGATTATGATTTAAAATTCATTGAACCGCGACGGGGGCCGACATCGTCTACTAGATATCTTTGACCCAGTATTGACGTCACACTTCGAAGAAGACACGTGACAAGCTTTACTGGGTCAGTCTGCTGAGGAAGACCAGAGTGACTGGTCGAAAGTTCTGGGTAAGAAATTTTTTGTGTTGGACCAAAAGTTTTAACTGTAAACATGTAACTACCAACACAGATGAACTTTCGTGATGATTTGAAATTATTCTTTTTGTACTTTTGTACTTTTGTACTTGTATCCTTTTTGTCCTTGAAGTGACTATTTGACACGCTAACAAGTATTATAAGTATATCGTATAAGCCATTACCAGAGTTAGTCCCATGTTGAGATTACAGCATTTCTTTTATTTCTTTGTTTTTGTTTAGTCCGTTATGGTCGGATTATAATGACATTTGGAGAATATATATTCCTTATGGTAAGGATTGTTATGAAATTTAAGAATAAGAATATAATACTATAATACTCTACTAATAATATTTGAGAAGAAATTACCTGGTACAATGGGAAACATTTGCGGCAATGTTTTATGTCGAATTCGGATGGGAATGCTTCCGCTGTAGTGGAGGTACTGGATCGCCACTAAAGACAGGGATAGAAAATTATGTGCACATATTTGTACACATTATAAATCAAAATCGTGACACTTATTAAGTTAGTAAGTCTTTAAAACGTCTTGTTTACTATACAAGTTTCATTAGTAGTTCAACAAGTGGGCCCCTTTTGGGGTGCAATTTCAACCGTTTCTTGCTTTTATTTTGGGCACTTGATACCCAACTCCTATGACAGACCGATCCCAACTGTCCATGACGATCACGATTAGCAGTTCAACCAATGGTAGCTTAGCAATTAGCAGTTCAACCAATGGTAGCTTAGCAATTATCAGTTTGATTATTGGTAGCTAAGCAATTAGCAGTTCGACCAATGGTAGCATATGGCAGTTAGTGACTCGACCAATGAGAGAGCGGCTGCAGGCCTATTGAATACATGTATTTGCATTCCAGTGTTCATAATTTGCATTTCTACGTGTTGACGGAGTGGGCGGGGCTATAGGATCAGGACGTCCCCTCCGGATGCCCAAAGAAAGCCACATGATAGTGAAAGGTATTAAAAGACGTTATTATCATTATTGCTGCAAGAATGTCAGCTTTTCCTATTGACTTGTAATTTTACCGTAGTCCACGGTGTCTGGATCAAAGTGAGTGTTGTTGTACACCAGGAACTGCAGCTGTCTGTTGAGATGTTCCAGTGACGCACTGGAAATGGTCAGGTGCTTGCTTCCCACACCTTCTGCTGCAACACCCGGAACATCCGCTAGGGTCGTCAGTACACCAAGCCCGGCATTGAGTTGAATCTGGTAAGAGAGAATTAAGTCAGTACATTTGTAAAGAAGACAGAGATAGCGCTGGCTACATCACAATTATATAATAAATTTTCTAATGAAAATGATAATTGTCTCTCCATAGGTGGAAGAATTTGCCAGAGGAGTTAGTCCGGCAAATAGGTCGAGTAATTTGTCAGAAGATTATGATTTTGATGCAAACAGAGAAAATCGTATCCCTGTTGCAGAGTAACTCCTGAAAACTATTCAAATATTTGGCCAAATTCTATAATTTTTTTTCCTTTCCACTGAGTATGGTGGACTGTCACCCCTACTTTTCTTTCTGGCTTGAGGCTCCCAAATACATGGGACCAAATGCATGCCTGAAGCAAGATCCAAAACGGGACTTTGTGTACAGGAAAACAATTTCAAAGTCCTTTTTTTTACGGCGTTGATTACTTAGTATAAGATATGGAGAAAAGTATATAGACAGCATATATTAACTCCAGCACAGTAAGGTAAATTTTGGCTGACTATTCCACGTTTGAGGACAAAAAAATCTGTACTTACTACAAATTTGTTCTTGTCATTACCGGATTCCTCCAGCTTTACACCCGGGATGACGAGTGTTTTCATCGGCTGGACCCTGAGGCCCTGTGTCGGGTAGCTGAGGGGAGATCTACCGTCTGTAAAAAGAACTGGAGTCGGCGGAGGAACCCTGCAGAATCATGGGTACGGTGAGAAAATCTTTTTTTATTGTTGTCTATTTTGTTGGCTCTAGGCCGTCAGAATATTCCGACGACATCTTGTAAGTGTGTACACACGTTTCTATAGGTACTTCCATTCATATATCATTCAGACACATTATTTACTTCAACTCTTATTATTCACTTTCTGCTTAGCCCCATTGCTGGGATCATTACTGCATCAGGTTGCGCCCGTGTTACTTAGTAGTGACCCCGTACTATAAGCGTAAGGAAAAGAAAAGATCTGGTGCCTTTGTCTGAGTCTGTCCTTCTCCCTGCTGCGCCCTTCCTTATATATGGCTTGTCTCACCTCCTCGGGACCAGGGATGGGGTAGAGATGGAATGTCGCATTTGGACAAGAGCAGGTACCGACTGTAAGAACACGTCTGAAGGAATGATATATTATTATGACTCTTTATATCAAAGTAATCAAACAAAAAATCCAGGTACATCATGTGGGTAGATATCCTCCAAAACTTTTTAATTTCGTCATTAATTGGTTCTTGCAAACATAAAAGAAGAACGTAGCGTGCCCGAGTTGACTTTCTAGATCTTACACAAACGGACTTTACCATGATCATATCTCCACTTTCACCTTGTCAATTGTGTTGTATAATTTGGCTGCCTTTTGAAGCTCATGCATTGCCTTTAACGTATTACTTCCCACTGGTGGTTGCAACCACTGAACGGACCGAATATCTCGCAGATCCCTCAACGACTCTCATGAAAAAATAACAATTTTTTGAAAACGCTGTTTGTTGCCATATTTGTGTTGTGCAGCATATTCTGGTTATAAAATGAATGGTAACACAAATCCAACTTTGGTCACTCAGCATGCGATATATATATAGTCATCCGGTGATGAAAAGGGAGCTTTACACGCCTTTAGGGCATACTTAGCGAAGCTCTGAATGTACGTGTCGTGCAAAACTTGATAGCTGCCTGTGACCGAAAGGTTATGGTGGATCCTTGTCATAGACCGGTCTCCGAGGCTGAAAAATCTACTTCACAAAATTCGTGTGGCGACGTCTTAGCCTAGATGTCATCATTTTTACCTTATCGTGGTACTTTTATAGCCTCTACCAGGCTTCGGGAGGCGGCTGGAAAGAGTAGAAATTGGCCAAATAGAGAGACAGCATGCCAAGGGAGTTTGGTCAGCTTGAGAAAACAGTTTGCCGCTCTTTTCCAGCCGACCAAACGTCGGGAGCGTCAAACTTTTTTTTTCCAGCCGACCAAACTCCCTTGGCATGCTGTCTCTCTATTTTGGCCGATTTCTACTCTTTCCAGCCGCCTCCCGAAGCCTGGTAGAGGCTAGTACTTTACGCCAAAATATTGTGACGGAGCGAGTATAGGAGCCCCGGCAAGCTAACTATATGACACATACCTCGCAACATGTTCCTTCCACACATACGGGATGTTCCACAGATCGTCTCCTTTCCACGGGAACTTTATGTCTCTCTTCAGCCCTGTGGTCCGCACAAATGTGGCCTGAGGTCCGGAATCTCTGATGACCTGTTTTAGCTGGTTGTTCTCCAGTATCGTGGCTCCCAGGGCTAACATCAAAAGGATAACCATAACTGGTGCAGTAGGAAGGGAAAGAAGCGTCACTAAGAGTTTGGTGACTGACTCCATCCCTGGCACTGGCAGAGACGTTTTTTGGAACTAGACGGACAAATATTGTGTCCGTCGTTCTGTAGCCAGTTTACATGGAAAGTGGGGTCTTAATGTCATTAGGCCAGACTGGTTCTGAGGCCGGGTATGGCCACGTGTCACGGTAACGTTGTCGAGATCAGATCAAAAACGGAACAGTAGTTGTAAAAGGGGGGAAGACACTGAAGAAGGGATAGGAATAAGCTTAAAAATGTTTTAGAATGAACAGGTATGACACTAAAATTGACATTTTAGAAGAGAAGACCTAGAAAGATGGAGAAAACTGCTTGTCAGATCTTTAAATGTGTGATGCCCTAGCGGTCAAATAGTAAGGGGATAGGTCAGATGGTACACGTGTAATGGTTGCTTCAGGCGAAATCAGTGAGATCAAAAGCTTTTGGTAAATTTAGGTTTATTTTAGCCTCCTTCGCATACTTCTGAAGCGTTATTTTTTTCGGGGAGAGACGGTTTCCCCGCATGAGAAGTCTGCTTGCGAGCCCAAACTTTATTCTAGGAATGTAATAATCATAATGCAGAAGAAATATTGATGCTATGTGTTTGAAACAGGACTAATAAATCAACGCACGTTGGTGGACGATACATTCGAGGTCATTCTCTGTACGTCCGGTAATGTCTACCTACATATTAGATACCGGGTAAGTCTGATAATCTTAGCCTGAAGCGTCAATGGGCAAAATCAACCATTACCGACTTACATGGCATTAACTTATCACCAATTTTCCTGCAGTGACGTCAAATGGGCGGTCTGATGCTTTAGAAACACACGAGATTATATCCTTGTCATAATCTACTCGACCTTCAGTCAATTATAGATAGTTCCCTGGCTTTAGTCTTTAAGATGAAACAGAAAAAATGCGTATTCCTCATGACACTTGACAAACCATGTATCATTCAAGTCCATAGGTGCGTACATCTGTAACTTCCTCAAGAAGCGAGAAGAAGTTGAACCTGTAAATAGTAGATTATAGTATGTATCGTTTAAGCAAGGAATGTCCTTATTGTTGTATTCTCTTTTCCTGTTTATTCGTGACCTATACTTAGCTTGTATACGTAAGAGCATAAATGTACAATAAAGGTCTTTCATTCATTAAAGACCAATTTGGTCATGTACCTCTAGTACACACTTTCAAAACATCCATTATAAGCAGAAACAACATCAACAAAGTTATGTAATTAATGTAATATAATAACAACACAGCTGCTAAAGAGTGTTATATAGAGTGTTTATTTTTCACTTTGCCTCCTATTTTTTCCAGTATCACCTTAAATTTTTGAACTAAAGAAACTGAAATTGTACAAAAGCTATGACCTCCCTTATTCACTAAAGGTTGCTTCCTTTCTAGTAGAAAATGTTAGCTTTTACATGTACAAGTTGTTGTGATAAGTCTGTTACGTTATTTGCTGAATACTGTAAAATGTTGGTGGGAATGCAGAATTTTATTGAATATATAAATCTCATCTTACTCCCTAAGTATACACTGTGTAGATTCACCGTGTAGGTTCTTGTAATCATACATTAACTAAACGTTAACAAATTATACCATTACATGTATCTTTTGTTACCCAAGCAATATGATTCTTTTAACTATTAAAATAGTTGCTCTTAAGAGGAAAATTTACATCAAACATAATGCTTGAGGAATAAGTATTCATGGAGGAAAGAGCTTACACGTAATGATTACTATATATGAAAACAAAATTTGACAAAAATAGCTAAATGGACTCCTAACTATATCATAAACATTTACACCAGAGATTGGTATGTGTTATGAAAATACTTGAGAGTATAATTTTCATCAATTTCATAACAAAGAATTCCATCTGTAGTTACTATATAATGTTTTACGTGAGGACCACCTGGCCATTTTTGGTGGTCCATAATAGATAATTTTTCCCATTGACACGAGCATTAAGAACAAAGTGACCACCTGTCCACATAGACTATATTATGTTGGTCTCCTGAGTGGTTTTGGATTCTTTTCATATCTTTATTTCCAAACTCGTTTGCATCATATAAGGATATAAGGCCAACATGACCACTTTTTGAAAATTTTTCCCATTGATACAAGCATTAAGTGACCACCTGTCCACATAGACCAGATTTTATCGGTTCCCTGACCCTTACTGTTTTTCTTACACAGGTTTGGCCGTAGGTTTGACTGAAAAAAAAGTTGGTTCAGTTCAAATGACTACAATATGAGGTGGTCGCCTGTACAGGTTTGACTGTACTGTAGCTGTTCACGCTTGCTGTGCTCCAGGCACAGGATCTTCTCCCTGGTTCAGTAACAGCTGTCGCTCCTCTTCCTCCTGTTTGACCTTCTTAATGTCGCGCCGAAGAACCAGTAAGGTCAACACGAAGAGCACCGAACCTGTGATACAGAGAGAGAGTTCATGTCTCGGAGTTCAAATGCAAATAAAAACAACAAGAAATTAGAGATTACAAACTTTCAACAAGTAGATTATATATAGTTTGTGCGATTCTTGAAAAAAGGACATTCCACATCAAAACCTTGTCAATCAAGTGTGACCCAATCTCCTCCCACTTACTTTGGAACCCAAACATACAAACCTAGCATAAACTAGCACCACTCAAAGCAATTATTATACATTTGTACATCTGTCCCAAAGTAACAAATTGAATTAATTTTGATACCTGATGCACACCATCTGAAGGTGTGGGGGAGGGTGGCATATTTTATTTATTTTGCAGAGTGATATTTTGTTGTAAATATTGGAGGGAAGGTTGCATTGTGAGGACAATAATTTCATACACATTGATGGTCAGAGCAACTGTCTTGGTATCAATATTGGGAACAAGAAGAGTCAAAGCAACCACATGCTACAAACTGCAGCCCTGGGAACAAGAAGAACACCTAGTGCTATAAACAGCCCTGGGAACAAGAAGAGTAAAAAAAAACTAACCTGCCACATACAGCCCTGGGAACAAGATAGTGAGCGCTGTTCTGAAGTTTGTCGCTTTCTTGAGCGGCGTGACGAGTAGCGGGGAGTTACCGCCGATGTTGGTGCTGATGAACAGGTACACGGCGACCGTGGAGGTGCGGATGTAGGACGGCACCAGCTCTACCACCACGGCCAGCGTCACGCCCACCCACATCTCACCGATGATGTTGGAGGGGATGAGGACTAGGAAGGCGTATGGAGGGTCCAGGTACAGGGCCAGGGCTGCAAACGGAGCTGCACATAACTGTAGGGAAAACCAGAGGTAATTTGATAGGTCGAAAGCTCTAGGTGAGAACATTTTCAGGTGTGAGCATGGTGGCCTTGTTCCACGATGAACTACATGTACATTGTACATATGTATGTGGTCAATCGTAATAAATAAATAAATAAATTTTCCTTTTGTGTTGGAACAAAAGTTTTACCTTTAAACAAAGTTAAATTTTGAATGTGTTTTTTAATAGAATATTTTTTTCGTAAAACCCTGTATGACTGTGTAATATATAGACTATGCAAGACTATCAACTCTATGGACTTCAATCATGTACTACACTGAATTTTATATTTTTGATTTTATACAGTTTTCATTGGATGTTTCGTCAACACTGCATCAGAATTTTGCCAGTTGCAGACGATATATTTTCTGACACAACACTTCAAAACTATAAACAGTACATACGCGAGTGTGGGACCTAAAACGAGATGTTCTACCAAAGTGCTATGCACAATACAGGGTTTGCGCAGGTGCAGAACATTCTGCCAACATGCTGAGGTAAATATGCTAAAACCAAGATGTCCAATGTCCTTTACCTGACTGATGACCAGCACCCATATCCTGCCCTGGGGGCCCACACGTTTCACCACCCTGTCCGAGATGAACCCCCCAAACAGCACGCCGAAACACCCCCCTACCAGCGGCACCCAGGACATCCACAGTCCCACCTGAGAGTCCTTGTAATAGTGATCAAAGAACAGCTGGGTGTTGTTACCCCAGATATAGCCAGCTGGAAAACAACATACATGGTGTCAGAAAACATTCAGAGGTAATGTACTAATTACTTCCAGGATGGAAGTATTGTTTTAGGTGGCGCTGGTTCATTGGGTTTGTACGTACGGGTTCCTGAGTTAGAGGGATCGTGTTATAGTTAAGAAAGTTAAGACTTAAGTCATCCAAGTGTATGGAAGTTTTTATCCTTTCCACAACTATAAACTATAAAAAGGAAAAAAAAATTGGGGGCTAAACTACTGTAAGTTTGATAACCAGGCTATATGGAAGTGAGTGGGCAAAGATTGGGTTTCAGTTGATTGGCAGTGTTGTGACTCGTTACAACCTTTTTGTGGTTGTCAGGAATGTGTACTGTGTAATCATGGTATGATTATGATGGTGTAATGGTGTGGTAAGTTTAGTACATCACACTGTTGTAAGTCAGAGTAATAAATTCATTATTATAAATTGATTATATGACTGTCATTCAAAAACACAAGCCATGTGTACAACATGTACAGGTACTTATAACTCTTCCACAAATCAACTGACTGTGCAGAAACATGAAGTTTCTTGTACCTGCATTCCTGACTGACCCAGCTATGATCAGCATCATGAGTGAAGGGTTGAGGAAGGATCTCAGGATGGTCATCAGTTTCTTCAGAGGAGACAGGTCGTAATTCTTACTGTCCTTCTCCTTAGCCGTCTTCCTTCTCTCCGGTTCCTTGACTGACAGGAGGATCAGAAGGCCCACTAAGAAACCTGGGATCCCTGAGATAAAGTAGGCCCATCTCCAGCCCTGAGGATGAAAAAAAAATATACTGGTACATTTAACTAGAAAGGCAACATTTGCAAAGCAAATGCGTAATATTTAGCGGAAGTCACAAATGGTCTGCTCTGTTAATTCTTCTGAAACACATTCATATATACATTTGTATGGTGACAGGAGTCTAAATCCCTCCTGCTATAAAATTGCAACATGATGTAGGGTAACCCAACACTAGTTCCCATGGTTACAGATGTCAGGTTCAGGTCATTGACCTTATTTGTTAGGAGAAGAAGAAGATGAAGAAGAATTAGAGCAAAAACAACATACCTGTCCATTGATGTTAGCCTTGGTGATGAAGTTGCCCATGGCATAGGAGAGACTGTACCCAGTGTAGATGCCCCAGTTGTAAAACCCCATAGCAGAACCTCTCATTTCCTAGATATAAGCCAGTATAGATCAGTAAAAAGGAGCTTTATGAACTAACATACAAAGCAATTTCTGTATGCTAAAATTCAAGCCCCTTGGTAGAAAGAGCTAATTATTAATAATATACCGTGAGACTTCCCAGTTTCTTTACATTGTATCTACATGTAGTTTCATTTTTTTAAATTTTATTTTATTTTATTTTATTTTATTTTATTTTATTTTATTTTATTTTATTTTATTTTATTTTATTTTATTTTATTTTATTTTATTTTATTTTATTCTATTTTATTCTATTTTATTCTATTTTATTCTATTTTATTCTATTTTATTTTATTGAAATTGCAACAATGCAATACACGCGGAACAGAGGCAGCTGTTGCTGGTGTTGTGTCCCTCACATAGAAACGGATACTGGACAGACAATACTAATTTTCACTTAAGTCTACTGGGGAAAGTCGTGTAAAGTGCCTTTCCCATGGACACAATCGGTGGCATGTAGTTTCATTTTGTTTGTCTCACACATGACAGTACTTGGTGCTTTATGATACAAGGACAGGAGTACTGGTGTGTTCTCCTCACCTCAGAGAAATAGTCTGCAATGATACTAGCAGCAAATGGAGTGCAGCCTGCCTCCCTGGTGATGAGGAGAAGAAAGAAACATCAGTTACATTCTAGAAAACAAGAAACAATGCAGAAAGTCAAATACAAAGTCAGAAAGATAAAACATGGTAAAGCAACACATTTTCATGGTACCTACCCTATCCCCAGGGCAAATCTCAACAGTACAACATGCCAGTACTCCTGAGCAAACCCAGTCAGTATGGTCACTCCACTCCACAGCATTAGACACACCACTAAAATGTACTTCCTGACAGGGAAAAGAAAAGGGCATAGAATTAGTAGAAATTAGAATAAGATGTACTATTCTACATACATGTTTATGGAGAGTATGATATATGTGTCGATGAAGGTTAGACATCCAGGTAATACATATATAATACACAAGGAATTAAATTGTTACTAGTACTCGAACTGTGGAATGATATGCCATGATTTGAAAACTGTCATACAGGATTACAAAATGCATTATGCAAAAGATAACAAGACAACGGACAGGTTTTAAGACATGTACCGGTATTTGAGTTGCTTGAATAACAATTTCATTGTGTATGATATACTTAACATCAACTATGACCTACATTAATATCAATTAATATCAATTATCATATAGCCGGACGGCGTGGACCAATCAGAGGCCCGGATACCCGTGCTGTTATTTCCCGATAACAGCACATGTGGTGTTATGGCGGAATAACAGCACATGTCGTGTTATGGCTGATACCATTATGTTATAGGGTATAGGGGCATGCGACTCTTTCTGTAAACCTTTGTAGCATTTTTCTGTCCAATAAACTTTTTTGTTTAGCTTCATTTAAACTACAATTTGCATTAAATGAAATTATCCATATTTGTTTTAAGCGTATAATATATTCGAATGTATTTTTATGTATGTATATATATTAAAGCTGTTGTATTTCAAACAGGAATTGTGTTGATTGACAGTTTGGATAGGCTATATGATAATAATTTTAATGCACTGCCTTTTCCTCGTTGTATATGGTGTCATAACTGCATGGGCAGCTGCCATAACCACCTCATAAACCACCTCGTTCGCTTCGCTCACACGGTGGTTTATTCGGTGGTTATGGCAGCTGCTCATGCAGTTATGACACCATATACAACTCGGGGCAGTGCATTTAACCCTTTATTATCAACTGTAAAAAAAACACCTTCTAGCCTTCATGAAACCATTGCCCCTCAGCGCAGATTGACAAGAAACATACAAACTGACAACAGTAAGCCACCCAAAACAATACTTCTGCCACCCAAAATAATGCAATAACTGTTCACCTATTCCAGATATCAGCTATGAATCCCAGCACCACCCCTGTGATGGTATAGACCACAGTGAAGGCAGGTCCCACCAGGACCTGGTACTGTTCACCACTGCCGTTATAGTCCCACAGACAGTACTGGGTACCGTTAGGGTTGGTCAGATTGGTGCAGCTGCAGAAGAAAAAACAATACCATGTTACTACAGAACATTGATCTGATAACTATTATGTTGGAGCAACCAGCAACCTAAATTTGCAGGTTATACTATAAAAGAGTGTTTATTCATTCAATGTTGCTGTGGTTATATTTTCCTGTAGGAAAGAAAAGAATAAAAGTTTCTGCAGTGTTTTCATAATTCTGTAGTCATACTTATAAGTACAACTTGAAGGTAGAAATGAATTAAAAATGTACATTTCTTCAGTACATCGTCATCACCATTACGGGACTGCTACCTGTTTCATCAACAAATACATTATAATGGCAATTGTACAGTTTTTATCTAATCTTACAGTAGCATTTCAGTAATTGAACAGCAACACGTCAGTACTGCCAAGACAGTTACTGTCAGTAACAGATCAGTCAGAATAAAGTTATTAGGAAGCATCAGCACTTGTCAGTTGTAAAATAAAGTAATGACAGTTACTTTTACTGAATTGTTACTGAACTGAGACTGTCAGTTACTTATCAGTTGCTGACAGTCGCATACTAGTTAGAACTGGTGGTTTGCTACATTGTAATGGTATCACACCTGTCTTCAGATTGCTTTACTGAAATGCTACTGAACTGAGACTGTCAGTAACTGTTCAGTTGCTGACAGTCACATATCAGTACTGATGGTTTAAATGCTAAGGGTAGTACCACACCTGTCTTCAGATTCCACACTCTTACAGGTGACGTTCCCAGTGAAGGTGACAGTACTGTTTTCCAGACATCCCTTGTCTCCGAAGTGGATGTCCTGTGCCATGGGGGCACTGGTCGTGGCCAGAATGTACCGGTCTAACTGGTTCAGCAGATATGTGGCCAGCAGGACACACAGTACGTACAGGGGGTAACCCTCTGAACGGAACAGCTGCAAGAAGTTCATGGCTGTTCTACCTTTTCAGCACCGCCCTTCTCTGAAAAAACTATTCAAAACACAAAAAATGACATTTTATAGTACTGAACACAACATTAACTGAGTTACACAAGAATATTGCAGTGCTCCATTGGGTCTCATATTAACTATACGTACATGCATGCAATCAGTTGCTTAATTTCTACTGATAAGAAAGTTTACATTGTTAAGTAACAGTGTGCACTAGTAACTTAAGTTAACGTTACATAATAAAAGCGAATTCTTCTAGTAAGATATTAAATACTAAACATTCGTTATATAAATTATAAGTCGCATCACAAGCATGAGGTCTTACTTTCTGGGTTAAAAACTATTAAGCTGGTGTTAGGACCTCGCAACACAACTATGAAAAAGATCACAAGACACGCACGTGTCCTGAATACTAGTACATACAGGTGAGCATGTAACGTTAACGTTCCTCCTACCTGCGTCTTAATTTTCAAGTTCCCCCTCTTTACTTCTCTGGCAAACCCGGATCTTTATCTACTCCAAAGTTATCGTGGAGTACTTGTCTCAAACCATACTGATCTACCACTAAACGCCAACAGCTGAGCTAACAGAAAGACAGGAAAGCTTGCCTGCCTGGATTGTTGATCTTGTGACTCTGACAGTTCGTAGCTGCGGTCAATGACCCCATGTTACCTAATTTGGACTAACACATTATTATCTGGGGATGCACAGTGCTTGATTCTACAATATCAAAGATAATCCGACACTAAAATTTCACATTTTATCTCAGCAGTTTTAACTGAACTATTTTAAAGACATTTTGACTATTGACAGGATAAATGTTTGCAAAATATTAGTATAATAATCTTCTTACACCCCCATGTAGTAGTAGTACTGTCTGTGTCCAACCCGGAAGTATTTATTTGGCGGCATACTTGAGCAGAAAATTGTCGTCGAGTGGATGTTGCTGGTAGAGTAAAGGCGTTTTCTGAGCGTGTAAGATGAGAGTAAGGCATGGGGAAGAGCCACAGTAAGGACAGGCGGGCGAGGAGGAGGTGAGATTCTCTGGGAAGGAATAGACCACTGTTGTTGCTGTCATAACGTTGATTTTGCGTGACTTAATAGTAATACACCTTGCTTCACACATTATTTTTTTACGTAAGCATGTGTTAGACTTAGACTTGTTACTAAGCGGGAGCATTAGTGATTCTACCGGTAACGTTAGAGCTCTAGACTAGGTACGGCGAATAGAGAGAAAATTCAGTGATCCCTCAACTGACACGCCCACGCCCCTATACTATAGTAGTAATGGCACCGTTGCGCGAATAATTAATTTATCAATCCCAGCGGGAGACATAAATTAGACCCCGGGTGCCAACTCTGGGATAGGGTCGTATGGCTTCCCCCTGGCACACAGGCTCTGTCGGCAGAGACTGCAATCGGAATGTCTACCAACTTAGATTCTTAAAAACATTTAACTACAGTATCAGAGTCTCTACTACTAGCCTGTATGCCAGACCCATAGCACACTGGGCCCAAAATGATAACCTTAGACATTTGTCTCTACCCTCAGACAAGAATTTGTGTCTACAGTAAGATGCAGGTACATGTACGTTATACACGGACACTGATTTACTAAGATCCGTAAATTGCTGAATTCTCTTGGTATCAATTACAAGTTTGATTGAAAATTTAGACTTTTAACAAAAAAAGTTACTAGTAACAGAAAGCTGGATGCTGTCTAGCTGTGGATGACTCTAGTAATCCTTTTTGCATGATAATGCCGGATATCTCATGCAAAAAGGATTACTAGAGTCGTCCACGGCTAGATGCTGTCTGGCTCTAGTTTTACGTGGAGGTTCATGATTATGACTGCACATGCCCTGATGAAAATGACGAACGGTCGTCAAAACATTGGTTGTTAAACAAGTGGTTGTAAACAAATTCAACTTTGCCATTGAAGTTTTGAATGTTTTTGTTAACAGTTCTCAGAAGTCTTCCCAGGACGGTATTGTTACGATGAGCGGCAGTAAACAGCTGCCCCCAGCACACAGCGACGCTGTAACATGTCTGGCACCCGTCACACCCGGGCTGTGTCTCACAGGCAGCAGTGATAAGGTTTGTTTGTTTGTTTGTTTCTTTAGGATCTCCATTAGTGTGAATTTCTCACATATATAGTGAATAATAAGATTTTCAATAATCAAGCATTTGGACCATCACACCTGGGCATGCCCCTACTCTTTTTTGAAAGGTGTGGTGGGTTCTTTGACATGTCACACCCTGTAGTGAGTCTTATGAATATGAGACATTTTATGTTGGCCACTCATGCACTAGTTAAGACTAGTACATACAATCATGTATGTTGCAGACAGTAGTTCTGTATGACTGGACACATGGTGCTGTCAAAAGAAGATGGAGCGCACACACAAGGGAGGTTACAAAGGTGGGAATTTTTTTATCCATTTGTTGGTACATGTAGAAGCTTAATCAAAGGAAACCACTGTAATTGTTCCAGAACTAACAAGTACAATTCACAGTTCACACTGCCAGCAACCAAGCAGTTTAATTTTTGAAATGTGGATGTGTCCGAAGTAAGTAAACTGAATTCAATGTTGTTGTGAATTTACTACTATTATCTTTGATAAACATATTGTTTTTGCTCAGTTTCTTCCTCTTCTTCTTATCCAAAAAAATCAGGTCAATGACCTGAACCAGACATCTGTCACTATGGTAACTATTAGTAGTGTTGGGTTACATGATGTTGCAATTTTATAGCAGGAGGGATTTAGACTCCTGTCACCATACATGTACATATAAATGGGTTTGAGTAAGAATTTAATAGAGCAGACCATATGCGAAGGTAAACATTTAATAATGCATTTAAATGCAAATGTTACCTTTCTAGTTTTAATTTTTTATGTTACTCTGTATATATCACATGTACATGTACTGACAATTTGGTAAAGCTTTATGATTGGTTTGACAGGTAGCTTACAGTGCAGGGCTGGATGCTGCATTCAGTGCTTCACGAGACAAGACTGTCCTAATGTGGAAACTTAGCAGCATAGAGACAAACCCTATCAGAGCCTTCAGGGGGCACACTATGGTGGTTATGGGACTCACATTAAATCCAGGTTTGCTGAAGAATTCTGTTTGCTTTAGTACCCAAAGAACTCTGAATTAAAATTTGTTTTTGAAATTCATGTAGATTTAACGTGAATGTATTTGTCTGTCTGCATGGATACTGAAAACCACAGTATAACAGAGGGGTATGAAATTTCTTTCAGCTGTACTGCTACCAGTAGTAAGTTTTTTAGTAGTGCAGAAATGCCACCTAGCAGCCATGTACTGTAATGCATGCAAACAACTTTTACTCATACTTTTGACGGTTTTATACTGAGATGTCTTGCATTCGGGTCACATGTTGTGCGTGCATGGTGTACAAAGTGAACCACTAGTATTAAATTTGTGCATGAATTATACTTTTAATATTTGAATTTCTAGAAAACCCTAGCTTCAAGAACTGAAGAACTACATCATTTAGAGCACTCTTGGCACTATTATCATTTCCAGGACACAAGAATATTGTTTTTACTTTACACCACAAACTGGTAACTATCTGGCAAATGGATACTGTCTGGCCAATTTGATACTGCCTTTGTTTGCAGACACCAAAAGGTAAGCTTGGAGTTTACCTTGAAGCCTGAAATCTCCACTAATTTCTCATTACGAATGATTTCAGACAATACTCAGGTGTGTACAGGGTCCAGAGACAACTCCCTCAGACTGTGGGATGTGGAGACTGGTGCCTGTCTTATGGAGAACTCTGTTCCAAGGAACTTGGTAAGTCTCAAAATCTAAGGCAACAGACTAAACACTTTACCAAAACCCTCCATATTAACTGTATCTGCATCTATTTATTTATTTATTTTTGTTTTCTTTAGTCCTTACTTTGGAACCCATGGGGGACCAGCTATTTACGCCTTTTAGGTCACAAATAGGCATATAATTAGTGTGAAATTATTTAGGTACAGTACGGGATTAGGTATTTTGGACCTGTACATAATCAATTTTTCTGGTACAGAACAGGTAGACTACATGTATTAGTGTCAGTAAGTTCCACTCAACAAAATGTTCTCAATCCTTGCTAGTTGGTTGATGATAACTCTGGTATATCAAGGCATGACCAGTTCTTGTTATTCTCTGAGCTGGTATTAGGTACAAATGTACATGGTACTTGGTTGGTATGTCCACCAGTTACTTGTCATATTGTACATCATACATAGCCTGGACATTTCACTCTTTGAGCGATGCCCATGACACTCAGTTTATACCATTATTGTTGGTTTGTTTTCATTTTGATGACACTAGCAGCCCCATGTAGGATCTGCTAACTTGTGAAGTAAGAAGACAGCATACCAGTCCTGATAAAGGTCAATGACATATTGACCCCCATTGCACACATCTGGGTATTACAGCAGTATAATTCAAAGTGAATGATGATACTGGATGTACCAGAGATTTACCTGCAGTTTGTCATCATACTGCAAGGTGTCACTATTGATACAACCATCATTTATTTACAGCACCGTAACTAATTATAAGGTGTAAGGAAGAGAACAGGTGGTGCAAGAACAAATAGTAATTTTTATTCTTCATAAGTATCACAATCTACTTTAATTTACATTATATGTGTTTGAAGGTTACTGAGTTTAACATGTTTGAACATTTAATATAATTCTATCAAAGTGAATCTAAACAGTTTACTTAAGTTTCTTTGACTCTTTTGTACAGTTTTTGTCACTTGTTAAACACAGGTACTGTATACAACAATATGCATCTACATCACATTTCTTCCCTGCTAATTCTATTGCTTGTGGTCACATTATTTACATCTGTAGCACCAACTTGAAATCAACAACATAAATTTGAAACTATTATAACATAAATCACAATCCTTATTTGCTACATTGGATTCTAAACTTAACATACATGACTAAGATATGATAGAATATGGTATTATGCAAATAACACTTTGTGAATACAGCAATAATTTTAGTGCTTGTTAAATCTCTTACTCACATTACATACATGTAGTTCCATACTTTCCTTTTATTATGATCATCATCATTATATGCAAAGTGCTAAATGGGACTAATTTCCAGAAATTGGTTCATGTACAATGTACTGGAAAATGTACAATGTAGAATGTAACATTGTAAAGCCTATATGGTAATTTATGTTCAGTATGGAAAATAGTTATGGATGTTAAGAAACATCAAACTAAAGTATGGAGTTTTGAAAACTGAGCTTTAGTTGTGATTAAATAAAACATGTATATGCATGTTCCTCTTTCGCACTGACTTAATTGTAGGTCCATGACAAAAAAAATATTCTACACATACATCAATTTTTGTCCGTTTCAAAAAAAAAAATTCAAAGGATGGGTTGTAAGGTGAAGAAGATGGCATCCTTTTAATGGCCTTATACCCTACTTACAGTGTATTTCGAAACAGAATTTTATGATCAATGTTAGTAGCACCTTTTTTTGTGTTACAGAGATGCTAAACAGTGCTAAGTTTCTGTAGACTTGCCCATGAAACTTGCTGGTCTAATTTTCATCTCCGTAGACTTTAGAGAGTACCAGTAACCCAGCCAGTTCACCCAGGTCACACCGTCTGCCTGTGCACTGCTGTAGTTCCCATTGACGTAGTACACACCATTCAGGTTAGTGTTGTAACACCAGTCATCCCTGTACCACCACCCACCCTTGTACGTTACAGCACAGGGTGCTCTACTCTGGTTGTGTTTTAGTTGTACACGGTCCTTTGTGGAAAAGGGCTGGTTATTGTGGCCCTCGACAAAGGCATCGCCTGCGTTCCCACTGTACCCCTGTATATGTAGGGTGTAGTTTCTATCCTCGCTTTCCAACGTGAAGTTTTCGTACTCTGCGAATCTTTCCCGTCCTTCCCAACTTTCTAAGTCGAATCTCAGGTTGTATGTTCCTTGCTTCAATATTGTGTAGATCTTGTCGTTACCGAGCCAGTGGTCTTTCACGACGACTCCGAACCCTGTTCTGTATTGGTCCCACGTACGGGAAAAGTCAACGAGGCCGTCGCTTCTCCTCTGTATGACGGTCCACCCGCCGCCCGCCGTCTCCATGTCGCAGTAAACCGCGAATGCTTCGGAGTTGTCGGGGCGGATGTAGTACCTTCCCGACATTGTCTTGCCCTTCTCGTACAACTCGGAGCAGTCTCTCGGTAACCCTGACCGCTTTACGATTCCGTAATCTCTGTCGACGACTTTAGGGCCCATGTCGGTCTCCATGGGGTGTTCCATCGGCATGACACCGATGTCCATGGAAGCCTGCGGCAGGACGCCCGTCTCTCCGAGCAGCCCGACCCCAGCGACCTTCTCACAACACTCCTGCAGAACTTCGTCCAGTTTGGCGATCTGCGCGCTGTGGAAGGTCTCCGTCTGACGGATGTCGGACAGGTCAAAGGTCGTGTACTGCACCAGCTGTTCTAACTGGTCGGTTTTCGTTCGCAGCTGGTCCAGGTACGTCAGCGCCGTGGAGAAGGAGATGTTGAAGGACGAGACTTTGGAGCGCAGCTCCCTGTTTTCTGCCTGCACCTGCCTGAGTAAGAGGACCAGTTGGAGCAGCAGGCTTGCTTGATCGCGGAACTTCAGCTGCAGTTCTGTCACTTCCTGCTTCATCTTATGTACAGTATCATCCACAATGACATTCGAAAACTGTACAGGGTCTTCACTAGGCTCACCCGTTGCGAATTCTTGCTCAGAAAAGCTGACCTTACCATTGAATAGAGTTTCGAGGCTGTCCGTTGCGTTTTTATCGAGTCCGATGAGTTTCAGAGCTTGGTACAACACTTTGGTCCAGTTGGTTCCTTCCCACGGCTTCAGGATGGACTCGTAGTCTGCCTGTAAGGTGGATCCGGCCTTGGTGGCGTTACCGAACATCATGTCCCTCATGACGGCGCGTAGGTTAGCGTTCTCCTCTCGGAGGTCCTCCATCTCCACGGACTGCCGTTGGTTGGCCGTACGCACCTCGTTCAAGTCGGTTGCCAGGCGACGCAGCTCGAACTGGAGCTCCTGGAGCTTGCTGGCATCGTGAATACGGGACTGCTCCAACTGGCTGATCTTTGTTGCATGTTCCCTACAGAACAAGAAACAGTTTCAGGGTCAAAATACCTATTGTATAGTAATGGACCGATCCCATAGCCCCACCTCCACCAAAATCAATGCAAAGTAAAAACATGCGATTGCAAATACATGTATTTGACAAATATGTACTAGCCACTCTCTCATTGGTCGAACCAGTTGTTGTTATCCTCTCATTGGTTGAGTTGCTAATAATGATGGACAGTCAGGATCTATTGTGGAGGGTTAAACCAAGAGCCTTTATATACAGCAACATATGAAGGGTTAAAGGCTAACCAGGAACTTGTAAATACTAAAAAACAAAAATAATGTATATATCTGTTGCTAAAAGTGTTCTATACTTACTGTAAATTACTAATGATATAAATTTCAATGGTCTATGACCAATAAAATGTGCAGACATCTGTGGCATGCCATTTAGATATAGGGTCTTGGGTTTGAGCAATTTATGATGTGTGGTGCACTGGGTTTAATGGGGCAGGGGGAATTCCATGGGCAGGACTGTCGCCACTCATGTCTATTTTCAAAGCCCTCCTGGAGAGAAGGTCATGTATGCTAGACAAAGTCACAGAGCCTGCATTTGAAATAGTTGACTTCAAGTCAGCTTTAAGTTAATGTTACCGTACAGGGCTTGAACTTTTTTTACATTTACTAGTACTACAAGAGGGCCTGCATGGGGGGGGGGGGGGGTGATAGTGATTATGAATACTAGAATGAAAATGACCAATTACACGTTACAGCTAATGTACTGATTACAGATTACATTGATTTTGAACGGCTGCCTACGGACATGTAGCTAGACTACAAGACAACAGATGGACACTAAGAGCCACTGAGTGGACACCCCGGGAATGGAGGAGACGCAGAGGACGGCCCTGTACGAGGTGGAGGGACAGTCTTGTGCAACACCTGGGCCCTGCTTGGCCCAGATACGCCAGACTGAGAAGAGAGTGGAATGAGTCAAGGGAGGGGTTCCTCCGGAGGAGTGACATTACCCTGGATTGATGATGATGATGCCTACGGATTACGAAGGCTAAAAAAGCCTGATTACACCTTACCAAAAAGGGCATGCAGGCCCTCCTACAAGTATGTACATTGTACATTACTGAGGAAAAATATTCACTTGCACCAAATCTCTTAAAGCCACTTTTCAAGAAATCATCCTGATGTCATAAAAATTTGCTTCAATAGCCATTTTGTAATAATTCTCAACTCAAATTAGTCCATACCTAACTGAAACATCATGTACTTTTAGAAGACCCCAAAAGACCAATTGGTTATATCAACTACATGTAAGTTACTGAAAGAGGGATTAAGATTAGAATCAGATGCCAATTTGGAAAAAGCTCCCAATTTTCATGTGACTTTTGAGATTGTCAGACTCCCCAAAGGCTCAAAACTGCCAGAGATTCGAACCCAGAACCTTCGCATTGTGAGTCAACAACCCTAACCACAAGACTGCCTTGCCACCCTCATTACACTGTCAGTGTGTGGTGAGATATGAACTGTACCTGTCAGAAGTGATCATACTCCCTGGAAGTATGACAGACTCCAGCAGGAGGAAGTCTAATGGCAACAGAGGACTGGTCCAGGCCAAAATTGAATTTAGGGGTGACCCAAAAGAAGGGGGAGGGCGAGGGGGATATACCATGCTAAAAAAGTTT